AATGGATTTGACTGAGCCTACGCCTGATATATTTCCTTTAATAGGGTCTCGTTTAAGGCCTAGGACTTGACATGCAGCTTCGGTAATGAGGCGTTTGGGAGCCCTGATCTACTAATGCGCGGAGCGTATGGGTTGTTTCTAGTTTCTCGGATCTAATATTTACTAATGCAGTCGCAAGAATGACTGAGTTGGGGTTGGAGCTTTCTACCGTATTGCTTGATAACTCGGAAGTACTTGTCATCACCGAAGTAGAATTTGTCTCATTATGGTTTGTTGTTGGTACACTTTCCTTTCTAGAATTTGGAACTGTAAACCCGTGCAATAGGGTGTGATGCTTTCGGCCACACTTTTTGCATGCAGTGGACTGTAAACACGACTTGACTGGGTGACCCTTTCTCATACAGTTGAAACAAATCTGATTAGCTTGAACAAAATCTTTTCTTGCTTGTAAGTCTAAATTAGAAATGTCTTTGCATTTAAATATCGAGTGATCCCCATTACAATAAACGCACTTTGTGTACACAACGTCTCGACTGACTTCGGTAACAAAACTTTTTGATGTAACATGTTTTACAGGCGGTGAGTGACTTGGATCTTGTCTAGACTTGACTGATTCTAATGTATGAAATCTGTGTTCTAAAAATTCAGCTAACTCATTCCACGTGGGTAGTTTCGATACAGACTCCAACTTTTGCTCAAATAATTTGTGTGATTCAGTATCGAGCTTTTGTATAATAATATACACAACTAAATCATCCCATTCATCTGTAGGTAACTGTAATCCTTTCAAAGTAGCTAAACATTCCGTAGTGACATCTAGTAGTTCTCTAATACATTTTGCAGATTCAGTATGAATTTTTCTTTGATTTAACATTTTGCCAATATAAGTGTTAACGATACTACGTTTATTATTGTAACGTTTTTTGAGCATATCCCAAATTATATCATAATTTGATTCAGACACTTGTATCATTTTTACTAAATTCTCAGCATCTCCTCTCAGACTTGTTTTTAAATACTGGCACTTGTTTACTACAGAAATGTTATTGTTATCATGGACAAGGGACTTGAAGATATCATGAAATGAAAGCCAATCTCTATAATTTCCAGAAAATGTGGGTATTTGTATAGCAGGTAATCTAGTACTAACTGTTGGTTGACTATCGCAATCTAACTGCTGGTATTACTTACAACAGGAGAAGACTTATTGATTAATGTATCTCGCATTTTAGTCTTAATTTCCAAGTAATAGCTTAGGCAGGTATCATATTCCTCGTTAGTAAAATATGCTAAAGTTTTTCTCTGTTCTAAGGTTGCTGCGAGTAAGGATTTATGATTTGATTGAAAGTCACGCCAATACGACTCTAATACTTCTAATCTAGTTTCTACATAACCTGGTGTGAGTTTATCTTTTGCGGTTTTCTTATAGTTTGTACCCAGTTTCTGTATTTGCTTGAAACAATCCGACTGTGACTGCTCAAGTGACTCCATTTTGTATGTTATTATTGAACTACCTTTATTAATTATGTATTCTTTGTGCACTATTTATTTCTTATTACTATAACTTACGGTTACCAATCCAAATGATAAATCCAGGTAACACAAAACACAACACTTAAAAGGCCATGAACTTTTATCACTTCACTGTTATTAACTTTTAACGATCCAAGCACAACTCAACTACCCGTATGACGCGGCGATTCTAATAATCTGGCTCGATTTAGACCAAATGTTTACGGAACGAAATAAAACTAATATATTGATCTAATGGAAAAACTCCGAAGAAGAGATTTATTCAAGTCTAACGGCATCTATATATAATGATACGCAACAAGAGGATAGCGCGAGTCACAAGCGTACAGTGCCATCTATCGCCGCACGGCGTAAGCACATATCTTAACACCCCTTTTAAGGGGAAATTTGGGTCCAGAGGGGAAGAAAAAGGGGAAAGACATGAAAAGGGGAAATTGCGGGAAATTATGGGCAAAGCCTAGCCTAAAATAATGCGGCGCAGAACAATTTTTTTTGGACTATACCATGGGCTAGAGTGTTGCCGTATAAAAGAAACTGTGGCAACACGTGCAGATTTTATATATTTTATTTATCTGTCATAGAATAAGATCGTTTAAGACCTTTTTTTTCTTAAGTTACTACACTAGTGCCAAATCTAAAAACTACAGCAGAATAATTTTTGAGGGGAAAAGAAGGGGAAATCTTAATTAAGGCATGGGGAAAGGAAATCATTAAAGAGGAGACACTGCCTCGGTCTGTTAGGACTCCAGCAGTGATAAAAGCAGTGAAGGCGCGAATTCAAAGAAATCCCAAACGTAAGCAGAAACTGTTGGCCCTTCATGTAGGGTTAAGCAGAACCACGGTGAAAAGGGTGTTAAATGAAAACTTTGGGCTTCGGGCATATCGAAGAAAAACAGGACATCGTTTGCTCGTCTAATAGACCTGAGACTGAAAAGATGCCGTGCTTTGTTGAAGCGGTACGCGGGAAAAAAATATCGAGTAATTCTTTTTTCGGATGAAAAAAATTTTACCGTAGAAGAGAGCTACAACAAACAAAATGATAAGGTGTACTGTACGCACACAGTAGTGAAGAAACGAGCAACCGTATTCCGCGTGTCCAACGAGGTCATTTTCCATCCTCGCTCATGGTATGGTTGGGAGCTTCTTATTGGGGGTTAACAGAGGTACATTTTTGTGAGAAAGGTGTAAAAACGAATGCGGTTGTGTATCAAAATACAGTCCTGACGAACCTTATGGAACCTGTTTCTCATACCATGTTCAATAACAGGCACTGGGTATTCCAACAAGATTCGGCGCCAGCTTATAGAGCGAAGAGCACACATGACTGGCTGGCGGCACGTGAAATCGACATCATCCGGCACGAAGACTGGTCCACCTCCAGTCCAGATTTGAGTCCGTTAGATTACAATATATGGCAACACTTGGAGGAAAAGGCGTGCTCAAAGCCTCATCCCAATTTGGAGACACTCAAGACATCCTTGATTAAGGCAGCCGCCGATATTGACATGGACCTCGTTCGTGCTACGATAGACGACTGGCCGCGCAGATTGAAGGCCTGTATTCAAAATCACGGAGGTCATTTTGAATAAACTTAATTGTCATAAGAATCTATGTTTTGTTAAGTTCATTTTGGTATATATAAATGGTTACATAATGAATAAACTTGTTTCAATTATTTTATATTAAACATGGGACAGAATTTATGACCTGACTAGGTAGGTATTTACCGCTGAGAAAACCTTTAAATCAAGCCAAATCGGAAGATTAACTTTATGGTGCTATAATCGAGCTCGGTATGATAAAGCTCCTATCGTTCCTCAAAACGAGTCAGGTCGCATTACAGTAAATTTAAAGGGGTGGATGAGCCTCGACGGCGTCGGAGAACTGGCGTCGTTAGAGAATAGGGCGATTGCAATTAATTATGTGTCGCTTTTGGCAGAAGTGATGCTGCCTACTGTATGCGTAGGGTATCCTGCAACAGAATTCCCGCACATTACTTATGTTCAAGATAATGCACGGATACACACGGCCCGTGCTACTATGCCGTGGTTCAATCTGAACCGTGACGTTCGTCCCATTCAATGGCCAGCTTGGTCTGCTGATTTAAACCTATTGAAAATTTATGGGGGCATATGGTTCAACGCTGGGACTGTCAAAAGGAAAGGAACTCTCATGATATTAGATCACACTGTGCTCGAGTATGGGATGATATTAGAGGGACCGATCTATGCACGCGTCTTGTTGCATCTTATACCCGCCATACACACTACGATAAATCGTTACGATTAGACTGTACAGTCCGAACGGTACCGATAAATCGTAGCGTGTATGTTATAAAACTGCACAGTTTCCTATACTAAACGAAATCGTATAAACTGTACCGTTCGAACTGTACAGTCTGATCGTAACGATTTCTCGAGTGTATGGCCGGTATAAGCGAGATAGACTACGTGCCGTCCTAGCTGCAGAGGGAGATTATACTACTTAGATATTAAAAATAAAGATTCTTGAAGTTTCTATTTTATTATTTCTTTATATTCTTAGTTAAAAAACTATTCGTTTTTTCAATGGTTTTCTATATTTGTTTGACATCACGGCTAGTGCATAAGTCGTCGCCTACTGCGCAACGGGTCGAGGTTCGATTCCCGTATGGCACAGATATTTTGTTTGTCCTGGTCTGGGCGTATGTGTAATGTGCATGTGAGATTACCTATATGTTTGTATTTACACCCACGATACAGAAGAAAATCCTAGTGTAAGGCGAAGTGTTTGAAAAAATATTTATCAAACCTTTGTAGTAGTCAGTCCATCTCCTAGAGCGATTGATTGTCATATCATTAGAAAAAAGATAATCTATGGTTAATCAAATTATTTTATATAGACATTTAGAACTTGTGATCTAAATGTGTGCATGAAATTATGATCCTTATGGTGGAAAACATTTTCTGAACAACCGTATACAGTACAGAAACCAGTTTTTATGTATGTCTATTGATTCTTATCTGTTTTGTTGACTATGTACAATATACAAATAGAAATTCTATTCAACCATCTTCATTAACCTACTTACTTCAGGAATGTTATTAAAACTAAAACCAGATAGCTATAGTAATGTATATTTATGTACATAAATGTTTTTTTTAAATAAGCATTAAAATGAAATAACTATTTATAGTAAAAAATAATATGTCACTCCTTACAATACATTTAACCTCATTTTTGTTATGGATATCATATTGCTATGCTACAGGCACTGATTTATAAGTTACATGTAAAAAAAGCAGTATAAATTGCTACCACAATAGAACAATGATTATCACTAATTAATAAATTAAGATACCAAAATAACTATTTAATAGATATTACAATTGGGATGAGATTGTATGGAAATGTTAAAACTAAAATATGATTCGAGATAACAGATCAGTCATAGTCTAGCACATTTTATTGTACCTATTCTTTTTCTTTTTCACTCTCCAATACCATAGTGGAATCTTCTTGTTACACACCAGGAAAAGTTTAGATATTTTTTTAATGATTCAGGTGATAAATTGAATGTCACGTACCTACAACAACCCTTAAGTATAAATGGTTAAAGTGTGTGTAGGTCTTATTTGCTCAGGGGATGTTTGAGTTTGGACTGTTTCAGACGGGCGTGCTTGTTGCTTAGCTTTTTTTCTAGCTGCATCAGATTCAGCATAATACATACCCAACCTTGTCTTAATTGCAGCCAATGCTGCCCCATTAATCTCATCATGGAATATGTTAGTATACCTCCACTGCTTCACCAGAGGTCCTCTTCTTTTTTCTAATTTGACTTTAACCTCCTTCTCTGGCTTGGTAATAACATCTGTAGGTTGATCATAAGCATTATTATCAATGGTTATTTGTTGAGGTTCCTGTTTTGTTTGTAGTACAATATAAGCAGGTTGTGCAGGTCTAGTAGGCAGGAGAAGTCCCATAGTTTGGCTGCCATTCTGTGGTTGGTAGAAATTTGTTGGAGGATTGGTGGCTATAGCAGTGGTTTGATACTGGTTTTGGAAATAATTTTCAGCAATGTTAACAAGATGCCCACTACCAGGATAAGCTATAGGGGCAAATGATGGCTCTTGAGGTGGTGGTGGTGGTGCTGGTATTGGTTCGTTTACTATTGGGACTTCCATATTTCTCTTAGATTTTGGAAGTGTTGCTGTAATATTATCTGGATCATAAGCTTTTATATAATCTTTCCACATTTTAGAAATGTTTATTTCTAAGCCAGCAATCTTATCTAGCCTTATAAAATCCTTTAGACGGTGGGTGTGCACAATAGAGTAAATGTGATTTTTAATTTGATCAACCACACCTGATGGTAGACGCACTTCACCTGAACGACGATGGCTGTTCCTTCCTCGATTGTCACTGGGAAACATGACTCCATCATCCATTTTCTTACAGAGGACTCTGACTTTTCTCTCAGTAATTGCATGGATATTTTTGAAAGCTGTTTGGCATACTTGAGTTTCTCTTCCTTTTACTCTAACAAAATATTCAAAAGTGCATGTTCTTCGACTACTAGATTTCACTCTTTTTCTTTTCACATCCACTTGTCTCATTAAACCAAATAAGTATGCATTTTGCTCATCATGCGATTTCATTGAGTAAAATCCTTGAAAAGTTTTCAATCTTACATCTTCAGGAACCTTTTGAAAACATCTTCGGCGACAATTACAATCAGGACCAGGCTGTTTAGGTGGTACAACTTTTCCATTTGCATTTATGTATTCTAAACCAGCAATTCTCAATCGCTTTTGTTTTTGTTTGTGCCATTCTGAAAAATATACATAAATCAATTTGTAATTTATGTTGTTCTGAAACATCAAATGCGATCAGTCATTTTATATAAATAATTATTAATACATAAGCCCAGACTTACAGCTTAAGTAACATTACTATTTTGGTAAGGAAAATACTATTTCAAATATTTTGTTTATGATACAAAAAAGTAGTAAGAGGCAAAATTCGAGCCATAACAAAAAAGAGTACCATCGGCATATTGTAGTAAGGTTCTCAACTAATGTTCGTATGCCTATCATAAAAACAATAAAAAAAATGGTAAAAAATACCTTCAGGATTACGTGATCGTTTCTTTACAACTTTGCCGTTTTTAGTTAGCTTTACTTTTCTTTCTATAGTTGGGACATCCGCCATTTTAGTATCGAAGCACAGCGCGGCGCGACGACATTCTTCCTGTATCCGATTGGACGTAACCGCCCCACAGTGTTTCCAGAAGTGATTTTCTAATTTCCGCCAGAGAGAAAATTATTTTACACCAAAATCATACCGTTTCAGAAAAAGTCCGCCAAAATTTGATTTAGCAAAAAAGTAGACATTTCTTGTGGTTTGTTCTTTGCATTCCTATCAGTAGGACTCCTGACTTTCATGCGAGGTAATAGCTACATCATGGAGGGCGGAAATGATTCGAGTTCGGGACAATGGACGATTACAATCAAGTATGACTTATCACTCTGTGTGTGACGCGTCACCATGGCATCAAAAATTTCACTTGGAGAAGACAGCGCTGATATGGTTCACGTTATACAAAAAAAAAGGGTTTTATTGCAATGTTCATCAGACCTCCAACCGTATATTTAGGTTCCTCCAAAACTCTACGAGACTTCTTTCGTGACACTAGTGGAGATGAAGGAGGAGAGAATACGAAGAAGCGTGAAAATGGACCCAGAAGTTAACTACACTAAAATTATAATTAGTCCCAAAGCATGAACAAATGATTAATACACATTATTGCACATGCCAAAATATATATGATATATACCTCCAATATTTCGCCAAGTCTAAATTTTTTCGCTAAAATGGCGGATTAATACCCTAACCTGGCATCACGGCCTCGTCGCTGGCACAGACAGAAATCGGGCTGCGTTCAATATCTAAAGGGGCCCATATACGGAACGATTGATCTGTACGATCCGTCGTTTCAGACCGATCGAAACGATGGATCGACAGTGTATGTCAAGATCGTTAACGATTTACTTAATCGCAGACGATATCGGAGATCGCTACAAAAACCCATGCAATCATGAATATCGTAAACGATCGATCGTCAGTGTCCCATATACGGTACGATTGATCTGTACGATCCGTCCTTTCAGACCGATCGAAACGATGGATCGACAGTGTATGTCAAGATCGTTAACGATTTACTTAATCGAAGACGAAATCGCAAATCGCAACCAAATCTCATGCAATCATGAATATCGTTCATGCAATCATGAGTTCGTTTTCCATTTTAGAGGGCAAGTATTGAATAATTTGAGTACGTCTTTATCCTACCGTTTGAAGCAAGTAAATGATAGATCCGTTACGATCAATCGTTTCGTGTATGTAGTGGCATTTCTGAACGATCGATCGTTGACGATTTCCTTCAGATCGATCGCAACGACGAATCGTTCCGTATATGGGGCCCTTAAGCTCTGTGCAACTTTTTGCCCTGACGTTTCAATGGTTCATATGTGGTAGTCCATTTCCGGCAGCGATGAAACTTAAATAATTTGAATTTGAAAGCTTGTTTTATGTTATAACATGAACAGATACTTATATTTATCGCCGAATAATTTAAATCGTGTTTAAAATTGAACAATTTTGTAAGAAAATTGGCCACCCTCTAAGTAACGTCAGGTTTGGCAGCTTAATATCGTCGTTATTAATCACTACGGCAAATGTCAATCAGTCCAATCATGCACGATATTCATGAAATCGTGGTGAACTCATTAAACCAATGTATTGTAGTATAATGATTCTGTAGACATAAAATACCCACCTGATAATGTAATGAAAGATGAGGAGAATAATTATCATTGTTTTAGTAACCGTTTGAATAGAATATATTTGATGTTTTAGCAATAAAAAAAAGATAAATAAAATTACCAACCATCATCATCATATCAGCCGTATGATGCCCACTGCTGAGCATAGGCCTCCCCCAAGGATCTCCACACCGATTGGATTTGCGCCACTCGCGTCCATCGGCTTCCCGCGACCTTCACAAGATCGTCGGTCCACCTTGTAGAGTCTAGGGGGCATGCCTACTGAGCGCCGTCCGGTGCGTGGTCGCCATTCCAGAACCTTTCCGCCCCAACGGCCATCGGTTCTTCTTGCTACGTGTAACATACCAATAAATAAAAAATAATATTATCGAATTATAAAATTGTATTATTGATTGGTAAATTACCGGTTTATTCTCCGATAAGAAGTTATCACTTCAATAATTATTATTTAACAAACATTAAATTAAGGTCTACAATAAATTCTATGTTTTTGTCAAACGATTTACATTGAAGTGCACTACATCTCGAGTACATCTCATAGAATTTGGAGTCTGCCCTGTCACTCACTATAGCTAGATCCATATCCAACCGTCTCATTTGTCATGCCAAAATTGACATTGGATACACCTAGAGCGTAGGTTCTGAACGTCACCCTGACGAATTTTGACAGCTTCGCATCGTCAGTTTCTATGAAAAGTAAGCAGCGCCCCTATCGGACATAAGAACAAACTAGCTAGCTTTTTCAATTTTTCCATTGACGAATTGACGATTCGATACGATTATAGGGATGTCGAAAGTTGAAAAAAATATCGATATATCGATACATCGTTTTTTTAAACAATATCAATGGTGTCGATTCTAGCATGATTCTCTAAACCTAAACTTAAATTTGACAGCAGTATATCTTTGTCATTCTCTAAACAGAATGAAAAGGAGAGACTGATGTTAAATTTAGTTTTAAGTTTAGAGAATCACGCCAGAATTGGCACCAATATCGGCTTCGATATATCGCGAAAAAAACATCGATATATCGAACCAATTTTCCCAAAAAAATCTTACAGTATCTCACGAAATTCCGCGTGTCAACGCGGAATAATAATGGAACGAAAATTATCTCCCTAAAATAGACCCTATTTTCGGATGATGAAAATAATTGCAGGGCCTCTCAGGTAAATGATAGCAGGGTCTCTTTCGTAAACAAGACTAGACAGTCACACACTTCACAGAATATAATGGAAATCAGCACAACCAATTCACCAGCGAAACAGATTTACAAATAATAGACAATACTAAATACAGCACAGATCATAGGGTACCTGCTGCCACTATGGCTACTCTGCTTTAACTACACTGTTTATTTCTCGCGCTTGTTTTCTGAGTCTGAATCTGAATCTGAGTGCACTCTGGCCGTACCCTTAGATATGTTGAATATCATTAATCTGAGTTACGATTTTTCCAGATACGAATTTAGTTAGATCGTGAGATGCCGCTAATAATTAAAAAAAATCATTTTTGATACGAATTTCGATATTTGTTATTTTGTATCGATGTATCGATATATCGAACCAAAAATATTGCGGCAAAAAATTACGATATATCGATTCATCGATATATTTTCAACAAGCCTATACGATTACGGAGTTGTCAAAATTCGTGCTTGGCTTGCTCTGGTCGGTGACGTTTTAAGTTCTAAAAAAATACTTATTTCCAGTATAAAGCACCCTACTCTGTCTAGTTTGTGATTATTGCAAGTGTGATCTTCTACAAAACTTACAATTGGATCGAGTGAGAATTCTACACACAGATAATTAACAAGCGAGTGCTGATCTACTACGAAAGGTTTGTTTTCTATAAATTAATCAAGTCTATGTTTACATAGCTAATTTCTTTATTGGCGAGGGTTTCGCCACAGATATACTTACCTTTAATAGTACCTAATTATTTTGTCATGTTGTAAATTCGTCAACTACACACATGAGGTCATACCTATTTATCGAAGGGTTATGCATAGATAATTGGGCTTGCTAAGATTTTGACGCACCTCTGTTTATGTTTTATTTTAGCCTTAGACACCATGTATTTCAGATAGACTTCCCTACCCTAATATCAAAAATAGCAATCATGTATAATATATATTCATTCATAGGATGATTCATTTATTTAAATCTTAAGTACTTAAATAAAATATTGTGAAATATCTGAATTGTCACAGTGGAAAACATAGGTTTCATATAAATAAAGCGGTACTTAATTCCGTTATATGTAATTGAATTTCGGGGTAATTTGTAGGGGGGGTGGAGGGGAGGCTCCCCCCGACCCCCCCGCCATAAAAGATTTTTGGCGGAAATGCAGTTTTTTTTTTACCTAACCTAAAAATTCATTAAATCTGTTAAATGTAGTGGAATTTCAGGGGGATAGGTATTAGGGAAGACCCCTCAGAGGGAAGGGTAAATCCCCCTCCCCCCTTCCTTCGTTTTTTTACAGAAATGATAATTATAAAAAATTAGAGGAGTTTTAAAGGTAAAACTGTACTGTGCCTAGAGATGATATTTGATTTTTTTGTAGAAAAAGTCTCTATTAACGAATTTTTCTTTCTGGCGCTTCACCGGCCGCTGCCGCGGCTCGCTCGCTTCGCTCGCTCGGCTCGCGCGTTAAGGTCACAACACTAACCTAACCTAACCTAGTGTGAAGTATCACCACACAAGCGGCTCATTAGAGTCCAAAACTCGCACTACACTCGACTCTTCAGGCGAAGGGCCAGCAGAACTCGAGGTCGAAGGCTTTGAGGATGCCATGGTAGTCAGACGACGTTAATATCAACAGGAGTACGAAAAAGCTCTCAACTGCGACGAACACAAACACTGACTGGCAGATCTCATTAATGGCGGTAAATTGTCACATTTTGACAACAGTACCAACATAATAAACTTATATTTACCATAGACAACGAGAAACATGTTATTTTTGCATAAAAAAATGGCAGCACTGATCAAAATTGCTGTCAAAATTGACTCATAACCTACAAAAATATTAATTTTCAATAATTTTTTTTAGAGTTCTATTCGTTTCCGCCTAAAAAGATTTCGTGTACGTGTTTTTAATAGTTAACACTTTGCGTGACAAAAATTTCAGCTTGCAACTCAATTACATATAATGGAAAGCTGAGCCAATAAAGCTTTAGCAGAACCTTTTAACAATTTTAGCTAGATCTATAAATTTTAAGCAGTTGTAAGTTGAACGCTACAAATAAAGAAAATCCATTCAGTTTGTAGGCCCACAGTTCTTATGTGTTTAAAATTTGTAGTTAAAGTTTAGTTTCTTTGGCAAGCTTTGATTGTTGCTTGCTTCTGAAGATGTAATAACAAAGGAGAATGCCTATTGGTAGTATCGTCCTTGGTCGGCCTTGTACATTCACCTCATTTATACCAATAATCAAGTTTCTAATTTTCACAAAACCTTGTTAAATAATTTGCTTTAACTTTGCCGAACAAACATCTCTATAATAAATTAATAATTCATTCACTTCCATTTCATTTGTATTTTTTGACACTTGTCTCCTCAGTGTTGCCATTATGTAATAACCATATCGATTTATCAAAATATAATTGATGCACTTGTAGTTATTTCAAGAAAATATAACATATTATATTGCATTACAGTTGTCGCAAAAAAGTAGTCTGATCTGTATATTAAGATTATTAAGTATGCATATAGACTTTCAGTCCATAACAACAGCTTTTTTTACCGGATAATTGTCTTTATTATCAAGGGGTAGTCAGAAAATAAAAGTAAAAAAACGGCCGCCGACAAGTGACCTTAGGATACATACACATACGTACGTAATACATACACGGCCTAAACGTAAATGCTGCATTACATGCATTTATGTCTACGTGCATGATTGACGATCATCCAGACGAATAATTCATAGCTTGCATGCTGATAATAAAAGGAACTCCATGGGGATTCCTCATTCAACCTACCTATCCTGTACACTGTTTGTTTTGATATCAATTAAATAAATTATTTTTTGCTTTACTAAGCATCTCATGCCGCAATACCGTCCACAGATTTAACACACATAATGTATCTTATATTACACGCTATATGTGCAAATATAACATTTATGCTTCTACTATAATCATAAATCTATGTCAGTGTAATAAATAATTAAGCAGGATTAAACTATTGTACCAGTATTGATAAATCAGAAAAGATGAATATCAATTCATTCATATTTTTTTAGAAAACTGGCAATATCATTTCCATCTGAGACTGTCAAGTTGGTTTTTTCTTCACTGACATTTCTATCTAATTTTGTTCAGATTATTTGATAAATATTTCAGTGTTTATAATTATTTTATTTCTATTTCCTTTAAGCTGAGTTGATTTTTGATTTGATCCAATCTTTTTATAGATAGATAAACTTGGAAAAGTGAAGGGAATAATTATAATGACAATTGTTATATCATTATTCGTATTACCTGTCGAGCTAGAGAAAAAGTATATTTCATTATTGAATCTACACATAGGACCCTACAAAATAAGGTAAAAACCATCTTTGTACAAAAATTTTCGTAGCGATACTACAGTCCATACTACGATGGGCTTTCCTTTATATGACTTTGTGGATTGTGATTTGGTTTTTTTTATTGATATGAATTTATATTTTACATAATTTATCATTACCATTATTTATGTGTACTTAATTAATAATTATCAAGTATATTTTTCACTATTAAAGTAACACTTAAGCGATCCTAAATCATGTGCTTTCCTGTGGTGTCCTAAAATGTTATTAAGTAATATAAAGACACAAGTAATCATACCTGAGAATTAAATAAATCAGGATATTTCTTTAAATATTGTTTAAAGCAATAATATTTGAATACTCAACTATAAATTTTCTGCAAAAAATGCATCATCTATTTTCATTTTATAATAAGTTGGGCCAAGTATTTTTAAAGGAGTCCCTGACTTTAGGAAATTTCATTTGTGAATAGTGCGACAAAGAAAGTCACCAAATCTCTTTGTTGAAAGAGTGGCCACAGTAAGTCAATATAGACCAAGACAAGTTGTCTCAAAAGAAAGTTCACATTTAAAACATCAATAAAAAAAGTAATCAGTTTATTGAAATAATTATTTATTACATATTAAAAAACATTGTATGGGAATTTATTTAAAAAATTATAAAGTCCAGATGTAAACTTTTGCACTCACGGTATTGTGTTAGGGAAGTTGGTTTATTGGCGTAAACTTTTGATTTGACATAACCCATAACATCATAGGACAAAGTCCATAGGTTTTAAATCGGGACTGCATGGAGGTCAACTTATGTCGCCTCAGCGCTCAGTCATCTGGTTTAGAAAGTCAAGTCTCTGACCAGCATCCTGAGGCAATACTTGCACCAACTGAATTTTGTAGCAGTGCAGCTTTAAATATTTGTGTAAAATCTATACATAATATGTATTATATTATAATAAAATGGTAGGAAAGTCAAACATTGAATTTTTTTTAAAAGAATACTTGGGGTGTGATCTACCATTGATACTGAAGTCAAAAATATAGTTTTTAGAATTTTTGTCTGTTTGTCTGTATGTATGTCAGGGATAAACTCAAAAAGTACTACATGGATATACTTTAAATTTGGTACGAATATTATTAAGATGTCGGGTCAACATATAGGCTACATATTTTCACGAAACTCCACCCCTAAGGGGGTAATATGGAGGTTGGAAGTTTGTATAAAAGTTCTTTGTATTTGAAGTAAGAGACTTGAAATTTAACATGCATGCTCTATAGAGGGTGTCGAGATGTATCTTCAGAAATAAACTCCCTTTTAGTGTCAAAAAGTATGTGCAAATAACTAAGTCCACGCATACGAAGTTGCGGGAGGCCGCTAGCGTGGAATAATGATGATCTATGCACATTCAAAGCACGCTAACGAATCCAATGATTTGGATCGTCACAAACAGACTGAGTAACACTGTCTACTTTTTCGAAAAGCGAAGCGGTGCAAGCACAGACCTGTGTTTTGTTAGCATTAAACTCAATCAAGTTCTCGGTTCCCCATTCGGAATTGTGGTCCTAAACCTGATTTAGCTTTATGATAAGATTCTGCCTTTCCTTTGGTTTCTACACATCCAGCTGTTGCATGTCCGAAATCATCATCATCATCATCAGCCTATTAATGTCCCACTGCTGGGATACAGGCCTTCCCTATGGATGGAATAGGGAGATTGGGCCATCCACCCACCAATCCGCACTGGGACCGCGTGGGCCCTCCACGCGGTCCCAGTGCGGATTGGTGGGTGCTAACGACTGCAGAAGCAGCCGAGACCAACGGCTTAACGTGCCTTCCGAAACACGGAGGAGCTCGAGATAGTAAATTTTTGGTCACCCATCCAATGACCGACCACTGCGAAAGTTGCTTAACTTAAACGATCGTAGCCGAATGCGCCAACCACTTGCGCCATCGAGCTCCTCCGAAAACTGCATGGTAATGATTTTATCCAGAAGGAAACATGCAGCCGAAAAAGTGTAGGAGATAATACGCAACCGTGAGGCACGCTAGCATTCACTGACATGAACGCATCAGGACACGAACTGTACTGTCCCAATGCCGACCTATCGTGTCAGATCGGGTTTGACTACCACTGGACACGGAGGCTTGGCCAGTGGCGCCTTTTCTGATATTAAACAGTGATCAGAGGAGCCCCGTGGGGTTTTAACCACTACCTGACATCCTTGCGAACGAATCATGAACAGAAAGGAATTTTAACTTAAGTTTTGAAAGTTTTCTGGTGGACTGGTCAATCATTTATGCATGAGAGCGAATGCGTGAGCAAAGATTCCTGCATGGTAAATTTTTGAGGAACCAAACCACAAACTGTGGTGCGCATTAAAGTCATCCAAAAATGTAAATTCTGCTTTGGGAAATTGATTCTGGGCGTCATCTGCTGCCCGTCATAAAATGGTCAAAAAACCGAGTTGTCTCAGCGGCGCAGCGCTAGTATGGATCTGTAGACGTATGTAGAATTTACGGAATAATTCTGGGAGAAAAAAAACTGCCGGTTTTTCATCATACAAGGTCTCTCGTAGTTTTTCGTAGACTTTCAGAAGAGCTTGTAATAGTTAAAATTTAATAAATTATATTTTTGAATTTCATTAGGAATTATTTTATCCTTTTTTGTAGTTTCCTACATTGTAGTGACACAGCAAAGATAGAAAAAAATCTAAATTAGATGAATCATCATCATCATCATCTGTTAATGAATCGTATAAATTATAGAGTTTAGAATTTTGGATTTTTATTTAAGTCGTTTTATTTTGCGCCCTAATTCGCTTTGCAGACGACGGGGCGGGGCGGGCCGGTCAATTTCGCCGTGAACAATAGCACAAAGTGAATCCTATACTTCAAACGCACACAGAGGGCAAAAAGACCGCGCCGCAGGTGCCCGGCGGGCAGTGGCGGCGCGGCATGTCCGCGGCTGCCAGCCGTGGATCATAACTCAAACTCATTTATTCAGTCTAGGCTGTTACAAGCTTTTGTGAAAGTCAAACGCTACGCCATCGGTTCGTAAATCTACGGCGGGAGACCTTGTACTGAGAAGAACCGGCAAGAAACTCAGCAAGGGCTATTTTTTTCTCCCTGTTTTGCTTCAAACAGTGTCGTCAATTGAAAGATGGCATCTAAAATTGAAAACATGTGTTGATGTCAACTTCCATCACATTAATATTATTAATTAACAAAAGTTAAGTATAGCTAGGTACTACTTTTTAATTTAGAAGTGGCGATTAAACAATTTTCAACCAAATCAGCAAAGTAAAACGACTTAGTCTGTTATATTAAGCCCAAGGTGACTTATCATTTATGAAATCTTTAACAGTATAGTAACCTTTCTTAAGGAGACATGTTTCTATAGACACTTTAAACTTATTGGAAGGTAAATTAATTATTTCTTTTGGTATTTTATTATAGTAACATATGCCTTGACCCACAAATGAACCAAGAACCTTTTGGAGTCTCAACGGTGGCAATTTGAGTTTATCTTTATTTCTGGTATTGAAATTATGTACATCATTGCGCCTCGTATATAAATTTATGTTCTGACGCACAAACAATATACAATTGTAAATGTATTGAGAGGCAACAGTCATTATACCTATTTTACACCTGTCAACGTTGAAAATTAGCGAGGTGTCATCTGCAAACAAAACAATTTCACAAAAATTTTCTACAAAGAAAGGTAAATCATTAATGTAAATTAAAAAAAGAAATGGACCTAAAATTGAACCCTGAGGAACGCCTATTTTCACATGAGATCCGGCAGATTTTGCACCGTTAATATCAACTATTTGTGTCCTTTCTGTTAAAAATGATTGCACTAATTTTTGTGCGGAATCTTTTATGCCGTAATGATTTAATTTCCGTAACAAAGTTTGATGATTAACGCAATCAAAGGCTTTAGATAAATCGCAGAAAACCCCAAGAGCATTCTGCGACTTTTCCCAAGCATTAAATATATATTTTAGCATAGTGGCACCAGCATCAGTTGTGGAACGGTTTTTAGTGAAACCGTACTGCGCTCGGTGTAAAAGTTTATTAATGTTAAAATGAGTTAACAATTGTTCTAACATTATTTTTTCAAAGATTTTACTCAATGCTGGTAATATAGATATTGGCCTATAGTTGCTAGGATCTTTACAATTTCCAGACTTAAATAAAGGTAGGATTTTACTGTATTTCATAAGATCAGGGAATACTCCCTGATCTATACATGAATTAAAAATATCAGCTAGGTAAGGGGCTATAGAATGTATAATATTATTTATGACTTTGACAGATATACCCCATAAATCAGATGCATTTTTCATTTTTAATCAATGGAAAACTTTAATTATTTTAAAAGAACTAACGTGCTTGAAATTAAACAATAAACCACACAAACCAGTTTATATGCAGTAACGCAGACGGCGGCGCGGGGCGGCTAGCTCAGTCCGCGCCATGCGCTTTTTAGTGATGGACTATTCACTAGAACGAACGTCCTGAACTGACTGCCTCTGCCCGTCGTGTGCTTTGTGTACGCGGCGCAGGCAGCCGCAGACATCGACGGGCAGACGCGGTCTTTATTGCTTCGCGGACAACAAGCCCGCCTCGCCCCGTCGTCTGTAAAGCGCCTAAACATACATCAAATACGTTTATACTTCATTCAAGATAACATTAAAAAGAAGTAAAAAAGGTTATTTTATAGGTGCACATTTTCAACTCATTATTGTGGCAATTAAAAAATAATTACGCTTTTGTCAATTTATGTGTAAAATGCAAAGGAGAGTCATGTAAACAATAACTTCATAAAAAATTAACTACCATTACTATTTATATTTTCGAACGACTCTTATTATAAAGAGTCGTTCGAAAACTAAAATATTACTACATGATTCATCATCAGCCTATTAATGTCCCCACTGCTGGGGCACAGGCCTTCCCTATGGATGGAATAGGGAGATTGGGCCATGACCCACCACGCGGGCCCAGTGCGGATTGGTGGGTGCTAACGACTGCAAATGCAGCCGGGACCAACGGCTTAACGTGCCTTCCGAAGCACGGAGGAGCTCGAGATAGTAAATTTTTGGTCACCCATCCAATGACCGACCACTGCGAAAGTTGCTTAACTTCAACGATTGCAGCCGAACGCGCTAGCCACCTGCGCCATCGAGCTCCTCATGATTACCTACTACGAATCACAAAATGACTCTGTTGAAAAACCGAAGGAAGCAGAGGTTTGCAACCTGCATTGAAACGAAGGTATAATGCGACCAAACTAAAAGTAAGAATGTTCGTTGATGAAACAGTTGGCGACATTATGACGTTTTGATTTTACTGTCATTTTAAATTGTTTTTCGTTACGCTATAGTCGATTTTTGTTTTGAATTAAAAAATTAATGATGCTAGTGACTCACAGCAGAAGATTGAACAGAACTCGCTGTGAAGTTGTAGTCCAAATCTCAATGAAACACTGTTGCTTTTATCTCCTACAAAGATGAAACCAAGACAGAGTCCTCTTCGAGCATCATACAAATATATTTTTCTTATATTTACGAATATATAAAAGAAACTTGGCCAAAGGGTTCAGCATTATAGAAAAGTGAAATTTCACAAAAATCAGCAGAAGCCACAAAATGCACTTGTGCATTTTAAAAAAATATAAATTTGAGATAAATTTATTACGTCTGTGTCATGTATTTCAGTGTATACCGAGAAAAAGAAGCGGAGATTTTTTTAATTGCATAATGTCATCGATATTATGGTGGAGCAATTTGTGATTAATATAGCAAATATCGTTATCGTCTTCGGTGTCCTCTAGTGAAGAGAGTAATTTATTTAAAATTAATCTACATATAAGTTTTACTTCTACTTGATAAGAGTACTTTATGTTGGATATAATAATAAAAAAAGAAATATTATGGTGTATAATTTGACTGAGTTCCAATTTTTGTAGAAAGTCACACAAATAGATATTAATTAATGAATAACTGAAGTATTCTCAAGAGTTAATTATTAAATTTCATCATTATATATGACATGAAAAGGTTTCGAAACTCTTTCAGCTTCTTTTTTTAATGTTATCTGGAATAAAGTATAGGCGATTAAAAGTTATAGTGGAATAAAGAAAATGCACATACATTATCAACTCTGAAAACAAAAACTCCTTTTCTGGCTGTAGTGTAATCAATGGCCCTGATTAAACTTTCCAAATAAAATATATCAAGGTTAACGTGTGAATTATTGATGTTTTCAGGTAGTTATGGCTTTTCAATCTCCAATGCCAAGCAGAGAGTTTTTGTGGGACATATTCCGAAGGTAAAGTATATTTATAGCTGTCTTTTTAAATTAAATTAAATACACGATACGAGCACAGCAACGGCAATGTGTGCTTTTATACCGATTCGATACAGTATTTTGCCTGTCGATATTATCGACCCGCATGAAAACTCTGAAATGTAAATATCCTAGTCTAGTATCTATACGATATTTATATAAATTATATTTTATATTTGTTGGGTGCTGAATTCTGAACTATTTTGAATTTGAAACAGTTATAGTTTTGTTCAGAAGACTAGTAAGACAATGTTGTTTGTACAACCGTATCCGTGTTTGTATTAAGGCACCATGCAGGTATATGATCACATATTAGAATTACCTAATTTGTAAAGAACTAAAAAACATTGAAACATCTTCAATATTTTAATTTAAACCATTGATTGAATTTGCGGGTCCTGCCTATATATTTATGCACTCTATTTAACAGTCTACGTAGAGTGCAAAAATATATTGGCATTGCATACAACAGAATAATGAAGGATGTTACTCATCCATTTTGGCAAGCATCCTGTGATGATAATATAATTAGAGTTTGTTTAATGATAACAAACAAAAAAGTTATTTAGAACAATTAGATCTTCTGTGCTAGCAAGAGTAGTAGCAACAGACACTAGTTGATTTTTGAGTTGAATTTAATAATAATTTTAACCTAACCATGGACCACGGTTCACGGCCTTACCTATAGCTCCGCAGACGGCACAGCCAATGCTACAAATGAAATCTACTGTACGAGCCAGTGTAACCACGCTTTTAGATGTTGGTAGTTTAAGGTTATATAAATATGACTATAACACTATGTTATGGATAAAAGAGGTCTCCAAAGTTGAACTCATTTTAAGTACCTATTTATTGTAGCGCATTTAAGACACGTCAGTCGCGGAAAGGAAAGCCGCTCTGTACTCCGTGCGTCGCCGGCAAATTCCTCTTTCGTGCTCCGCATTTGTCTATTACTGCCACAGAGGACAGCCCCGTAGCCCGTGGGTCATTTAGTAATAAAGTAAAAAAAATCACCAATAATGAAAAAAAAATGTATTTTTTTTTCAGAGTGGATAGAGATCGTAGTGGCTATATTTCAGCAGATGAGCTGCAACAAGCGCTTTCCAATGGTACATGGAACCCGTTTAATCCGGAAACTGTTCGGTTAATGATCGGTATGTGCCTATTTAAATGATTAATTTTATTTTTTATCAAATGTCCTGTATAATAAAGAAACAAAGTTTACTAAAGCAATATTGATTCGCAGGAATGTTCGACAAGCAAAATAGAGGTGCTATTACATTCGAAGATTTTGGAGCACTATGGAAATATGTTAGTGACTGGCAGAATTGTTTCAAATCGTTCGATCGTGATAATTCCGGTAATATTGACCGACAAGAACTAAGAAATGCCCTCACTGCATTTGGATACAGATTATCAGATGAAGTGGTCAGTATTATGGTACAGAAGTTTGATAGATTTGGAAATGGAACCATACTATTTGATGATTTTATTCAGTGCTGTGTAACACTCTATGTAAGTATTATTGATATTTCTAAAGGCTATTCAATGTGCTTTCCATATTTAAAATATAAATCATTTAATTGTTATAAAAATATAACAGTTTATTTTAACAATTTCTTAGATGCCTAGATTAAGTTTCTCATACATGTTTCCAGACTCTCACATCAGCGTTTCGTCAATTTGACACTGATCAAGATGGAGTTATCACTATACATTATGAACAATTCCTGAAAATGGTGTTTGGACTAAAGGTATAAGATCCTGAAGGACTATGGTATTGTTATTATTCCACAAGTAACCTTAATTTTGTTATTATTATTTTTTATTCTTCATGAATATTCCTTGTTTTACAGATAGTACTAGGTCCTAATTTTACGGTATTCCCAAAAGCAGTTAATGTGAAAAAAAAACAAATTGTCAATTCATTGTTTTTTGAACCTTTTTATTGTATCCGTTTGTACAAATAGTTTCTTTGAGCTATAGGTGCCGTTTTATTCAGATAAACTGACGAAATTATGCTTATTTTAACTGAGAGCAGTCATATTTTTCGTAAAAAACCCGGTATTACGGAAATTAACTTTGACGCTTATTGAGCTTCTACGTTTGTATTTAAGAGGGGAGGCAGAAAAGTTTTTTTACGTTCTCGATTGATTTCTTCTTGATTTTAGCACGAAAGAAATTATTTTAATACATAAAATATAGTAAGTAAAATATACTCATTCTATGCTCCTATATGTCTTTCTTTTTTTGATAAATTGTATTTTAAAGAATCTAGAAGCCCTCAAAAATGCCATAAATAAACAATTTTTACCACGCAAAGCGTCTAGTGTGGTGCATCAATAAGCATTTGCAAAAAAGCAAAACATAGATGCCTAGTATAACGACTCATTATTCTATGGGTAAAATTTATTTTACATTATATCTAATTTTCGAGGAGGAAATCTTCGAGAGCCAAACATGAATTTTGCAATTTTTGTACGCAATTTTCAGCGTTAGCTATTGTTATCCCTATCTCACGGTATTTGACAATGCTCGGCAGCAACCTATTTCTCAAATGTCTCCCAGCTCGATTCCGCTCTTAATCTTCAACTGCCCAGGATTCAAAGTAATCGAAAAAAGCAAACTCATAATTTACGTACAGAAGAATTAAATTTTCCTATATTTTGTATAATCAGCTCTCATAGCAAATTAATGTAGTCTCAGTTTTTATAACTTATAGTTTTTGAACACAAATAAACTATCTAATGGTGTCGATTCTGGATTCTATAAACCTAATACTAAATTTGACAGCAGTGGTGCCAATTCTGGCGTGATTCTCTAAACTTAAAACTAAATTTAACATCAGTCTCTCCTTTTTATTCTGTATAGAGAATGACAAGGATATACTGCTGTCAAATTTAAGTTTAGGTTTAGAGAATCATGCTAGAATCGACACCAGTGTATCCTTGAAACTCTCTATACAGAATGGGAAGGAGAGACTGATGTTAAATTTAGTTTTAAGTTTAGAAAATCATGCCAGAACCATCACCAGAATTTAGTCATTTTGTATAATATCTAGTATTTATAGCTATTATTGATGTGTAACATCTTTCCTCTCGTTTTCGTGCAATTTGTGGGAGTGATTACGTGAAGTGAGACGGAAGTGTATAACAGGAAGCTTGGGAAGCGCGCGCTATTTAATTTGATTTTAGAACGTAATGTTCAAATGGCTTATTCCTTTTGTAGTAGGTTTTATTTCTATTTTTAATAATATAAGGCGAGGTTTCAAATGTTACACATCATACGCGACTTCTGTAAGACTCACTCGTTTTTTATAATATTGGCATGATAGGCGTATTATTTTTTACGTTACTTGTTCTTATTCCAGTTTGCTTCTAGGTTTTTTTTTATTATTATATCTATTTTATTATTTTATTGTTTCTATTCTACTTACACCTTTACCTGGAAACCTTTGATTATAAACTCCGTTGCATATAATAAATTCTTAGGAGTTTCAGAAAACTTGGGTTCTTCAACTTAACTGAACTTACTTTACTTTACTTTTATGTACTTACCCATATATTTCAATTCCTTGAGATTGAGACTATTTTGCTGACATAATTGAGCAATAATAACTGATAGATAGCCTTTTAAATATTTTAATACAACTCTTTGATATTGTAATTATTGTATTATGTGCTTTTGGGAATAAAATCATAAAATTAGTGCGGTGTACTTAATTTTAAGTGAGTAAGTAGTACTTAGTGCTTATGATTTATTCTCGATGAAGCAGTTGAACTTTGTATGTTTGTATTTATTTAGGTACAGTATTGATAAGTCGTTAGTCTCAACTTTCGTAAATAATTTTGAACATAATGGTCAACAAATTCAACTACTTTTCTTGGTAAATGACTGATTTGTCATAGTTGTTAACTGCTTAACATTCCAAACAATTCGAAAACCATCAACAATATTTGTTATTGTTTATTAAAAATTCTCCAGTCATCCAGTTGTAGGTGCGGTATTTTTAGGTATCATTAAGATATCAATTCTAATTTTAACTTAATTGCGCAACTAAATTAGTCATTCGATGTATCGTAGATACTGCTACATATAAAAGCAAATATAATATACGATTTTTACTCTAGTATGTATGTATGTAAGTAGCTACTTTAAGCAACGACTTTCAAATTGTATGTATGTATACTGCTAGACAGGCAGTTAAGCACCGTTACAACTATTTTTGCCTATTCAGTTTGACATTGAGAATAGGTTAATATTTTTTTATTTCTTGGAGAAACATTCTAAGAAAATTACGCAAGTGAAAATAATCAAATTAAAAACGAATTATCTCCTACATTCAATATATAGAAATACATATTATACGAAAGAATATTGAACTAAAAATGAAGTGGCCCTGATTTTTGGGTAATTCTTTCACACTTTATGCTTTTCTATAGTAGTATAATTTTTATAAGTCACTTTATGAATAAACATAAATGCTTCCCATTGCAAAGCAATGAATATATTGACTGTAATATTTAATGATAATGACCCTTTATATTATTAATTGAGATTTTTTGGAGATATGCAGTCCTCAGTGCAACTGTAGTCACTGCGATTTATAAAATCTATTTCTATTATGACTCGCCGCCATATTAAAGTATCTCTTTTAGCCCGAAAGCTTTTAAGCTCTGGGTGTATTATATGTCGTCCTAGATGAATACTTCGTTTGTGGATTAGAGGCCTTACTTGTTAATGAAAACAGATAAATATAATAAATATATAATATAATGCTTATTTAACTCAATAAAATAAATACTTGATTTATTTTGCCAAAGCGAAGTTGACATAATGTAAAAATGCATGAAGCAGATTAGTTACAGTTCATCCAGAGATTTTTATAGTAGTTGTTATTATGTCCTTGGAATTGAATGCAAACGTTTTTAAACTAGAGCCATTATTTTTGTTAGGCTTTAGCAGCATAGTCTTAAGTCTGGTCTCGTTGCTAGTTTGTCTTAGTTCAATGTTTATTTTCCTGGGTAGCACATAGATATAAAGCCCAGACAAAATTAACAAAATGTTTCTCTTTTCCGTCCAGTGTTGGCCGTAACCGTTGCCGCCATGGGTATAGCTCGTGACAGATCTGCGGGTAAATATTTTTATACAATCGTGTAGTAAGGTATACGAGTACCTTTTATCTCATTCTTTTTCGTCTAAGACTTCTGCTGGCCTATTCCAAAACACTGACTAAATTTAGTCATGGTTTAAACCTAATGCTGTCTCCGTCTTCTATTTAGCGAACAAAAGTGACAGCATCAGTTTTAAACCAGGTTTAACTTGAGTCAACGTTAAAGGGTTCGAAACGCTCAATGTAGACTCTTATCAACCATAATCTTTTGTAATAGAATTCAAAATTGTTGGAACTTACTGATCTTGCTCATATATACTGTAGAATTTGGTCGACAATAGCTTGATGTTTTTGATATGAAACGATCGATGTACCCACACCGAGTCACGAATTCTGAGCTATTTTTTACAAGCTTTTATTACTTATTAAAATTGTTAGCGTCCGATATTGAAATATAGCAACATTGACCTGAGGCCCAATCACAAACTTTGACGCATCCGTAATCGTGTCGTCATCGTCAAATTTTGTATAGAAAGTGCCAGTTTGTTCTTACTGCTTAGTTTTTATAGAAACTTTGACGATGCGATACGATTACGGAGCTGTCAAAGTTCGTGCTTGGAACTCGAAATTTAATAGCAGTCTCTCCTTCTCATTCTGTATAGAACATGACCAGGATAATTCAATTTTAGGTTTAGAGACGCATTACAGCATCGTTAAATTACGCTGCGAGTCTGATTATGGTGTGCTGAATAATATTGTATTGTGTAGTATACACTACGTATGGCGTTTTCGTCTCATTTTAACAATTGAGGAGCTGCCGAACAAAACGTTATAATTACATAAAATTAAATACTATAGGAGCTGTATAAAACTGAATGACATACTTACAGTGAGGTTTTGGCATGGTTTGTAATTTATAAATTTAGTAATTTTAACATTGTTTTAGGTGGTTTTGATTGAAAATTATTTTAGATTCAAATTCAACGGGCCCGAAACCTCCAGACTGTAAAATAAAAAAAGAAGTTTGAGCAGATGCGTAATTATACCGTTTTGTTCGCCAGCTCCTCAATTTAAGAAATCATCTGGGTATTGCTCTTAAGCATACGCTCAAGATACCGATTTTAATAAGAATCTTATGAAATCTTAACGCACTTTCATATTGTGGTGTTCAATGTAATAAACTGAAGTTGAAACTGTTAGTTGTAATATATGTAAGAGGCTAGTCTATAAACACAATACTGAGTACCCACCTATATATTTTCTTTAAATTACCACAACTAAAATGTCCTCCAAAGCCACGCACCATGACATCATTTCTTCTTTTAGCAGGTGTGGGTATTAACCCATACATTTATTAAGATAATAAATATACTTCCAGACACATGTATCGGCCCACCGAGCATTTTAAGTTTTGATTTGACGGTCCCAAGCTAAAAATAAAGTGACATTGAGCAAAAAAGTTTTATGCAGTTTTGAAGCTGATTTGTGTACCATCGATTTGTGTTTATTTGTTTTAATATATTATTATTGCTCGACCTAACTTATAGTTTTGCTACAGACTTCAGTGCGCCGATAGATGCGTCCGGGAGAGTTGTTACAGTTGCATTTATAACTCACTAGCTGTGCCCCGCGGTGTTACCCGCGCTTAATTAGGGATATTTTCCTGCAGTAAAACGTATCCATTAATCCAGGATGCCAGCTAAGTCCATACCAAATTTTTTAAAATCGCTCCATTCGTTTAGACGTGAAGAACTAACAAACATACACACTCACAAACTTTCGCCTTAACAATATTAGTGTGATCACCAGACAACTTCATACGCAGTTCAGAACATCGGATTGAAACTAGATTCCAAAATTTTGTAATGGTTTACTATATGTAAATATTAAAATTGTAAATAACCGTACCTAACTATTCAAACCTGTCACAAACTTGTTAAGAAGAAAGTGAGTTTGTACTACTATCTTATATTGATGTACGCACAATGACGGAGAATGTGTAAAAATATGAATTAATAGCCCCTTGGAAACAACGGAATCCTATAGTTATAACTCTTAATTAAAAATAAATATTCGTTTTTGACATGAATTTATAAAGAAAATTTGTACTAGAAAAAAATAATACAATTAACCAAACTTTAAGAGAGGTACTGGAACCTCTACTGGTTTGGGATATCAACGCGGACTGTAAACAGCCCAGTTTGCAGGCTGGAATTTAACAAATAAATATCCATCGCTCTATAAGCGATTGATTTGACCATTATACTACCGAGTACCGAGGCCACCTCTTGACATTGTAAAAGAAAGAAAAATTTGCTGTAGATACCTAAGTAAGTATAATATCTTTAGGTATAAAAATCCTAACAATTTAATAAGTACATAATCGACTTGTAAAGTTTGTGTTTATTAACCGCAGTCTCCTGTTCATAGTCGACTGCAATTTAACTGCAAGCGGACTGCTTGGTTGTTTCAATACAGTTATTTTCTCGATGATGTACTAAGTTCAAATTCAGGATCTTCGTCTTAACTCTGAATAGCAAAGATTTATAGCATATTTTTTATCGCACGCCTATACATAATCAATAATATTAGGATTCTGTTATTTATGAACCTTAGCGCCTAATCTTAAGATTTGTAAAGGTATTTTTGTACAAGAGTAAAATAATAAATCTCAAATTAAATGTAACTCATTTTGCCAAATTTTTATATTTTATTTTTTTTTACTATCGGAGAGGCAAAAACTAATTTATTTCTATTTAGAAAATGTTACAGAATGGTCTTTTTTTTATTCATATCCTATACATAGTATAAATTGTGGCCCGGCTACGCTCAGTCCTTCCTGCGAGCATGCCTGCGCAAACCAGTTTACGCACCACGTCGTAAATTTTAATAAAAATTAGTGATGTTAGAAGTTATTCGAAGGAATGCGTTTGTTTATTGCTTTTTTATCACTAAACAATAAAACTAAGCTCACATAAAAAAAAACTTATTCCCCTTGTCACATTCTGACGTTACGAGTTCTTAAAATACAATGAGGTTTGCGCAGTGCAGTTAGTGCGAGCTTACCTGTACGTGTGGCCACTGTACAGTGTTCAGTCTTTATGTACAGTCATGCCTGCACATTTAGATTGCGCAGGCATGATGAAGCGTATAGTCACACCAAACCAAAAAGGGAATATACGGTACGCTCATACTAGCATCAACTAAAATGCTACGAATCAACTAAGTACATAAGCAACTCTCACGTACGCACACTTCTGTAAATAAACATTCAATCGAGCGAGCGTGACAGAACTGTACGCTTCAACGCAACGCAGCGCGAGCGAAACGGTGAGAACGTGTCGCTTGGCTTGGCGACTGCGTTTTCTTTTCTCTCTACAATCGGCTGATCTGTATTGTTCTCCTTTTCTTGATAACAAGTGCCGTTGCCGTGAAATTTGATCTTGAACTATTTGTGTTATTTATAAAAGCATCGAAGGCATTGTCTTATTCTATTATTGTATCTTTAAAACACAGAATATACGCAATATTGTTATATTGAGTGCACATGCAGCGTGTTTGAATGTGCAATTGTGACTAAAGCGAATTGTGGTCATGCACCACAATTTAAGCGGATCCCTTTTGAGCCGGGAGTGCCGTATCTTCCCTTTTTGTTTTAATCTAAGCCGGACCATCATACTTTTAATGTTAAGCTGATGTGTTTCTTTCAAAGTTAATATTTACCATTTAACCTTAACAAGATTCAATGGATACCCAAAGTGGCATAAATTATTTCATGTATATTTTTAAGTTAAATCCTGTAACTGCAGTTCTTATGATCCCAAAGTCGATGGCCTATTGCATATAATTAAGAAAGTGTATAAATCTAAGTTATTTGTACCAATCATTGTAGAGTTCATTTAATGAACTCGAAACAAACATATTTTTATCAATTTAAATGGTTTGATTGTAACTGTTGTATGTAACTCTTAACTACTATTGATCTGTGTCTTTGCAATATTCTATTTATTTAACTTGTTGTCATACAGCCAAGCTGAAGGATTGCAATGCATTTTATAAATATATGTTTTTTTCAATAAATCGTTGTTTCATTATAAATTAGCCCTTTCTGCTATCATAGCAGATTTATTACTACCTGTATTTATATTTTTTTTATTTCTACTTGTATTAATTGAATGTAATCTGTTGAAGTACTTAGAGCAATGACAGTTTTGCAACATTTTAGAGCTGTGTTGAAACAATGAAAAAAATTGATCTCACAATCGTAGAATTATAATGACAAAAATTAATAATGTTGTTTTAGGAAAGTTTTATAATTTACACTGCATGTTGATTCTCAATCCGTCTTATGCCTTAACTTCCAAGCACCTATAGTATATTTCAACCAGATCAGTCCAAGATCACAACCCATCTGCACCCAAGACAAAACAGGTGTTACTTTAGAACCATCTATTTCAGTCCATCTTACAGGAATCTCAGTTATTGGAATGTTCAGTTTTTGGGCAATGTACAGTAGTTCGACGTCGAACGCCCTGAAAATAAAAATATAATTTTAGGTATGAAATATACAAAGGATTGAGTGTGTGTTGGCAATACAGGCAGTCCTCGTACTAACGGCATGTTAGGTTCTCGAAATACGCGACGAAAATCGAAACGACGTAAGTCGAGACATATTTTTTCATATTTCATAAAATGTCTTGTTTAGGTGGCATTGATCACAATTCACTCAAAGATGTATGTAAAAACAAAAACTGTCAAAGATGCAAAATAAAACTAATTTATTACGTCTCGATTGTCTCCCTGAACTAACTAAACAAAATCAGAAGCTTGTGCGGGGTAATTCACGCTCGCCGAAACCGCGTCCCACCGACCCCACGGACATTGTCCTCGCGACAAGTGAATTCTCCTATGCCTTAAATCGAAACAATTGACGTATGTTTGAGGAATAGTGTCAAAACATTGTTCGACGTAACTTGAAACGACGTAAGATGAATACTGCCTCTATAAACAAACATTTCGTCCGTACTTCTTGGTATCTATTGGTACCTGGTGAAATATAGGAATATTTTACTGGAACCTATTATAAGTAGCGTTAAGTACATGGGGCTTACCGCCGATCGGGATTGCTTTGGCTATTGCTATAGCTGATGATTTCGGTTTGTTATTTCTGACCGCCGAAGGTTTACAAATACCTCGCCCCCGTTTTCTTTAATACCTATTGTTATAACCAATGCAAAAAGAGCGCAAGGCATTTGAATATCTTAGGTGGTCAAAAGTAACAAATTTAATCATAAGCTATAGGTACTTAGTAGTAAAAGCATTCCCGGTAGGCCTCAGGACTAATCCTCATAATATGAATGAATATATTATATTCCATACCGGACCACTTCTTCTTTTATATTGGTACTTTGTCATTTAATATGCTTACCATCTATTCACGTGGAGATTCTTAAAACAAGTTCGAGCTGACTTCCTAGTGAAGAGTTTAAACCCACACTGTGTATCTTTGATACCTTTCACAGTGAATAGCCACACCAAAAAATGGAACCCGAACATTAGTATATTTCTGGGAACAAAAAAGGTCTGTTTCAAAAAAATTGCATGTTTTATTGATATATTATAATATGATCATCCTATGAATGTCCCCACTGCAGAAGCACAGGCCTTTCCTATCGACGGAATTGTGGGTGTTAACAATGAGGGTTTTCTGGAATGACGGACACCACGTGGCAGTACTGAGACGAAAGGTCTACTCCTCCGTTAAGTCCCATATGTTCTCATAGTCTATGGGTCTGGTCTATGGAGTTCGCGCCAAAAACTTCGCACAAAAGACCTCACGTCACAGTGGCGCCAACTGGTGACGTAAATTTTTATGAACACCTTAATTGCATATTTTCCATAGACGATCGAAATAATGTGTTAGTCGGTCAACCATTCTATGACCGGCCATTGCTAAAGTTCCTGAACTTCAACTATGGCAGCGAGTACGCACTAACCGTGTCGACATCAAGCTTCTCTTCCTATATAATGCATTATAAGTATATAACACCGGCCATTTCCGCTTGTCACCCCCATCTTTATCCCTTCCAGTGACAAACGACTATGACTTGGGAAGAAATAACGGTGCTTATCATTTTATAGGTGCCTCTGAGAGGATTTTCAACCCAGGACCTTATAGGGCAGGAGCGTTGCCGTTGCAACATTTTACCATCGTAAATGATGCACAAATGTTTGATTTAGGGCGTGTTCAGATGACACGCGGCGATCAGGCATATGATTTGCACACGCGTTGTGCCCACTTCTACCCCCTTATTAACAAATAAGGAATAAGGTTAGACTAGCTACGTCGTGTTTTGTTCATGTCACTCAAATACTATTTGTCATTCAACGAACAGAGACAAAACATAGATTAAATAATCCAAGCTTATTCTTCGTTTATTAATAAAGGGGCTAGTGACTGGATTACTTCTTTCAGTAGACGCGGGTGCAGCGCGTGTTTGGGTGGCCTTCGATAAATGGAATTTGAGATTTGTTGATATGTATTAAGAAGAGTGATGTTTAAAACAACAAAAATTCAAAGAGAGTTAGACGCGGATACTGACGTGCGTGGCGTGCGCGTAACGGGCGCGTGTCATTTGAACGCACTCTGATGGCTATATTTAGGGTTCTTCTCGTCTACAAAACTACTCTACAGATGTTCTTCAATCAGCTAAAACTGACCTTCAGTCTGAATGGGAGACGAGATGGAGCCGCAACTCCAAAATTATAGGCCGCCATTATGGCCGCCTCCAGGTAACAATACCGAGAAAACCGTGGTTCGCCAAATTTCGCGACTTTCCCCGACGAGTTATTACAACGATTAGTCGTCTCCGTCTTGGCCATGTTACTTCTCCAGTTTTTCTCGCAAAGATAAGAATTTTAGATAACTCTATCTGCGAATGCGGTCTTGAAGAAGGCACCACAGACCACATTTTCTTTAACTGTCAGAAACACCCGTCTCTATATCCTCTACTTCCGCCCAAAACTCAGCGTCCCGTTAACCTTAACACTATTTTAACAGTTTCTGACAAGCCTGGCTTTTATTGTTTATGTAAATATATTAAAAAATATAATATAAAACTATAACGTTAGTATCCTCTCTAAATATAACTAAACTTTTTTTTTTTCTCTACCGATCAAATTGCCTACACTGTGTTGTCTTTGCTTGCATGCTTTCAGAAGAACAATAATAAAAGCTCAAGGAAGAAGGGTTATTCGGATAATTTTTTTTTTTTTCTGGTAATTACCGAGCAATCTCTCCCTTACCGTGTCTCTCTCACTACGGGATATTGGCGAAATTTCTGTGTGAAACGGAAACAGCCACAGAAAAAAAAAAAAAATTAGGGTTGCCAACCCTACTATATAATATAGTGTCCTACTTTATTAGGTGGTCTCATACTATATTTCTTAAAAAATATATATAGTAGGCGAAAACACTATATTTTCCTTAAAGCAGATTTTTGCCAGAAAAAGCGTTCTTAGAAATAAAAAAATAATAGGCTAGTTGACTCATGTCGAATTGTATTAAATAAATGTTTATTTCTTACAGTATTTGGTCTAAGGAACCTAAATATATCGAGTTCACTTCATAAAAGCAGAAGATTGCTGTAGAAATTTAATTTTAAAAAATATTTGTTAGTCTATATTTTTTAAACACTAAAAACGCTGTTCGGCACATCCGCCATGATTGTGACGTCTCTTTCAGTAAACAATTAAATGTCATTCGAGTGTTATTGTGGGTGGATTATTTAGTCTGAATAAATTTATCTTAAAACACTTTTAACTTTAGAAACGTTTCCGTTTACTGTTTTTTTTTTGACAAAAGTAATTAATTATGGATGCCGACTTTGTGAAAGCAGAAAGCTGCCAAGAATTGACGCATTGATGGTTGGTGAATTTTTTGCATTAAACCCTGATTTCTGCTCTGCGGAGCAGAGAAACGACAAGGCATCTATGTAATTACAGTGCATTTATTATTACAATGTAGTAATAAACATAAAACTGATACAACATATGAATAAGTGTAATAAAGTTGCGTAGGTTAATTTCTTTCGGCACTTTAATCCACAACTTTCCTGGAGTCTTCAAGGATGTGTTTTTATATTCTCGTACAATACAATAATGATAATTACTTTATTTTTCGTGGTATTTATTAGAAATCATGTTCTTTTTATTATAAACTCAGATAAGTTATTTTCTACGTGCTTACGAGTTTTTGTTTACTACAGTTGACAATTGACATCATAGCATAGACAATCTATAGACTAAAATGGCCGACAGCGTTTTTGTATGTCCATGAAAATTCTATTTCAAAATTAAAGATTTGTAGCTTTCTAGGTCTCAAAAAAATACAATACATTTTTTTTCGGTCTGCTAGAACATTAATTAACCATTTACAACCTTTTTCCAAAAAGGGTCAACTAGCCTATTATTAAGGCATGGAAGTGCAAAAATATATTTATTTTAAAAATAAAGTAGATATTTTAACCACATACTATATTGTTCTCCATCTTTTTGCCATCTACTATATTTTTAGAGGTACCGCCATGGCGCCGCAACTAGTCGCGCCATCGTGGTGTCCGTAAGCTACCAAACTAGTCACCAAACAAACACCAGAGTCGCCACACCACACTAATGGCTCAATTATTCTTGATCTTTAGTCTGTATTCGGCTACACGAAAGACATTACTCGATTTCGAGCACCCGATGAAATATTTACACTGGGATACGGGCTGGATGGCGCGGGAGGTTAGTGCGTTCGGTTGCGAGCGCAGAAGTTAAGCAACTATCGCAGTGGTTGGTCATTGGATGGGTGACCAAAAATCTTCTATCTCGAGTTCCTCCGTGCGTCGGAAGGCACTTTAAGCCGTTGGTCCCGGCTCCCGGGCTCGGCCAATCCGCACAGGGCCTGCGTGGTAGGTCATGGCCCACTCTCCCTGTTCCATCCATAGGGAAGGCCTGTGCCCCAGCTAAGGGGACATTAATAGGCTGATGTCGGGTGTCGGGTAACCAAAACGAAATCTACCCGAATTATCGCGTATTCGACTCCGTTCATTTACACTTAATCATTTACCCGAATTCCATTGACATTGGTATACGGGCTGACGACCAAGTGAATCGTGCCATCAGACAGTATCAAAATGGACCTCACACGTGTTGCATGACAATGAGATGTGGCGTTACTGGCTGCCGAGTGAGTGAGAAACCATACAACGCTCTAGTAATTAGTATAGTGGCGCGATCAGCGTAGCAGCGCGACCAGTAACATTCTGTGCACGCGTCCGACCTGGGGGCCATTCGCCTAACGGGATTGCTTTGGAAAACGCTATCGCTTACGATTTCATTTTGTTAGGGGGCGTCCATAAATTACGTGAGATGTTTAAGGGGAGGAGGGGGTCGAGTCATATCTCATCTAATCTTACGTTGGAGAGAGGGGGGGTCTCGGCAAATATCACGCAATTTTTTTTCACAGTAGTATCTATTAAGTATTCTATTGTTAAATTTTTATTACACTTATAACTCTCAGCAATATTGATTACTAGTCTTAACTAGTCGTAAATAAAAGCACGAAGCATTTTTTTTCTTTTTACAATAACAATATAACGCGTTTACGAAAGAAACCCACATTTTGAAAAATCTCACGTGAGATTGGGGGAAGGGGGAGGGGGTTGAATAAAATCTCACGACATCTCACCAGGGGGGGAGAGAGGGACAGAAAATCCAAAAAAACACCTCACGTAATTTATGGACGCCCCCTTATTTCTGACCGCTGAAGGTTTTCAAAAAGAGCGCAAGGCATTTGAAAACCTCAGGCGGCTAGAAATAACAAAATGAAATCGTAAGCGATAGCGTTTTCCAAACCAATCGGGTAAGGCGATTGGCCCCCTGGTCGCGCCACCGAATTGGTTGCGCAGCCAAATTGCCCATGAGTAACTCTCTATAGAGCCGTCGTCGTCATCGCCGGTAACTTTATGAGGATTTTAGCGAATAATATAACGGTACTTACCTAAATATACTTCTCTTTGCTAATGACTCCTTTTCCAAGTGTGCTCTAGAACCAATAGCAATGCCGTGACAGTTCTCTACCATGTTGGGCTCCTTAAAATAGTCATATTTCACCTTATCTTTTAAAGCTTCTTCAAGTTTACATATATCTTCAAATTTTGAAGCTCCATCAGCGTCAGCAAATAGTATTAACGAACCTCTTGAACTTTGTACACCCTAGAAAATACAATAGGTACTGTGAAAGGTTTACCTTTATCATCCTTCTCAATTATAATATTACTAGCTGTCCCTGCGAATTTCGTAACGCCATAAAAACATAGGGGTTGGTGGTAGAAGGGTGAAAATTTAGTGTATTTTTGTATGATGAATCATAAAAAAATAAAAACAGAATTATTGAAGGGTGCACCACCCTTAACATTTAGGGGGATAAAAAATAGATGTTGTCCGATTCTCAGACCTACTGAATATGCATATATTTCACGAAAACCGGTCGAGCCGTTTCGGAGTAGTTCAATTATGCACACCATGACACGAGAATATTCTTTATTCTTTATTGCATGCCACAGATAGTACAAAAAACAACATTATCATAACCTGTACAAACATGTGACACCCTGCAAGGGCGTTGCAATTTTACTTAAATTATTATTATTAATTAAACAAACAATCAAATATATTATAAAAAAATTCAATTCAATTATTAAACATGCATCTTATATATATCTCTTTTTTTTTTATTACTTCATTAAAATTATATATCAAATATGTTTTTTATCTTGGAAAAATTCTAATATATTATAATATGATTTATTAATAAGATATTCCTTTAGACATTTTTCAAAAATTGTATCGTTTTCCAAATTTTTAATATTGTTGGGTATGTGATTATAAATTTTAATTACCATGGAGTGTGGAGAATTAGATACGTATAGGCATCAGAGATGTATAGGCATGTTATGGTAAGTATTTTAAATTTTTTGAAGTATGGTTTGCAGGAGTCTGTCTGTTTTATATTTGCAAGTATTCTTATAATTTTTTTCTGGAGGACAAAAACATCATGAATATCCGTGCAGTTACCCCACAATATAATGCCATAGGTCAGCCTGGAATGGACAAATGCATGATATGCAGAAAGGGTGGTATTAAGGTTAGTACTGCGTTTCAACTGTCTCAGTGCATATACGAGAGAGGACAATCGAGTTGTTAGCTTTTGAGTAAGTGGTTTCCAGTTTAAATGCGAGTCTAGCTCTATTCCTAGCATGGTTGCAGAGTTTACAGTTTCTAATTTGTTGGATTTGTATTGGTAGTTGATGTTTAATGGGGTCTTTTGATGAGGTCTATATTCCATTAATTTAGTTTTCTCCAGGTTAAGCTGTAGATTGTTACACTCTAGCCATTTTGTAAGCGAATCTAATGTCGCGTCCAATTTTACTTTAAGTGAATCAGTGCTTGTGCAGGAAAAGACTACTGAAACGTCATCTGCATAAAGCACATTATCAAAAGGAATTGAATCTGACAGGTCATTCACGTATATCAGAAAGAGTATACAACCTAGAACGCTACCTTGTGGTATTGATCCGGTGATAGGGGTAAAATCAGATCTGATATGTCTAATTTCTCCAGTTTCGAAGTTGACATTTTGTATTTCTACGCTCTGGTGTCGATTCCGAAGATAACATTTAAACCACTTGAATTGTCAAAAAATTACTGAAATCTTCACGAATTATAAACAAATGATATATATAACTCATTTTTGACCAAAGTGGCATATAAGCGTTTTTGCCTTTTCACTGTCGGTAAACCTTAAAATTGAAATTAAAAATAATCACACTAGGTTAAGGTCTTTAGGAATTTTAGCTTTAGCAGCCACTCACCAATCGGACGGCACCCCCCTTCCCTCTATTTTTAATCAGCTCCAAACATCTAAGCTTTTCACTGCCATACTTGTCCATATAGTTTTCAGCTACTTCTACAGTTTTGTCTCTGCTACCATCACTGACTATTATTATTTCATATTTATATGTTGGGTATTGTTGCAGTCTGTTTTCGAGGAATTGCAGAGCTTCATTTAGCATTGCAGGCACTGTTGAAAATAACAAATATTGTGTAGTTCCTTTTTAAACAGATACACTAAATATTTAATATTAATAGAAAAATTTTACCAAAAATTTGTTTATAAATGTACCATACAAAATTTTGCGCAATTATCCAATTTGGATTTCGATAAACCAATTTATAAAATTTGGTGTTACCTCATAGGTAATAGAATCGAGTATTTCTACATCATGACATATTACTTCTAAACTTGTCAAAATATTTAAGTATCACAATATTCGGGACTCTATATTTTTACATTTGTTTATTGTGAGAATAAAGTATATTCGACATGTAATTATGCTTTAGTGAAATCATAGATATTATAAAATCATATTTTATTTATTAATATAAGTGAAACATTTGTTGAGTAACATCAATATTCATTTTGCTTGCATTGCTCAGTAAAGCAATAGAATCATGAACTATCTTAACAAGGTATATTTGTATGTATATACATTAAAACTTACATCTTTCTTCTTCGTTATATGCTGGAACTACAATACTCAAATTTATACTCTGAGGATCATCAATACTTGGAAATTTCATTCTAGTTTTCGTTTTGTTGTCTCTGTATGTTTTCTCTTCTTCAAAGTGTTCAATGATTGGGTAAGGATTTGTCACAAAATAAATTATCAGTGATATCTGTGAAACAAAATAAAATTATACTACAGAAAATTCTAATGACTAGAACTTAAAACTATCTCAAGTTATTTTGCAATTCTCCTATCCTGTTGTTTGCTCTTCATCTGAGCTACTGGAGACCTTTTTTGTGGCTGAATTCTGAAACTTATTTGCTCTTGATGTAATCTAGCCTTAACTAAATAAAAGAGTATGAACTTATGGAACAGGCTGTTTTTAGTTAGATCACTGTGATCTAAGAATATATTTAAAGATAATTTAACATCCATCAGTGAATAAAACGCTGACGTGTTGAATTAAAATAATGTAACATAATGTAAATGAAATTTCAATAGGCTGTATTTACCATTAACAGCAGGATTATGCCTAAACAAAGTACTTGAAATATTATGTAGAAGAAAAATGAAAACACCTCCATCTCAAATTCAATTTGCCGACAAATATAATTTTATAAAACTAAATTAAAACTATAAAACTTTGAGCATGGACGAACGAAACCACCTGAAACAACACCGGCTGACTTTGACCAATTTGACATGACGTGTGTGACGGTGACAGATATTTTTCTTCCGTTATGAGAAGACAAAGAATACTATGTCCACACAGGCTCCTCTTTAGTATCGTTTTATTTCCTTTCTTTTTACATTAGAATGCGAATATTACTTTAAACTTAGTATGTTTGGCACGAAATGTACCGATTGAGTTTTCTCGATAAACTTCTCTCTTCAGTTATGTACACGGTTGTAAGGCTGGGTCCCATTTAAGCGGAGCTGAGCAATTTAAAAAAAAAATACCAATGACTTTGCTCAAAATACACCTCTCATCTCCGCTCAGTAGAAACAGTATTTAGCGGAATTGAAAAGAATAACAACAAAATGGACAACGCATGCGGATGGAAGCTGTGTGATGGACCTTTAGTGGTAGAGAGCATCGCTCGGGTAAGTTGTCAACGATAAAACAGGCCCAAAAAAAAAATACCCTGCACGAAAGACTAGACTACCTGTAGTTTATGTTTTCGGGGTCGCTGAGTCCAAATATGGTACCAGAATAGCGAAGTTGGTTCGCGTTTTTTTAACAACATAAACCATGTTGTACGAAAAACTTAAATTTTCAGCATTATTGCTGATTTCTGAAAAAACGTGAACCAACTTCGCTATTCTGGCACCTTAATTGGTCTCAGCGACCCCGAAAACATAAAGTTCAGGTAGACTGGTCTTTCGCGCAGGGTACTTTTTTTGTGGGCCTGTGTAATAATAAGTTTGAGATGCGATCTTAATGTTACGTGGTTCGAAATTATAATGTCGCAGTACACGCTTGACAGTCCTTTATTTAGCACAGAGTGCACACAATTCTATAGTAAAAACACAACATTAATTAATCACTCATGCAGTGGTGGACAAAGTACGTCCCGTGGGCCACATCCGGCCCGCGCTGCGCCGATGGGTTTTCAATTTGGATATTATTTAAGGTCTGAAAAAAATTACTTTCGAAGATTGGATATTAAAAAGTAGGTATAAAAGTTGATATTGACATATGTCTTGTCCATCACCACCTCATAGGTTACATGTTTACATGAAGGTTTTTCTATTCGAAACACTATAAGACGCCGGTCTTTTTAAGTTAATAAATCATTTATCAATAATAATAAGTGCAGAACGTAGCATTGAATTGTTGACTCAAACCAAAGACTCAAACAAATATTAGGTTGCTCAAATAAGAAACTTCTTTTTTTAACCCCCGGCCCCGACGGAAAAAGATGTTTTTTTTTTATGTTATAGGGGGCATACGAGCAGACGGCTCACCTGATGGTAAGTGATCACCGTCGCCCATGGACACTTGCAACACCAGGAGTATCACAAATGCGATACCGGCCTTTAAGGAAGGAGTACGCTCTTTTTATGAAGGTTTTTGGGTCGTATTGGTCATATTGGTGGATGTTATAAGTTTGACGTGTCTATCTTCTGTGTCGTGTGTATCTGTCTGTAATAATAATAATTTATTTATTTCAGGCACCCATTACCCATATATAGAAAATATCTACTTCTTTAGCGGTCTTCTTGACGATTTATATTAGATAGAAGACACATTTCAAAAATTTCAAATCCGTCCAATAGTTTCGGAGCTTATTCAAAACAAACAAACAATCAAATCTTTCCTCTTAATAATATTAGTAAAGACGACTTTTGTGGTGGAGTGTCCCTGGTCGCAGTGTACCTTTATTTGATTTTCAAGGTGTCTCCTACACAGAGGTCCTGGGTTTGAACTTTCGTGGGTCGAACCGTGGCACTGGCATGGTAACCGTGAAATAAGGCTAGAGGTAGGTACGGTTGTAAGTTAGTTATGTAAGTGTATTTTAAATTACTTTGATAAAGGGATTTTAATCTGTCAACAAACAAAATTATATTAGGTACGTAACAAAGCGTAAAAACGTCAAATTAAAAATTAAGAAGAGGGGAGCAGCGACTGCCGGCCAAAGCGGTTTAGGTTATAGGTACCTATGTACATATCTAGCAATAATTCTGGTGTCCCCACCAATTCCGGCAGTGATAACGCTCCTCCGTCCGTTTTAACAACACGTCCGTCACTCCAGCGGAGCCCTCCGTCAAAACACAGTCAAAATGTTTGTCCGCGCTCTACTCGCCGCGAGTGCGCTCGTGATATGCACAGCACGGGAATCGAACCCGCCTCACATAGTGCTCATTATTGCCGATGACTTGGTAAGCGAATCGTGTGCAGTGAATAAGTGCAGTGTGTTTGTTAAACAAAGTCAGATTTAAGTATTTGTAGTAACAGAGATTAACATAACATTGAAAAGCATTATATTGTTTATGTATCACATTTTATTATTATCATTCAAACAGTGTAAACAATCTTACAATGAAGTAAGTAGGTAGGTAAGTGTTATTCCCTCAGTCTTGCACCTAAGTGAGATTAAATAAGAGATAAGTACAAGTACATACTTTATTTATAAACTTTAATTGAACTAATAAAATCATATTACTCACTTTGTCCCATTGAATGTGACCGTGACAGAAACGACGCTTTGTCCTGAGCTGACTGTGCTTGAGCGAGGCGTACTTTGATTGAGGTTCTGTGGTCTGTAGATATCCTGTATACCCTCATGTATGGCTAATGGTAAGGTCATTAACCATAATATTAATTCCTTGGGCCTGCCTGGATAGAATAAAACATAAAGGTAGAATGTTTGACATAATGTATTAAGTTTCTAAATGATAAAGAAACCTAAGTTTGTATGTTTTATCTTTCCTACCTTTCCTATTTACGCTTACATTGTATCAAAAAGATTTTTTAATACTGGTGAAATCTAAGTTTTTACCCTCCCGTGCCTGAAGCAGAGTAAAGACAACATACTATTATGGATGCGCTTTTCTTCCAGGGCTGGGATGATGTCGGTTTCCACGGATCGAATGAGATCCCGACGCCCAACATCGACGCTCTGGCGTACGCTGGCGTGGTGCTGCAGCATCATTACGTGGCGCCTATTTGTACGCCTTCGCGCGCAGCACTCATGACCGGCAAATACCCCATACACACTGGTAAAATTTAATTCAAACCCTTTATAAAACCGTTACCGTATGTTTTATGTCAGACTCTTACTGAAAAGTTGTTGAGGAAGTGGATCGTAGAAAGGAAAGACAATCAGCTCGTAATATTTAGTTTATGTAGTCCCAATCACATTACATTTTTTTAGGTATACACCGTTGACGTATTTGCAAAAGTCCTAGAATGAAGTAACGGTGACATAGAGAACAGGCCATCGAGTCGCGCTAACAAGAAGGTTTTACATAAAATCATAACTTCAACACACCTCCTTGATTTTATAGAAAACAACAAAAACAACTTAATACCAATATAACAACTTAACATAATAAATAAATCACTTAACAAAAGACTATCTGTCATTAACATTTCATTTGACATTTGCCAGTTCTCTAAGTTTTATAAATTTATTTTTTCCTAATGCCTTGGTCAATATATCCGCTAATTGTTTTTCTGTATGAACCTTTACTATATTAATAATACCCTTTTTCTCATAGTCATATAAGAAGTGGTAGCTTATGTCAATATGCTTAGAATTTTTACAAAACTTTCCGTTCTTTGACAACGCAATAGCCCCGCTGTTGTCTTCGTAAATTTTTACTGGATCCCTAATCTCAACGCCTAAATCGCGTAACACACCTATTAACGGAAGTACTTCTTCAACACAGTCTGCCAAAGCATAATACTCGGCATGAGTTGATGCTCTTGACACTATTTTCTGTTTATGTGACTTCCACATGATCGGATTATTAAAAACTCTTATAAGGATTCCTGTCGTCGACTTCCTATCCGATTTATCTGCGGCCCAATCAGCATCTACATAAGCGTCCAATTGTTCTTCGTAGTCGGCGTCATAATTCATTTTTAAATGTCTCGTACAGTAAAGATATTTGAGAACTCGCAAGGCATATTTGAAATGAGTATCACTATAAGCATTTTGGAAACGACTCAAATAGTTTACGCTATAAGATACGTCTGGACGTGTTCCACTTGCAACATACAGAAGAGCTCCAATCAAGTTTCTATACTTTAACGTTGCACTGACATCTTGACTTGGTTCAATGCTTAAATTCATTTCCATTGGTGTCTCAAAGTTCTTTGATTCGATTACGTTATACTTTTCAGCTAAACTTACAATGTATTTTTCCTGGCTTAAAGTCATTCTGCCTTCTTTTGGTTCAAAAACTACATCTATTCCAAGATACTGTTTCACCTTTCCCAGATCTTTCATTCGGAATCTATTGTGCAATAGCCGTTTAACTTCGTCAATTGCCTCATTTTTCTCCCCACAAATCAAAATATCATCCACATACAGACATAGATATATATTTACATTATTTACACACCCTGTATACAAACAATAGTCATAGTCTGACCTATTGAAATTAATGCTTGACATGAATTCGTGAAAGCATTCATACCAATCACGTGGGCTTTCTCGCAATCCATAAAGAGCTTTTTGTAGTTTGCACACTTTATTATTCTCTGTACAATATCCATCAGGTGGGTAAATATAAACTTCAGACTTAATACTCCCATTCAAGAATGCTGTCTCAACGTCCATTTGTTCAATGTTCCATCCTCTTACACATGCAATTGATAATAAAGCTTTCATTGTCGTCATTCGCGCTACTGGTGAATAAATTTCCTCGTTTTCTACATACATCTGTTGGAAATCTCGTGCGACTACTCTTGCCTTATACTTTCCATTCGACTTGATCCTAAAGATCCATTTAACATCTATTATTTTCTTATTTTCAGGTCTCTCAACTAAAATCCACGTTGCGTTCTTTTCCAAACTGTTCAATTCCTCTTTCATTGCATCTTTCCATTTATTTACATCCGGACTTTTTATTGCTTCATCATACGTATCTGGTACCAGTGCATCACTAAAATTTATATATACAACATGATCTTTATATTTCTCTGGCATTTTTCTATCTCTTTTTGGTCGGATATCCGTCACCTCCTCAGTCACAGCTCTACTTGATTTTTCCTTTGAGTCATCAACACTATCATAAAATTCTTCGTTTTCATCAGTTTCATCTTCAGTATTTACTATCTTTATTATCTGTTCTTCTTTCGTACCTATAAATGTAACGTGACGACTAATGACTATTTTTTCATTTGTTAATACTCTGTATCCCGTATCTGTGTATCCTACTAATATACCTTTTGTAGCCTTTGGGTTAAGTTTTGATGTGCGTAATTCGTCTGGAATTCGTACATAACACTGTGATCCGAAAATTTTTAAATTACTTACATTTGGCTTCCTCCCCATAAAAATTTCGTACGGTGTTTTTTTCTCATACGTATTTGTTAATATTCTATTACCTAGATATGCTGCAGTCATAACGCATTCAGGCCAATATTTCTTATTTATCTTTGCTTCTGTAAGCAGACACCTCGCTCTCTCCATTATGGTTCGGTTAAATCTTTCAGCTACACCGTTCAACTCGTGTGTATAAGCTGGCCCTGGTTTTAAATAAATACCTTTTTGCTTTGTGTAAGTGTAGAAATCGTTGTTAATATATTCTCCGCCATTGTCACATCTGATTTCTTTCACTCTCTTACCTGTTTGATTTTCCACCATATTTACATAATCTCTAAAACAATTAAAAACATCACTCTTGTTATTAATTAAGCATAGATAAGCTAACCTACTATAGTCATCTATGAATGACACAAAGTATCGTTGCCCCTTATATCCAGTGGGCGTAATCGGGCCTGCCACATCCGTGTGGATAATCTCTAACAAGTCTGTTGCCCGTCGTCTTTGATTTCCAAAAGGTAGATTTGTCATTTTGTTCATCAAACAAACTTCACATTGCACGTAACCCTCGCCTAAAGTGATAGGTAACCCATCTACAACCCTATGCCTGCACATTTCATTTAGTTTCTTAAAGTTAGGGTGCCCAAGTATTCTATGCCATTTTTCTTTTTCTGACATAATGTTACCACTTGTGTATGCTACTGTACCTGCACCTAAATTAACTCTGCCACCTAATTCGTACAATTTATTTTTCTTGCGTGCGACGGCCATTAAACCTATATGTACATTATATATATTTGCTATTTCTCCTCTAAATTGAATTGTATTATTTCTATTTACAATGCATGAAACGCTTAATAAGTTCTTTTTCATATTTGGAACATAATATACATTGGAAACATCAATTTTATTTGACTTACCTCCTGCTTTACAGTACATTGTTACATTTCCTATTTTCTCCGACTTAAGACAAAATCCGTCACCTACCTTAATATTCACAGGTGTTTCTAAAATTTTATAATCACGAAAGAATTTATCGTCATTTACAATGTGATCGCTACATCCGCTGTCCAATCACCATGTTATATCCGCTTTCGTTTCAGTAGCTCCTGTCATCGCTTCTACTTCTACGTTGAATCCAAATCCATCACTGGTGCTGCTACTTTGTCCTGTATTCACGCTTCTATTGTTGTATCCTCCTCTATATCCTCTGTGAGTTCCTCGTCGTCCGCCTCCATATCCGCGTCCTCTACCACGACCATGACCACGACGTGCTAACTTAGGACAATCCCTCCTGTAGTGTCCTGGGCGGTTGCATTCAAAGCAGTTATCATTATTCCTGGACCCATCTTGGTGTTGATTTGATCGAGAACTGAACGTATGAGCTTCTTGTTCGTTCTGTTTTCTTTTCATTTCAAGTAGTAATTTGGACTTCACGGACTCCACTGTCCGATCCTTTGTCGGCATCGCATCAACAATATTTACAATATGTGCAAAACTCTCAGGTAATGCAAGCAATAAATAGTTCAGTCTATCCTCTTCCGACACGACTTCTCCAGCATTTTTCAATTCATTGATTTGTTTTTCAAATGTTTGTATGAATTCTAGTATATCGTCGCCATCTTTGAATTTTGTTTCTAGTAATTTCCTTTTAATTAATAATTTATTAGCACTGCCTTTTACTAAATACATCTCGTCCAATTTTTTAATCATTTGGTAAGCCGTACTTTCATTCATTATTATATCGAGCTGAGTATTATTTACGCTATTCACTATAATATTTCTTGCCTTTAAATCAATTTTTCTCCATTCCGTGTCCGTCATACCTTCATGTTTCATATCATTTTCCACAGCTTCTTGGCATTCTTTCATTTGTAACAACAACTTTAATCTAAATTTCCATTTTTCATAATTTGCACCATCAAATATCTGAATGCCCACTTCTCCTATCTTTACTTCCATTTTCGGTACCTTACGTCTTCAATTGTTTCGGTACTAACCTTGTCAAATAATTTCCACTTATCTTCCTCTTTCTATTTATTTTATTCAACAACGCTCCTTTGCTACCATGTTGAGGAAGTGGATCGTAGAAAGGAAAGACAATCAGCTCGTAATATTTAGTTTATGTAGTCCCAATCACATTACATTTTTTAGGTATACACCGTTGACGTATTTGCAAAAGTCCTAGAATGAAGTAACGGTGACATAGAGAACAGGCCATCGAGTCGCGCTAACAAGAAGGTTTTACATAAAATCATAACTTCAACAAAAGTGTCCGTGATGTTAGCGTACACACGATCAATATACGGTTTTTCGATACTGCGTAAATAATGCCAAATTAGTGTAAAAATAAAAAAATATTGCCTCTTACGTTTAAGAAATAAAGACCATTTTTACTGTTTACGCATAAAATACTTTTACTGTTAGAGGCACTATTTCACACACTATTTATTCATATAGCATTGATAACGAGAAAAGCTCATTTTCTATGAGAGCTACTATGTGTACGCCTGGTTGACGCCATAGCTAAGAATGTTTAGTTCAATATCTTTGGTCTTTTAAGAGTATTGATTATGAAATTATGTAAAGCCAGGGCACTATTTGCGAATTATTTTTGTGTCAATTTCATTGCTTAAATAAATGCCGTTCTTGAGGACGGCCATGGGTACGCTAGCTTGACGTTATGCTAGCGTACACATTAAAAATGTTTTTTATTTCATAAATTAAAGAGGTACTATTTTTTTTTATTTTTACACTAATTTGGCACTATTTACGCAGTATTTAATGGCATAACGAAAAACCGTATATTGATCGTGTGTACGCTAGTATCACGGACACTACTGATAACACACCCGTGCCTGCTGCTTAAGGCCAAAAGGGCCTGCTGCTTATCTCCAAAGAAAGGGATGATGCAGTGCTGCCTTAGTTAAACTACTGCATAGTGCACTAGAGGACGGGTGCACTCTGATGTTCACCAGTATCGGATTGAGACGTTGAGAGACCCTGTGTTTAATAGGTATTAGTTGGTTGGTATTCTCATATGGACGGCAGTTTCTTAATTTATAAGGGTGGATTTCAACAACTATAAAATTTTGCTAATTTTGGTAGAAATTTTTATTTTTCGAAATTAAGAAAAAGTGATTTAGCTAAATGTGTAACTAACGTTTTTTGTAATATTTATGACACCGAAATTGTCACAGCAAAATTATCTACTACCTGCGAAAATCACCCATAAAGTCCCAAATCTTATATCCCCGACAAGCTATTCTGAAAATACAAAAGCCTGTTTAAAACCCAATATTAGGAAGGTGGAAAGTATTTTTTTGTTAATAGAGCGCTTACTGGTGCTCAGTTTTATTGAAAATGTTTAGTTGAGTCTTGAGTGTAAGGATCAGTTCACAACACACCATGACATGTAAGTGTTTTTTTTAATGTGGTTTTTTTTAAACCTCGTGGCGCCCTGGAACTTTACTCACCGACAGAAATACAACACCACCAAGAGGAAGTGTTATACTGTGATCTTCTGTAATGTAGGGTTACTTCCCCAGACGGGAGCTCCAATTCGCACGGAAAAGACGCTATGCACTGTTTGAAATGTTTTCGTCGAGCAACTAGTATAAATTTGTCAAAAGGCGATGACTGATGTTGTAAAACTCTCCCATTTTACCGGAAACCGTTTGCTGAGATTGGTTGGGCAGTTAGTGTGATAGTAATTATGTACTACTAAAATAGAAACAAAGGCAATTCTCGATAGGAGAATTTCGCAAACAAATGCGGAACACTTAACATAATATGCCTATGGATGCCATGTCAAGCAACCTACGCATCAACTTACGCGCTTTCATTTTTGCCGTCCTACATAAAACTGTTGTCAGTTTACTGTTGAAAGTTGACCGATTTGGAAACTTGTAAAAAAATTGCCAGAGATGAGATAACTTTATTTAACATAAGTGTATTAAATGCCTGGTCAATACTTACATATAGTACGAGTATTATTAATTTGTTATATGTCCATAACTTGACTCAAAGACCACAAAATTCTTTCAAATACTTATAGCAATCTAAATTGTATAATAGTCGCCATGTTGCTCAATAAAAGCAAAATTGAAAATATTTGCATGCAGTACCATACTCGTGCTTGGGAGTGGATATTCGTATCTATCTACCCGTCCAGTGCGTGATGCGTTGTACTGCACGTACATACATACAAATTGTATTTAAGTCCGCAATTGCAAGCAAAATTATTATTGAAATTTTAAACAATAACAATGTTCTGGGTAAAATTCAGTGAACCATGTGATAATGCCCAGTTACCTACACATTGTTTCGAATCTGTATGCTGTTGGTCGTAGATGACCTTTACAGCGTCACCGGGTTTCGGAACGGCGAGATTAAAGGACCCTAGTGGTATTCTAGGCGGATGGAGCCTCCCTCGAGAAGGGTACTACTCCAGTCTAGTAGCTCCAGACGGAGATGAGACCCTTCTCGAGGGAGGCTCCATCCGCCTATATGAGTGTGTACCTATTATTTTCTAATATTAGGCTCAGAAAATTATACCACCCTCACACCTCCTGATGTTATGTATGAATTGAGTCCAGTGGCGAAGAGAAAAAACGGGAGAAAAGTGTGTCGTTCTAGCCATCCTCACCCTCGCCTTACTGACTTCAACCTAATCCCCTGCTCCGTGGACCCTTGTTAACCATTCTCACCAACAGAACCACGACTCCGCTCATAAGGTACTGTTATTTTACTGGTGTCTTCTATCTTATAGAAGGATCGAGGCCACTTCCTTAGACAGGCGCGCTTCAATTCGAGCAAAAATTCAGCCGTTCTTCGAGAAATCAAAATGTTTTTTTTTATTACATTTTTATTTAAATGTCAGAGACCCACCGAAGTGACCGGTGATCAAAAGGTTGGCAGCTAGCTTGATCAACGGATCAGCCTTGCCATCCAATGTGGCAATGCTGCCAGCCTGTTGGGCACCATTCCTATGACGGCGGCCAGCGCCGCCGTCATAGGAATGGTGCCCAACAGGCTGACATATTTTTTATTTTGTAGTCTATTTATTTAAGTATGTAAGTAGGTTATGGTAATTTGGATTCTAAGTAGTTTAGAAGTTATAATTATTTAAATGTTAATCAGTAAAAGTAATTCTCTTTTATAATAAATTCAGAACAATCAGAACTCTGTGTTCTATAGCAGGATAATAAAAATATATGTCACTTGCAGGAATGCAGCATAACGTGATATATGGCGCGGAACCCCGTGGTTTACCGTTGTCGGAGAAGATTTTGCCTCAATACTTGCAAGAGCTCGGCTATAAGACGCATCTGGTCGGCAAGTGGCACCTTGGCAGCTACAAGAAAGAATACTTACCGCAGCATCGAGGGTAACTTGTTTATAATATATGTCAAGCCAGTGCGAGCTGATAGCGGAGTACCATACCTATCAATTAAACTCCCATGTATGTTCTACGATTTTGCGTAGTTTTCAAGTTAGATTTTTTAAGTTCAACGATAAGACAACTTTAAAAAAGTATAACTTCTTTTTGGGTCGATTTTTCTTCGAAATTCTTTTGTTAACAGAATGCCTAGTGAAAAATGAATTAAGTAAAACAGAATGGATTTTCAATTGAAATAAAAAAAAAATTGTGTGTGTCAGCTCCGACGCACGACTGGAGTTTACTCCTTAAGTTCGATAGTCTAACCAGACGCAAAAAGAGTTTATTTAACTTAAAAAAGATTGATACTGTATGAAAGGCTAAATTAACAAATTAATGAAAATAATATACATATATAAATATATATTTATTCATTTCATATACATTTATTATAACTAATCGACGAAATATTTTACATTAAACTTTTTACAATAGTCAATTTCAGATGTGCATAAATATAACGTTAGGAATGTTGATAAATTATGTAATTATTATTATCAGACTATTATCATTTTTTTAAATATTAATTAAATCAACTTTGCCTGCATTATTAATTACAGTGACAAGTGGTTTACGGTAACTAAAATAAGACACATGGACGTTCGTAGATACGTGGTTCACGAATCTTGAAAATACCGCATCAATGGTTGTACCATACCTCGTTGTCCCCATTGCTCTATCAGAAAGAATATCTAAATTCAGTTCAGATTTAAAAAAAAATATTAATGTCAATCCGTCATCTTTGTTTGTCAAAGTTGCGCGACATAGGATGCGCACCAAAAACGTAACGAGGTCATTCATCGATAGATTTTACTCCTCACATTTTTCTCATACCGGGCCTCTTATATATGCAAATCGATTCTTAAGGAGTAAACTCCAAAAAAAATGAACATAGAAGTTCCATAACACCTGATTAATTTTAAAAACTGCCCGACTACATAAGCTTTAATTAAAATACAAAAAAAGATGTACTAAATAGGGCATTATTTGCTGAAATCTGTTGTTGACGGTGTTGTATCGGAAATCGAGTAATTTTAATATTTTATAATTTCGTAGTATCTTTGCATATTTTGTCAATATTAAGTTTTTATTATCCCTTTAAGTTTAAGTGGAGCTCATTCGAAAATAAAAATAATCATTTTATGATTATATACACTTGATGAAAATGACACTTCCTAGTTATTATTATTATTTAAGCGTAAAAAAATAATACCTGAGGAGGAGGATAACAGGAGTTTCGAGTGATTAGTTATCATAAAATGATTATTTTTATTTTCAAATGAGCTCCACTTAAACTAAAAGGGATAATAAAAACTTAAGATTGACAAAATATGCAAAGATACTACGAAATTATAAAATATTACTTGATTTCCGATACAACACCTTCAACAACAGATTTCAGCAAATAATGCCCTATTTAGTACATATTTTTTTGTATTTTAATTAAAGCTTATGTAGTCGGGCAGTTTTTAAAATTAGTCAGATGTTATGGAACATCTATGTTCATTTTTTTTTTATTTCCGTCCATCCATTCTGTTTTACTTAATTCATTTTTATTTAGTATCGAGCTAATTTTTTATATCTTAGGTTAAAGTTAGGAAGGAGATTATTTTTCTTATAAAACTACAAGCACTAGGCATTCTGTTAAAAAAAGAATTTCGAAGAAAAATCGACCCAAAATGAAGTTATACTTTTTTAAAGTTGTCTTATCGTTGAACTTAAAAATAACGAAAAAACTTCTAACTCGAAAACTACGCAAAATCGTAGAACATACATGGGGGTTCAATTGATAGGTATGGTACTCCGCTATCAGCTCGCACTGGCTTGACACCCTAGAAGAAACACCCTGTATGATGTATTCTATTATATTTCTTATCATTTCAATTCTTAAAAAATTAAAGATACTATATTTCCTGCCAACATTTTACTTAGGTAATTAATATTATTAGTATACAGATAAAGAAAAGTTTCAAAATTGTAAGCTTAACCAAAATTTTTCTTTGTGATAAGGTTTGACACGCATACGGGATTCATCACTGGAAAAATAGATATGTACGATCATACCAACGCTGAGCGTGGTATGTGGGGATTCGACTTCAGGCGCGGTAATTTTATTTCTGTAATTCCTTAACATTTTCTTTTCCTCCCAGAGGAGCGAGTGTGAAATCCTCATGGATGGGTTTGTCAGACTGTCGGGTTATGTCAGACTCATACTGACTAAAACACTCCTGTGGGGGGATGCCTATGGCCATAAGGGTCTTACAGGCTTCGTCTGATGTGGTCAACTCCTGAGAAGGGGATGATGCAGTCCTTAACATTTTTTAATAGTTATATATACCGATGACCCTACTCCTGAAGAATACTTTGTAGCTGGGGTGGGCAACTTGATTAGACCCAAGATCTATTGTTTACTGTCTTAACACTGTGCGATCTACCAATTACATACTTCTTGAAATCTTAAATGAAAGAGCACAGTTTAATAAACATTTATGTGGTATTTTGTTATTTTATTAAGAGGGCAAACATAAAACTAAATTATTATTAGCCTTAGTAACTACTTATTCATATTACCTACTGTGAGCATTGTGTGAGCATTTTCCGCTTCATAAGTTAAATCAGGTTTCCAACATACGAGCGTCTGTCAAGCGAGAACGGTGTTTATTTTTTGTTTGTAAGGAAAAAAATGCTGACTCACATAAATTTAATATGTTGAACGAAAACACGAATGCAGTTGTTTAACACATCTCTTGAAATTTGGATATTTCTCCTTGGAAACCAATGTCTAGAAATGTAGACCTGAGGATGACCTTGCTTTAAGAAATATGTCTTAGCGCAGAGTACCGAAGTATTACATGTTGTCCATTTGAAATGTATCTGCAAATTTTGTAGCCATTTCATAGATAGCACTATATAAGAGGGGATGAAGATGACGCCTGCAGCAGTTGGCGATTACGATGCTCAGTCTGTTCTACGCATAGGTTCTACATACATATTTAATTTTTTTACTTTGCCACGATCGACTGAACTAATAGTCGCGATCGACTGGTTGGTCACCCCTCCTGCTTTATAGGCACTGCTTTTATACAATACTAGCCACTTTATAAACAGTTTTCTGTATTATTTAAGATTCTGCAACAGTTTCCCATGATTTATTCGGAAAGTATGCGACCGACGTCTACACTGAAGAAGCTGTTAAGGTATTCATTACTTCTAATTTTTAATATTCCAACTCTAGCTGTCAATTAAGACGATATTCATTCATCGGCACTTAATAATACTATATTTTAACCGTTTACTGCAGCTAATAAGAAAACACAACAGTTCAGCACCACTATTCCTTGTGGTAGCGCACTCGGCCGTACACAGTGGGAATCCATACGAGCCAATACGCGCACCTGAGGATATTATTGCTAAATTCTCTCACATTAAGGATCGCCAGCGACAAAAGTTTGGAGGTAAGTTTTCTGACTGTAACCGAGGTACCTAAAATTTTAAGTATTGTTATCATTATTTGAATTAATATACTGAAAATAGATTTATTACAATACTGAATGATGTTCGTCACGTCTGCCATCACTACTTTTACATTAGTTATTAACTATGCACTATAAAACTATTGCTGTTTATATTATTATACTAGGTAAATGAATTGGTCTTTTGGTCAGAACTCAGAGTTGTGGGCGATCGTTGGCTTCTTAAACCATCGAAGTAATATAAAATCAAACGTTTTCCAGGTGTTATGTGGAAATTAGATGAATCTGTTGGTAAGGTAGTAGAAGCATTACAGGTCAACGGTCTCCTACAAAATTCTATCATCCTTTTCACTACTGACAACGGAGGGGCTGCGGCAGGGTTCAATAGCAATGCCGCTTCCAACTTCCCACTGAGAGGAGTAAGATTTTTGATTGTAATTAGGTATGACGATGAACGATAGTAAACAAGAATTAAGTTCACTTCGAAATTCCCCACAGTATAATTGCTTTTAAAAATTTATGGTAGCGGTGAAGCTAGTATCGAGTGAAAGTTATTTTATAGTTTTCAGTTTCATTTCAGCGGCATCCCACGCGAAAAACACATTTGTGCACCACGCTAACTTCCACAGCCACCATTGAGTTTGAATCGCACTTTATTCTGACCATACTTCAGTAGAAACTGTAAGCCAGAAAACTGTGCCAGACACGATATAATAACTAAAATAAAGCACTGTTTACTTAGTTATTTGAAGATTTTCTTGTAGGTAGCTCGTAGCTACCTTACCACACAAAATATAATATCTCCTGTTACCTACCTTATCCTAGCATAATTTTGCAAGGCTGGTTTGCTTCTTTATCAACACATTTACAATTTTCTCTATCCTTTTAAATTTATCTATATTTATCCTTATATATTTTAAATTCCAGGTTAAAAACACCTTGTGGGAAGGTGGAGTTCGAGGCGTCTCCGCTCTATTTAGTCCCAGATTAGTAAGCAAATCGCGGATTGCGAATCAGCGGCTGCATATTTCAGACTGGCTTCCAACATTGTATGGTGTCGCAGGTGGAGACAAAAGGTAAAATACATTTTTCACTTTCAATAAAGTCATGCCTTCATTCATAGCGATAAGTGTAAATATCTTGCTTTAAATCCTATCACCATGTGGATATGGATTAGGGAGATATCTCTCAGAAGAAAAAAATAAGAAATTATTTTTCAAATCTTGCAATTATAATGGGCAACAAAGAACGTTAGTGGCAAAAGCTGCTCTATCTATAAATAATTACCTAGTATAAATAAAAGTCGCTTTCCGAGTCCGTCTGCATATCAGTTAACTGCACCTGAACTTTATAATATTGATGGGATTTGCACTTTAAAAAAGAAATACTGAACTTTTGTCTGAGAGACAATATTGTGGAGAGACAAGAAAATTACCTTATTTTTTAACAATGACGCTATTATTACACTTATCTTTTTATCACAGCTGTTTTTTTTCATCCGTTGGCTTTATCATCCGTTATTTCTTAAAACTATATTGGATTCTGTTGTAATTTAGTAACAAATCGTAGGTAAAAATAAATAGGTATACATAGTTACTTTGACAAGTGTGAATGTAAATAAAATAAAAATTATTTATAATATATTTATAGCAAATTGGAAAACATTGATGGCTTTGATCAATGGGAATCTCTATCAAACGACTTTAAATCGAAGAGATCCTCGATAGTTCATAATATAGATCATGAATGGAATATTGCCGGAATTACCGTCAATCAATGGAAATTAATCAGTGGTATGTTTTTTGCAGTTTTCTACACGTTATTGAAATTACTCTCATTATAACTATTAATATATAAATATCAAGTGAAGGAAACACTTGTACTTCTATTAAGTCACATTTTGCTTTGCTGGAGTGTGGGATTTAAAAAAAATGTTTACTTAAAGAAGAAGTGCAGAAAGGAAATGTTTGTATATAATAATGCACTAGATATACCTACATTAAATAAATAACATAACACACTCAACGAATCTTTGACAGAGAAACTAAATAGGTCTAAATTATTTTTAAATATAATTTGATATTTTAAGTTGTTTAATCTCAGTTTATGTTTAAGGCACAACATACCAAGGTAATTGGGACGGCTGGTACAATTGTAATCGTCGTGATGGAGAGTACCAAATCGATCTAGTAGAAAATTCATATGCTGGACAAGCCATAGCAAAGCTCGGACTGATGCCTGATAAAAGCAAAATGATAACTTTAAGGTGTATTATATAACATCAATCTTGAAAAAAAAAATAGGCTAATTTTATACAGCTCTATTTATACATTTGTTTATTTACAGAGACGCAGCATCATTGAAATGTAAAAATGATACTGCTCCTATTATTTGCAATCCATTGAAAGCACCTTGTCTGTTTAATATTGAAGAAGACCCGTGTGAATTCAGAAATCTGGCTGACTTGTAAGTTGTTACAAAAATATTTTTGTCATATATTTTGATACAGTTCTTCCTTTAATGACTCCGTTTACCTTGCAATACAAAAATGCATACATCTATTTCCAACAAAGAGTCGAGCGAAAATGACAAAGAAGGCAAAAACAGTAAAAATGAGCTAATAAGTTCTGAACTTTTTTATATACACGAAGACCGATCCGCTAGGCATCCCTAGTTCATTCCTCTTTGGCAGTGGAAAACGGGCTCATTAGAAATTATCTCAACAAGCAACAGAAAGCTTTGTCAGTTAGATAATTTGTAATAGTATTGGAACTTCAGCTGTGGCTTTTTAGTTATGATGATCAATCACTGAATCATAGATTATCTTTGCTGAGAATTTAGTGCCCTCAGTAAATTGAAGTTAATAAATGTCCATGATATAAAATAAAGAGATTTAATTGTTTTTGTTGCAGAAATCCAGATATATTGCAACAGATGCTAACAGAACTGAGTGAAGTTAACAGAACAGTTGTGCCACCAAACAACAAACCTATTGATGAACGCGGTAATCCAAAATATTGGGGACAGGTTTACTTTAATTTTGGGGATTTTGAGTTGAGCAATCCCGACTCTATTGACTCGGAATTATGTAAAGCAAGAATTTGATTGTAACGAAAGAATTATCGTGTTAACATCGCTCAATTCAACAATATTAAGTAAATGTTTCTATTCATGCTGCATTGAGATTAATGAAAAACCTTGAGTAAAACCGAAAATAAAAACTTTAATCTTTCAATTATTAAGAAAATCTAGAATCAAACAAAAGAAACTTAAATTAATAGAACAACTTTAGTTTTCATTCTTTTGATGGAACATTTCAACTATGTTATTTAAGAAATAATAAAAATAAAGAATCAAATAAATGAAATTTGTTGTTTATATAGTAAAGTGTATGAAACCTATTCTTTAGTTTTGGCACGTTTAGTTCTTACACCTGATCTGAGCCTTGGAATGGCTTCTTCATTGTCTTCGTTTGCCTTTCTCTTAGTGGTTCTCGTTATACCCAAGTTTGTTATATCAGTAATAGGGTCACGGGAATCACTTAATGGCAACTGTTCATTTAGTTGGTTATCGGGCAACAGTGCTTCTTTGTATTGCCTTAGAGTTGAATCGTCACGGTTAGGTTTGTTATTATCGTCGTGGTTTTCTAGTATCTTGACAGGGTTAGAAGCGTTTTGTAAAGACACTTTTTCTAATGGACTGAGAACATCTGCGACAGGGTCGGACTGGCTCTCCTGCGAGGCGAATGTTTCGGCGAGCAGACGATCTACCAAGTTTCCTTCGCCAGTTACTTGGTAAAACTTGCTCATAACTGAATTCAGACGTTCTGTCATTATCTTCAGTGGCGTGATTTGGCTAAGGAATAAAAATAAAAAAATGGTTGCCTGTAAAGTCGGTTTTACGGGCGAAGATTTTACGTGACAACGTCTTTTTCTCGGTAGAATATTTATTGATATGAATATAATTAAATTGCACAATAGGAACAAGGATTGAATGAAAATAAGAATTGCACAAATTTTAACTATAGAAATATATTTTGTTTACTAAAACATTGTACATGTAAACTTAAACTTAACACGAGAGACTCATCGTAACGTTACCGAGCGTTACACTTTTTCATAAGTGACTCCCAGCCGCAACCTAATTTAAGACGTTGTCACGTCAAAAAGTTACTTTTAAACTTGTAATATTTTATACTTTATGTAGGTATTTATTATTAAGTACCGACATACATTTTCAAATATTTCAAACATAATTAGTGGCATTGGAGTCGGACAAGCCACCCATGACGCAGGGCTGGATTTAGAGGAGTGAAGGCACTGGGGCAACGAAGTTGTGGAGGCCCCTATTTATTTTTTTAAGCGAACTAATTTTTTGAGCTGTTATTTAAATATTCAAGAACGTTTTTATGATCAGTTAAAAAACATATTGAGCAGTTATTTAATTTAATGGCGGTTGATTAATTATTGCGACAGTAAAACATAACAGTAATAAAAAATCATATATTCGGTTATTTTATCATACAATGTCGATTCTAAAAATTGAGCAGTCCAATAACTGAATGAGCGGTAAAAATGATGGAATGAGTGGTTCGATAAATAGTTCGGCAGATCATAGCAAGCGATCACACCCGAACTCAAATACATTGAAAAGAGAGGTAAATGTTCGTTAGTTCGACGGAGCTTATTAGCGTTGGGGCCGGAAGCGACCAATCACAAGGTAATCGTTTCGCGTGAACTCTCGTTTTGAATTCGCGCATGTTTTCGTAATAAGCGTGCGAGTGCATTGTTGTTATCAATATTTTGTTGTTATTGTTAATTAATGCCATAACTTTAATTTTATTTTACCACCTCATTGTTTATAGAATTGAATTTTATTAGAATGAGATTTCTTACCGACAAATTCAGATTTATTACTGCCCACACGTAACCGCTCATTCCATATTTTTTTCTGCCCTTTTAATTAATTTCCTGCTCGTTTATATATTCACTGATCCATTTCATTATTTTTTAATACTTATTTTTGTTTACTTTACTGCTTCGTTTTAACTGTTGAACTAGTTATAAAACATGCCATTTATAATTTTTAACTTACCAAAACTGCTATTTACAACTGCCTCTTTAAATCAGTGCCTTTTTATAACCTTAAATCCGGCCCTGCCATTTACGGGCTGTAAATCCCTCCTCCTAAAATTAAAACATCAAACCAATGATCTAAATATAGGTCAGTATCGAATACCTTTATATGACTTCTGTCGCTCCTCGTAGTCCAAATACGTCCCTGAACTTAGGTGTAGGTATTTATAGTAATATTGTGAAAAAAGACTCGGGACATAGGCTCACATTCCGGGACAATCACGGTGGGCCCAGCCAACTGGCAATCCCAATCGCCATACACGTTAAGCCGTGCGAGTGCAGCAGGCGCATCAGCTTGGTGGCGTTGGTGTCGGACACGCCTAAAGCTGCGGACAGGTCGCGGACGTAGTGGGCGGCTCACTCGGGGTGGGTGGGGGGCAGCACGACGCCGTGCGAGTGCAGCAGGCGCATCAGCTTGGTGGCGTTGGTGTCGGACACGCCTAAAGCTGCGGACAGGTCGCGGACGTAGTGGGCGGCTCACTCGGGGTGGGTGGGGGGCAGCACGACGCCGTGCGAGTGCAGCAGGCGCATCAGCTTGGTGGCGTTGGTGTCGGACACGCCTAGAGCTGCGGACAGGTCGCGGACGTAGTGGGGGGCTCACTCGGGGTGGGTGGGGGGCAGCACGACGCCGTGCGAGTGCAGCAGGCGCATCAGCTTGGTGGCGTTGGTGTCGGACACGCCTAGAGCTGCGGACAGGTCGCGGACGTAGTGGGGGGCTCACTCGGGGTGGGTGGGGGGCAGCACGACGCCGTGCGAGTGCAGCAGGCGCATCAGCTTGGTGGCGTTGGTGTCGGACACGCCTAGAGCTGCGGACAGGTCGCGGACGTAGTGGGGGGCTCACTCGGGGTGGGTGGGGGGCAGCACGACGCCGTGCGAGTGCAGCAGGCGCATCAGCTTGGTGGCGTTGGTGTCGGACACGCCTAGAGCTGCGGACAGGTCGCGGACGTAGTGGGGGGCTCACTCGGGGTGGGTGGGGGGCAGCACGACGCCGTGCGAGTGCAGCAGGCGCATCAGCTTGGTGGCGTTGGTGTCGGACACGCCTAGAGCTGCGGACAGGTCGCGGACGCTCGCCGCTCCCGATCGCGCGCACCACCACAATGCGCGTCTGAAGATGCACAGGCACTGCCAATAAGAAAAACTAATAGTATTGTATCACTCAAGCTGTAATTGTAGTATCAGTTGATTTAGGCGCGGCGCACACGGCGGGACGGGGCAATTTTTTGAGTGCAAGTTCTCTCGATGTGCAAGCGGGGTCCTAAGGCCCCCGCCTTAGGACCCCCCGGTCACAGGGTACATGCAGAGGATATGAGCCACCCCCTCCAAATCGCACACGTCAAACTGAAAAACTTCTGCCCCTAGCGATGCATTCATCGAAGTTTGCGATGATGATCTCTCCAAATTTATAGACTGTTGAAAATAATGGCGACTCATCCTTTAAGCGGTGCGACATCAGAGAGCAACGAGAGAGCTGTAGACAAGAGTTACTGACGCCAGTGCTCGTTGCATTTTGCCTTATCATCGTTGACGTAACAGCACTGTCCCGCAGTTAGCACTACACCTTATGATGGAATTTTCACAATACACTTAAGTTTTTCAAGAGTAGGTAATTGGCGCAATAACAGTTGGCCGTTAGTCCGAATAAGATTGTCTATGGAATTCGCACAAACAAATTAGTGTAAATGAACAGAGTCGAGTAGGCCTGTATTAATTTTGGGTTCCCCGAATCTGGCGTCATATTGCAACTAAAACGCGGGTGCAAGTTCGTTTGCCCGTGTACCAGTACCCGAAAGTAAGTAAAACAATACAATAATAGGTAATTATCGTATCGGATGCCCGAATTCGAGTAATGTCTTTTGTGCACCCGAATACAGGCTAACGACCAAGTGTACCTGAGCCTTTATTATCTTTCTTTTGAGATTTAAATTATTGAAAGGTGAAACAAAAATAACATCACGTTTATGAAACATGAGGAAGGCGGATTAAGAATTGCTGGCTCCTTTAAAAAATCCTCTGTAAGGTTTGCCTAATTAAGAAAAATGTGAATGTCCGTGATCCGACCGTGGCCCGAGTATCCAGACTGCAGAGCTACATAATGCATGTGGTTCGCATGCTGTAATGGTGGTACACGTCAGTAAGGAATGTATTGTTTTACCTCCCTCTTATTGCGTGAAAGTGACACGAGTCTCTGATCAGTAGGAACTCTTGTGGGATCTTCGTCAGAACAATTCGCACAGCAGTGTTCAGTCAGTTGGCCGGCATTCTCTGGAGTAAGGCCAAAACACGCTGCGTGTTGATGAGTTTTGCAGTACCTACATTTCCAGATATATAAATGTTAGTATGTTACATTACAATTTACAGCCGATATTGAAATATAGAAAGCTATGCCATTCTTCTACAACTTCTAACTTAGTGCAACAAGTCTGAAGTAGTGACAGTGACGTGAAGCTAAATTTTGCCGCCAATTTATGCCCCTAAGCTAAGCTTTAACTGTATTCTACTGTAAATAGCGACGCCTATTAACAGCCTCATGAAATATTCACTTGCCGAAATGGTAGAGCAGCAAAGCCACTAAGAGACAGTACGTACTTTAAATATGATTCAGGAGACTTTATTCGGAAATAGTGAATCTAATTCTGGCATAATAGAGAAAATAAAAGAGTCGCAAAGTTTTGCCGGATTTATATTTGTCTAACGTGTTGTGCTGTGGTTGTGACCCATCAGAACAGAACGGTATCGGTTTCATACATTTAGTACAATGAGATTTAATATTTGTATGTCACGTGGTGTTGTGATCGATTCGGATGTGACGCATCAGAAAAGATTCCGATCGCATCAAAGTGAGGTGAGCAGGCGCCTACTACGACGCACCAGACAAGTGTGCACCAGTGTTGTTGTGATGTGTAAGTGTCTGTTTTTTTGACATTTTTCTAAATATTTGTTAAAATTAAATATGAAAGTATGCACGACCTGATCGATATAGTAGTAGATAATGTAAAAAAAACAGGGACCATGCTTTAGATTAGCTAGGAAGAGATTAAGAAAAGAAGTAACCAAATATCGCCTTCTTTCTTTCTTTTATAACATTTGTCAACCCCAAAAAATATTGCGAATGTGTAAATTCTCCGGGAGCTTCGAAAGTACTGTTTTACAATAACGTCAGAAGGCGACATATAGAAGTGAAGCTGTGAACGCTACCCATCACCACCAGAGCCGCGCATGGACGCACGACAACACGTCAGACAAATATAAGTTTTTATTTTTATTTCACACGAGTGCAACATGTATTCAAAATGAAATAAACTTTCGAAATTTTTGACATTTTTCGCGCCATTGCGTTACGTCATACATATCACAACACAACTCACAAATCTTGAATCTCAGAACTCGAATGGACCAAGCGATAGCAAGTTATGTTAATAAACAATAGAGTGCACAGAAATAGTGTTAGAGTGAATGCATGCTTATGAACTCACTGGCATGTAAGCAGCGGGCCTGCAGAGTCCGTGTCGCTGTCGCCTTTGTTACATGGACATTGCAATAGCGATGTCTCGCTACACTCCGACAATTCTTTTGTCATTGACTCTGTTACACCAATTAAATTATGTAAAATATTATTAAATAGAATTACAAAGTATTTTTTTTTATACAAGGCTCACCATGTTACCCTACTCCAACTAATGTTAAGCGTAAAGGAAAGTGAAGTCCTCTCAGTATATTCGTGAGCGGCGTTGTTAACAATGATTTCTCGACTTTTTGCATTCTCGAAGGACCAATAAAAGGCAAAATGTATAATTGCAAAAAATTTGGACATGTAGGTACGCTTCGAACAGACTCGCACATGTATTTCATACTCTATTTTATAACAGTATTCTTAGCACGAACCAATATCGCATTCGAATAGTTTGCAAGTGCCAATATCGATTCGAATAGTTTGTCAAATGTTATATAGAAACTTGATCAGCAGCGCCATAACGGACGTAACGAGAACTAAAACTCAGTACACATTTGAGAATGACATTTAGCACCCGCAAACTATTTGAATTCGATATTGGTTCGTGCTAAGAGTACAGTAATTGCTACTCAATGTTAAACTTTATACTGAGGTGAGGGTTCGCATTTGTTCGTATGCAAAATAAAACTTGCATTTGGGCAGGGTTTTATTGTGTACGATTAAGATTATAAGATTATGCTTATTTCATTTAATACTTTAGTTATTTTTTTACTTACCATCGATATCTGGTTCCATCTGCGACATCATTGGAGGATTCTGTGAAGGCTGTAATTCGAAAGATTTAAATTAATATTATTGTGAAGGTTAAGAATAGCACTGTATTCTTTAGATTTACATTCCGATTCTGTTGGAAAAGTATCCCTCCACTTAGTGAAAACAAGTCTTCATTAAACACAGTGGCGGACTAAGCTCGTCAGAGGCCCGGGGCGGCAAAATGAGGCCCCCCAGCTTTAAAAAAAATGTAGTTTCTTAGTTTGTTTCGTTAAAATCCGGCGAGTGAAATTTAAATTCCAATTAAATTATTTCGGCTAAATAAACATACTTACAATCCTACAATATGGTAACTTTTTAATTGACTAGAAACGTAGGTGCATACTAACTAGAAACTACGGATTAGTTTTTTAACTACTAGGCTAAATTAAACGAAGAATTACTTACTTTTTCCAAATACTTAAAATGCACTAACTCAACTCTAAAGTCATTTACTTTTATACCGCAACAAAAATCAAAAGCACCATTACACTTTTTAATGAGGTTACTTTGAACGGATTTTAAATGAGGCTAATGTTTATTTTTTTGACGTAAATATAGTGAATGTTATTAAATGTAGGCGTACAAGAGTGAATTATTTGTACTTCATTCATTCAGGGGTACCTGAGGAAGTACCCGCTACAGAGACGGGAATTCCCCCACCGTATAAGTTAAAAGAATATCAGTACCGCGTAAAAAGTCTAGATGGCTGTAGTGTTTTGATCTTGATGAAATTATGTAGGTACTAAGCACATTTTAAAGTCTAGTTTAGGATGCGATCAGGGGAACGCGAAGGCATTTGGGGGCCCCCAAGATCGGAGGCCCGGGGCGGGCCGCCCCTTCCGCTCCCCTGTTAGTCCGCCACTGGTTAAACAATGTAAGTGATATTAAAAGGAGCGAACACTGTAGGGGCAGAGAATTAGGTTAGGGTTGTAACTTTTAAACTCTCGGAGAAGTGGTTAATACAGCACTTACTTTCCTCGCCAACTATCTTCAGATCTGATCTCTATTTCCATTTTGCGGGGATCAAAAACCTAAAGGTCTTGGGATCTTGGCCAGCAGACGGCCGGAGGGCTGTACAGTACACAGCCCAGCTTGACATGAAGAGTTGACCGCTTCGAGATCTACTTATAGTGCGATTCAAACTTAATGACGGTTGTGAAGTAAGAGCAAGTCGCAGCGCAGTTAACGATATATAGGGTGATGTAGATGCGCGCGGGATGCCACTGAACTGAAACCTGCGCCACGGTAATAATAGATAATATTACCGTGCCTGCGCCAAGTTGCGCTCACTGCTAACTCCACAAACACTTTAAATGTTGAATTGCACTAAAATATAAATAAATATTATGGTTTGGAGATGACGTTCAAGTCCCTGACATGGCCAGCAGGCGGTGGTAGGGCGTCTTTACACAGCCCAGCTTGACGCGCTTACTGCTGCACCGTCGACTGCCTACATATGTGAATACAGTAATGGGCAGGAGAGGGTGTGTGACGCACGATGGTCTCGTGGCTGGCGCGCAGCGTGTCCCTGATGTAGATCCTGGCCAGCAGGCGGTGGTAGGGTGTCTCTACACAGCCCAGCTTGACGCGCTTACTGCTGCACCTTCGACCGCCTACACATGTGAATACAGAAATGGGCAGGAGAGGGTGTGTGACGCACAATGGCCTCGTGGCTGGCGCGCAGCGTGCCCTTGATGTAGGTCCTGGCCAGCAGGCGGTGGTAGGGCGTCTCTACACAGCCCAGCTTGACGCGCTTACTGCTGCACCTTCGACCGCCTACACATGTGAATACAGAAATGGGCAGGAGAGGGTGTGTGACGCACAATGGCCTCGTGGCTGGCGCGCAGCGTCTCCCTGATGTAGGTCCTGGCCAGCAGACGGTGGTAGGGCGTCTCTACACAGCCAAGTTTGACGGCGTCACCGGCGTGCGCGCGCACGTGCTCTTCGCCTTCTTCTGATGCACTGAACCCCGGCGCTTGATATCCATCCGGCGCGTCTGCACCATAATAAAACGCAAATTTTATCAATAGCGAAGCGATCGATAATCGAGTAGGTAAAGCAGACAAAGTTTGCTCACACTCACTTAACATCATGTGGAGTTAGGTTGGAGCAATTTGATCGGGTTCCTTAAAATCTTATAAATGAGGAGTGGAGCTGTCTTTATATCCTACGTTTTTTTTTCATTTATCTCAGTTTAATGTTGGTTTTATTTAAGGTTTTAATTTTTTTAATTTTACTATTGTGAAGCAACAAATATTCTTTTAAATGTTTACAGACTGATTACTAATTTGACAATTATTAAATTAAAACTTCGTCGTTGTAAAATAATACTAGGGTAGGAATATCATTTACCTAGACTCTGTTACTTAATTAAAATGCAGGTAGATATGTTACCGGCCAAACCCGATTTCAGGACAATCTAGTTTTGCCTAGGCTAAACTGGTTCTTCCTATACGCGATAGGATTAACTAGTATAGCCTAGTCCAAACTAATTTATCCTAAGCGCGACAGGATAAACCAGTTTAGCCTAGGCCAAACTAGATGATCCTGATATAAATACGCACACTCTAGGATAAACTAGTACGACCTAGTCTAAACCAATTTAGCAAAGCGGAAAGTAATTGAACAAACATGTCAGGACTTGTACAGGGCGCGTCATGTAAAAAGAACGCTGGAAGAAAGTGGAGGGAGTGTTTTTTCTGTAATTGGTTTTTGTTTAACTCTTTTGTTGTTGCCGGGAGTTCGGAAGACAGTAAAGCCGGGTACGCATTAGCGATCTGTTACCGTAACATGCGTGATACAGTACGAAGTTCTAGTGTGTACGCTAGTAGCTCAGTTGTGAACGTTGGCTCGCTTCAAACCGCACGCGTACCGTTCTCGCTGCAGGTTATCGAACCACGTACACACTATGCTTTTTGGTTACAGTGCGTGCAACGGTTATGGTTACAGCTCGCCAATGAGTAACTACCCGGCTTAAGAAATTCCGAATCATTCGAACCTTTTACAATTCATCTCACTGTAAACTCAAAATATTTTAAGAAAAGTTTACTAGAAAAAAAAACCACGCAGACCAGGCAGCGGACCGGACTCGAACCCGCACCCTTCGCAATCCGGGCGAATGCACTGACCATTATGCTACCACGGCCCTATTCGCCGCGTCGAAATTTTCCTAGCCTTAAGCTGCAAGGCAGCGCCATCTCTTCGCATTGTAGGTTGCAACCACGCAACCCACAATGTCAAATGAATACTTTTTCAAGTATTAAACATTTGAAAGAAGAAATAGCAATTATAGTTAGTGTTTTTTATTTATTTTTAAGCATTTAACTGCTAGGTGTTTAAATCTAAAGAAAAGTTTACTAGAAAAATTAAACTTTTCTTACTTTTCTTTGTATTACTAATTATCCATAACTTGTAACGATGAATCATTATGGTTTTAATAAAAAATATTATTTTTCCAATTACGGATTATTTTATTCAGTTTATCTATTTATTTTGACTTTCTAGATATACTATAATGTTTACACTAGGCCATACTAGTTTATCCTAGAGTATGCGTATTTTTATCAGGATCAACTAGTTTGGCCTAGGCTAAACTGGTTTATCCTATCGGGCTTAGGACAAATTAGTTTGGACTAGGCTATACTAGTTAATCCTATCGCGCATAGGAAGAACCAGTTTAGCCTAGGCAAAACTAGTTTGTCCTGAAATCGGGTTTGGCCGGTAACAGATATACCAAATTCAAGGAAGCAAACGTATACCATTAAAAATTGTGGACGTAGGACACTAATGCCATAAAATTAGTCATTATTTGCAAGCATCTTACGTTCATTGTAATAAAGTCGGAGGCTGACGTCATAGTTTTCCGGCAGCTCGAACTGGCACGTCTGCATGATGACCACGCACGCGCGTATGAGGTGCATCGTGCGCTCCCTGACGCTGTCAAAGGTAAATTTCCTCGTCTGCGCCGCGCCGTCCTGCCCCTTCGAGTGGACGCTCAACGTCACCGCTTCGCTGTTGTACGAGTACTCGAATACGTGGTACTCAATCAGGTTCTCCGCCTTACACTCGTCCTCGTAGAAGCAAAGAGCCAGCTGGTGAAGCTGTGAAAACCCGGTTAGACAAAAACCTCTCCACTGCAGAGCAAGCCGGCACCAAAAATGGGCACGATCGGGGTGTACGGAGCGGCACATTTCACTGCCGTTATGGCTATTTTAACACGTGGAGTTCATCATCAGCACTAGTTTGTTAATATGCCCCATAGATGTGGCACAGGCCCTATGGATGAAATAGGGAGATTAGGCCTTGAACCACCACCACCAGTGCGCATTGGGGGGAGCTTTTAATGACTGCAGACGCAGCCGGGACCTTTCGCTCGAAATACTAAAATTTTTATAACCATCCGATGCCTGGCCATTGTGAAAATAGCTTAACTTCCACGATCGGAAAACAAACGCGCTAACCACTTGCGTCCTCAATGAAGCTGTTATCGTCTCTAAAGTTCACTCAAAATCAATATGGATGGGACATAGAGATGAGGTATTCATTTGAAGTTTGTAGAAAAATAACATTATGGGACAATTGGCTTTTTCCTTTTGATTAAAAAGGTCTCAGGGATTTTTGGGATGTAGAACATAAACATTTGTTTCCGAGTCATGGCTACAATAGGTACTTATTTAAAATATGTTTTTATTTTTGTTATAAAAGCGCCTTTTCAGATTATAAGCTCCAGCTAGATTGGTACTAATAATTTCTGTGAATATTTCTTTACTAGGTAAGTACTCCTATATTAATGTGTTCCAGAAGGGAATAAGTTCACGAAACTCAATCAGTAAAGGGAAAAGAGTTGACGATCGAACGACGCGACGCTCTTAGGGTAGGCCGCGAACTTCACACAGACACAAGTTCCCAGGAAGCCCCTGGATGCCGACAGCTCAGGAGTTTCAGGACCAATCAGCGTGGAGATTTTTAAAGGAGGCCTATGCTCAGCAGTGGGCATCGTCTTGCTGAATGATGATGATGATTAAAAAACATTCAGGTCGAACGAACAACTATCACCGTTTTATTTACGAGATCAAATGCTACGCGCAGTTGATTGTTTTTCCCTTATGCCGTTTTCGTTCCTTCATACCTAACTCCTTCGAAAATTTAAGTTTCTTTTCTCGTTTAATAACTGAAGGAAAATAACAGTATATCTCTTTCCTTCCTTGATACTGTGAACAATGGCAACTCAATCGGATAAATAACACAATGAAATGTTCAATCAAAACTTTAACTATAACTTATAACGTCATAACCATAACACAATTTATATAATTTATAGACTTATTTTTTTAGTTATCGCTGAACTTATCAAAATCTTAAAAAACACCATATTCTCAGAATGTCCTTTCATTTGGTACCCATAAAGTAGGAAAGTTTATAAAACTTAGTCCGCCATCTTTTTAAGACCACTATATTAGGTTTAAAGGGACGATACTTTATTGTTCAAGTTATTCTCAGCAAGCCCTTAATTAGATACCCCATATTGTAGGAGTACGTCAAATGGCTGCTCTATGCTATAAGCCATCGCAATGATCCTCTGTGATGGGCCAGCGTGTGGAGGGTGTAGTGGTTCTGAATGGTTTAAGGCGTGTGCGATGGTCTTGGAATGGCGTCGGTGTCGGTTTTGCGGCTGCACATCAAAGGTAGTGGGCTGGCGATGGCGGTACGCATGTGGCTCATTCCACAATGCATGCTCGAACGCGATTCAGTTTGGGTGGACAACTTATGCATTTTAGATTTTAGATCTACTAAAACCAACTCATATACATAATTTAAAGAAAATTAAATTGACTTATGATATATAGTTCGTTCTATTGCGATAGATGATAAAAACCACTAACTAATTCTACGCCATTTCTTTTATTTTTGACGTGACAACGTCTTATAATTCGATGGAGCCGGCTGCAAGCACGAAAAAGCATGACTTATGCGGCGTTGAAATGCAACCGAGAGCGCGCAACGACCGAAAAAGAGGCACAATCGGCCTCCGCGTTCGGCAGCGTTGGACATCTGTCTCTCTCCTACTTGAGTGAGCGATGCGTCCGCGTGGACAGCTGCTATACAATAATACATTTACATGTTTTCGTCAAGTATGAAGTGCAGTGAAAAGTGAATGTGGTGTCAATTGTTTATAGCAACGATAATTGCGGCGATAAAGGTAATGATATCACACATGTTTAAAAGTTGTAAAACAATTGCTCAAAGCACATCTTGTAAAAACTATGTACATTGTAAAAAACTATCACGTTCAACTATCGTCAGTAAACCGCCTTACAGAAAACAGATTTTTTTTAATGTTAATATAATAAAACAAGCGAATGGCGCGCCATGGTAAATGGCCGGCCACCATAGCCTATAGACGGTTGCGGTACCAAAAATATCACTTGCACCGTTAGACCCAATCCCCTACCTCGTGGAGCCCTGGAACCTTAGTCACTGACAAACACAACACCACCAAAAGGTAGTTTTATTTTATTGTGATCTTTTGTAAGATGTAAGTAGAAGTTACTTCCCCAGAATGGCGGTCTAATTCGAGCGGGAAATCCGCTATGACCTTTCTTAAAATATCTTTTTAATTGATTTATTCTTGTACACATTAAGAAAATAATTGTACGTGTTGTATAAACATATTGCTGCTGCAGCTAATGCGTCCATGTCAATCTCGAAAAACGTTAAGTTCATAACTGGATGTCGCCATCGTGTAGTTGCATTTCAACTTGCTTCAATTTGGCCCATCGCGTAGAGAAGGCTAAAAGTAACTAGTCCGCCATCTTGTAGGTTCCGCCAAATTGGATTTAGAATGACGTCACACAGCTAACCCTGCCAATCTAAACGTGTGCACAAAATTTCAGCTGAATCGAATGAAGACATTGCTTCAAAATTGAGTTGTAAGATTCCACCAGAACAAACATACATTGCATTAATTTATAATAGGTCAAAATATCCGTCTTTAGCATTCGCTAAATCCTAATTTTTATTGAAGAGGAAACTAACGTCATGCTTACTAAAAAACGGATGAGAAAAGCAGTTTGAAAAAATCAAGGAAATGCAGCAAAACTAAATTTTAGTTAAGTTCTGTTAAGTTCAATAAATATCAATGTCAAGTTTAATTAACTTCAATTAATTATTTAACCTCTCAACAACTTCTCAATAACAAATTAATAAAGTAGACAAAAACTTCCTTCTTCATAGGAGATACGAAAAATTGTTAATCCCGCTTGTTTAGTATCTAATTAAAACATGAATATTTTACAGTTATGAAAGTTGAATTAAAGAATGTTTATCATTTAATAACCAGTTCTTAAACGAGAAAAAAACTTTAATTTTCGTAGCAGTTTTGAAAATAGTTACGAAAACGGCATAAGTTTTTATTTATAAATGTATTTCTCGTGAATTATTTATTAGAAACTTTGATTGTAATAATTCTCTAAGGCCTCACCAGTAATCATAAATCCATACTTAGGGTGCGGCCAGAGTGCACTCAGATTCAGAGTCAGATTCAGATTCTGAAAACAAGCGCGAGAAATAAAAAGTGTAGTCTAAGCTGGTTGCCTGCTTTTTCTCGCGCTTTGTTTCTGAGTCTGAATCTGAATCTGAATCAGGAGTGCAATCTGGCCGTACCCTTCGACTACACTGTTTATTTCTCGCGCTTGTTTTCGAAAGCTGAATCTGAATCTGAATCTGAGTGCACTCTGGCCGCACCCATATGTTATAAAAAAAAAAAAAACTGCGGAAGTGTGTCTGTTACTTCTTCACTAACACCTAAATCGCTAAACAGATTTAACTGATATTTCGTATAGATATCCCATACACACTAATAGTACATTATACAAGTGGGTGCCTGCGAATTCGTTTGCATGGTTTATTTTCCACACAAACTTCCACCCCCGTTTTAGCCCCTTAAAGAATAATTTCTGGGATAAAAACGGTTCTATGTCTAGTCTCGGGACTCAAACTATAACTATACCAAATTTCATCTCAAACGATTCAGTGGTAACCGCTCATAAGGTGTGAAATAGATATTAAACTTACATATTTTTTATCAAATGCTTCGAAAGCTTGAGTCAGCGCGGTACTCAGAAATTGGGCAAGTTCGTCCCTACACTTTTGTTTCAATATTCTTAGTTTCAATCCACCAAAATTTTCTATAAAATAACTTTCTTCCGGAAATGCATTCTTTAAGTAAGTAATAGTACTAACAGCTATTACTGTGAGTTGTTTCATAAAAGTTACTGAGCTTGTGTAGTTCTCTGTTATTTGCTTAGGAAATATTTTGGTCCATTCAGTAATAGCCTGGAAAAATAAATAGTTTGTGAATAAACCAAAACATATAACGAAAATTATTCTTAGATGGATCTCTTTTACGAAAATATAGAAGATAAGAATACAACTAGTGTAATAATAATAATTACCTGTGAAGTTGGAGTTGCAGTGGCAGTCATTTTTTGCTGTATTTTTAAAAATAAATGCTAAATAATCCAGTGTGTGAACCCAGAAAAAGTTTTCAATTTTACTTCCCGCCTAATCCATTGTTTCTTATCTATTACATTTTTTTTACATTAGGCAAAGGCTTATTCTTTTACACAGTCGAAACTCTTGAGAAATACCAGAGTCGGGCCCAATATCGACGTATAAAATAATTATAGGTATTTTACTTAGATATACATAAAGTATCAACTTGCAATCATTTTCCTAATCCATTCCCTGTCCATAGACCTTAGTATTTTATTATAATGGTCTAATAATTTACTTGAAACCCATTCCATTTAAAAACTTTCAATAGTCAGTTAGTTAGTCCATGTCCCTAAAAGTAGTATACATTTACATCAAATCAAAGTTATGTATATGTAATTGAACGTAAGATCTTTAGCAAAAAAAAAGAGCTGGAATCGGTTGACTGTAGCAAATATTACGGCTACGAACATGCTACGGCCCTTTTTAAAGGGTGTTTGGCACGTTGGTCTTGGAAAAAACATGTGTTACGCCAACTGCTAACTTAGAGCGAAATCCTTCATCCATTGTTATTCTTCATGTTTTCTCTTTATTAAAAATGTATACTCACTGATTATTAAAACCTGTTTGGAAAATTGCACGTAATAAGAAATTGTTAATAAATTATGTATCTATGTCAAAGTAATAATAATTTTAAATATAGAATTTGATAATCAATAATTTACATTTGACAAGTTTACTGCTTTTGAGTATTTTAACAAAATAAAATTCTGTAACCGAAATGTTATGTCCTGAAGGTGCTATAATTTCAAATAACAAAATGGCCAAACAAGAGGTACAACAAAAAAAGACGAATAAAATACCAGGAGAAGGAACGGATAATTTAGAACTGCCCTCATTTAGAAAACCGAAGACTTGGAAAAAGTCAATTACCAATTTTTTTCGACAACAATTGCGATCAACTAAATCCAATGATGTAAGAAATTCGGTATTTTTAAACCTTTTCAGTCATGTTTGTCGTGAATTGTGTGAAGAATCTCTCTTTATTTTCTTTCAGGGAGACCGTCCATCTGGCAGTAAAGAAAGTTTTGAAAATAACAATATTAACCGTGAACAAAAATGGCAATCTTTAGGCAAAGTGTTTCGACGTCAGAGTTTTGTTGAACATTGGAATAAGGAACAAACAAATCTGCATGGAGAATGTTCATCCCAATCGAAAAAACAGGCAGTACGAAAAGTTTTGTCAAACTACTTTGGAAAGTCTCAAAAATCTGTCTCAGAAGTCAACAAAAATTCTTCTAATGGTGTTAATTTAAATTAATGTAATTTTATGTAGTACGTATCAATGAAATGATTTTCTCAATACCGTTTTTATTTTTGTAGTTCATTTAATTTTTCTGAGCAACACCCTAGATTGCCTCTTCGGCAGGGATGTCAGTAGTCTGCTTAAGCATTCACAGCGATTCCTCTGTCGATTTTCCCGCGCTGTTGCGCCATCTCAAAAACAAAACTAGTTGCGCGTCGGACATTTCGCTAGACTGAGTCAAGCAAGTCACGCGAGTGTATGTTGGAGACCAAGAATGCCAAAATGTTAGGTATGTAATTTGCTGTGAAACATATCTGGAATCACGGACTGGAATATTAAACTTACAAAAGAATGGTGTTAAATTTCACATATAAGTAGAATTATTAATATATTATTTCTATTTCGTATATATTTTTCATATGGGTACCAGTGTCGCGAATAATCGCGAACTTCCGCAAACTATGGTAAGTGTGCATAGAGCCTTATTATTCTCTTTGATAATACCATAGACATTGACATTTCCCCTTCCTGAACCAATGTCATATTGACAGTTCGATTTTAGGAGGGAAGACAGAGACACAGATGACGAGTGACTTTCGAGGCGGTGACTGGAGGGCAGCGAGGGTGAATTGGCGGCTGCGCTAATACTCCGTGACAATGGTTTGGTGAGCTCAAGGAATATAATGGTAAGTCCTTGATGGCATAGTTAAGGTTCGTACTGCTCGATCATGGAGTATGGTCCTCCCTATTTCTTGTAATGAACAGTGGCCGGAGAGTGTGCTAATAGATCTCTCATCAACAAGCGGAGCCCAGGTCGGACTAGCGGACGCGCTACGACCTGGTAAGGCTATATGGACGTCAACGTAGACGTATTGGATTGCAAAGGCAATAAGACCGCTTGTTGAGTTTGTGTGTGGTATTGGGCCCACTGAGTTCTTTGGGAGAGATCGGTTGCGAGGCATGGGCAGACTGTAAGGGGAGGTAGGAGGTCTGTTGGGGACTAGGTCCCTTTAGTTAAGTAAGGTAGCAGCTCTCCTGGCCCCCGAGCGGAGAGGGACGGGCGTAATGGTCCCTGAGACTGGCTCAGGTTGCCCGTCACACTGGGTTTCCCGGCTCCCGCGCAGAGAGTAAACGGGCTGTAAAAGCCCGCTCCATTTTGGATATGGCTCTCAAGATATATAGAATGTGGGTGGACTGTACTCGGTGAGCAAGCATTATATATTTATCTCCTAACCGCAAGAATCATAGTCCTATTCCAATAACATTATGTTCATATGTCGTTGTATATAAGATAGTATCACAGTCTATGTGAAACGTCACGACAACCAGGCCCCCTTTACCGTCAAATAATACTTCTATATGCAGGAGTATTATTTGATTAAATTCGTTCATAGTGGATATTGAGAAATAAAATTAGTATGATTTTGCGTAACAGTCGTCTACGCAACAGAAATCATTTTAGTGGAATCTTTAAAATATACGCTATTCCGGTCAAGTGAACGTGAGAACTTTATTGTAGTGTTGACTACCTCACTGAAGCTTATAGGTTGCTTTCCAATTACAGAGCATAATGCGACTCAGTGCCGCACAATGCCGAATTATGCTGATGCTTAATTGGAACGTGAATTAGTTTTCAAATGCACCAGCAGAGTGCGCTAAATTCAGTGTTGAAAAAAAAAGTCAATGTTTGTACCTTCATCCATATTTATATTTAATTTTTAACACAGTTTGAATTAACTTTGATTATTTAAAAAAAACTATGATGAAATGTAAGTTTGAATAATTTTTCAACAATAAATAATATTACTAACGATATTAATAAAACTTAATAAATATAACATTTCGATCAATGCCAACTTAAAGAAAAAACACTTGTTAATTTTCTGTCTCTAAGTTGGTACGATTGCACGCATCACACGAAAGCATCACTTTTGAGAGTGCTCAATTGTGCGAAGCGTTGCTGTAGTTGGAACACTCAACGTTAAGCATTATGCCGCATAATGCGCTATAATGCTGTAATTGGAAAGCTACCTTAAGCCAACTCGATACATTTCGTGCCAAATACTCCAAGAAACATCAGAATGTGTCACACCGATCTTCTGATGTAAAAAAAAGAACAATAATATAACTTACGACTAGGCTGTTTGGACATTGTTTCCTGTGCCTTTCCTAAAAAGGGAGAATCTTAAAAAAGAACGTTAAAAAAAACCGAATGACATTTCTGCAGACATACTTGTGATGTGAATAAAAAGATAATTTTACAGTTCTAAAGGCAAAATATTTAATTTTTCCTTTTAGTTTAGTTTTATTCAAGTATTGCTACTATAAATTTCACTTCTTGTCGTTAACTCTTACTATCAGTGCATAAAACTAGTGTCCTAGTGAATACGCCCTTGAAAAACTGTTCAAAAAAATCTTAAGTCAGCATAGCAACAGCGCTTCAACACATAGTTTCTATTTTAGGGTGTATTTGAAACTATTCCCTATAGGGTGCCTTTTAAGAGGTGAGTATTAGATTATGCAATAAAAGCAGTTACTGGAAGTTTAAATTAAAATAATAATTGCCTTGATTGTTTTACTATATAAGTGACTATCTACATTTTACTTAGTGTTAGACAATTGTGTACATAAAGACAAAATTATAACAGCAGTACCTTTATTAGTTAACATTTTTGTAATACTTATGATGTTTGGAAAATAATATTTTTAACATCTCTTAAATGTAACTTCATAAATACTAATATCTGAAAATACTGTAATTTTGTTTTAATTTACTAATCGTTTGTTTTTAATTTGAAGCCATTAAGGAATATTTTAAGGCTATCAAGTTAATATTTATATTAACCCACATAGACCGACTGATCCATACACAGGTGTTTGGGAAATAAATAATATGCCTCCTTTAATTAAAATATTTAAAAATCACTTATTATTAGAAACACAGAAACATACCTGATAGTAGTACATTCTACTACTGTTGTTTATAAACAACACCGTTTTTCGGGATTTCCATGAGGAAAATATATTTGTTCATATGTTTCCCATGTTATTTGACAGATTTTAAGCCTCATATTTTAAGTATAGTCAAAATCAGACACAGTAAAATGTTTCAGGAGTAGTTGGGTTAATAACAAATACAAAACATTAGGTATATCAATAAATACACAGTCAGGTTATAAGTATTGTCATAAGGTAAAAACTTTTCTTTTAGAATGCTGGTCACATAAAGTTTATTGAATTCGAATTTCGAATTGTTCATGAAAATAAAAATGTATACTTTTTAGAATTTTACTCATTTTTAAATATGGAGTTGTAGCTTAAAAAAGACCGTGTTGCAGTTATTGCGTTGCATCGTTGCGGTTACGCGCCAATTCAAATTTTTGACATCATCGGGAAATTCTTTTTTCGGATGAAAAAATTTTTACCGTAGAAGAGAGCTACAACAAACAAAATGATATGGTGTACGCACACAATAGTGAAGAAGCGAGCACCCGTATTCCGAGTGTCCAACGAGGTCAATTTCCATCCTAGGTACATTTTTGTGAGAAAGGTGTAAAAACGAATGCAGTTGTGTATCAAAATACAGTCCTGACGAACCTTGTGGAACCTGTTTCTCATACCATGTTCAATAACAGGCATTGGGTATCCCAACAAGATTCGGCGCCAGCTCAGAGCGAAGAGCACACAAGGCTGGCGGGCGGCGCGTGACATCGACTTCATCCGGCACAAAGACTGGCCCTCCTCCAGTCCAGATTTGTGTCCGTTAGATTACAAGATATGGCAACACTTGGAGGAAAAGGCGTGCTCAAAGCCTCATCCTAATTTGGAGTCACTCAAGACATCCTTGATTAAGGCAGCCGCCGATATTGACATGGGCCTCTTTCGTGCTGCGATAGACGACTAGCCGCGCAGATTGAAGGCCTGTGTGGATTCAAAATCACGGAGGTCATTTTGAATAAACTTTATTGTCATAAGAATCTATGCTTTGTTAAGTTCATTTTACATAATGAATAAACTTGTTTCAATTATTTTATATTAAACATGTGACAGAATTTATGACCTGACTAGGTAATATAATGCTTTGATTTTTACACAAAAAAAAAAGTTCTTCATTCTTTAGCTGTACATTTCATCATACGTTCGCACAACCATAGTGCATTGGAATATAGAGTACATAAACCTTGCTTTTGTTACTTCAGACCATTTTTGGTATCTCCAGGTAGCGATTAGTAGGATGGGACCTAGAATGCATATCATTCATAACACCAAATATAGCAGCTATGTTCTCTTTGAAACTCCATCGGGGGTCCAGCACCAGGCCGAGGTACTGAGACTTCCCTCGGCTGGTATTCGGACCCTTTTCACCCAGATAAGTCGTCCCGCTGGATCCTGCGGCGTGGGTGGCGGAACGTCATGGCCCTTGTTTAATCGACGCCACGTCCAGGCACAAAAGGCGGGTGCATCAAACGTTAAGTGACGTGCCGACCGACGCAAGATGGACCACCTCTTTCACCGTCTTCGCCTTTGCCGCGATTAACTTATCGTCGGCGTAGCACACTACCTCCACATTGAGTAAGAGACTGCCTCGCAGGACCCACTTGTGGCCCAAGTTCCAGAAGTGGGCCCAGCTCTGATCCTTGGGGTACAACTGCCGCCATGACGGGAGAGGATACGACCGTCACGTCGCAGAGGATTGTCCTGCCTTGCAGGTGGTCCTCCACGATGTCGCACAGGTTCGGAGGCACGTGGTGGAAAAGAAGTGCCCCCGTGATACACTGGGGGGAGACTTGTGTGCGTTGCGTATGTCCAGCGACACCGTAATAACAGTCAACCCGCGTAGTGGCCACCGCGTCCATTGTGGACCAGCGGGATCAGAAGCCGAATTTGTTCTCTGTTAAGTTCGGCCCCGGGCCCTTCAGATGCTCGACTATCTGGCGTGCCAGGATCTTCTCTCTATTTTCCGCCATCGTCGAACACCAAAATCGGCCGATATCCCGATGGGGAATCGGCAGGGAGGCTCTCCTTCCTCAACAGGCAGAGATGCCCCTTCTTCCAGCGCCTGGGGAAGCAGACCGTGGCGATGCTGATATTCAACACCGCCCGGAACCGCTCCTCCAGGGGTATGTCACTTTGCCAGCCCCTAGTATGACCATCAAAACTATAGCATTTTTTTCGAAATTGTTAAATGGAGTTTGACAGTTGACTGTCGATAAAAAGGCTATATCCATCATATCGCGGTGCTCATGCTAGGAGGGCAGGAGTAATGCAGATCTCTAATTTTGTTTTTATTTAATTATTCATATTTGAAATTATTCGTTATAGACTGTAACGAATAAACACCAAAACACAGACATTTAAAAATTATTCTATTTAGACTTATAGGTGTAAAAATGTCGTCAAGCCTAGGAATCATAAAAAATATCAAACATAAAATCATAATATTTTGAATAACAGTAAATCTAGACAATTACTTTTGACAGTACCGGCACTACCGGGCCGTATGAAGACTACGCTTATAAGCACAAGCACCCAGATTTATAGGGAATTACGGATACATCTCAAAATGCGATCTAGAAGTTTGCGATCTAAATTTGTATGTGGCAATTGGGTATCGCCTAATTGTCTGGTGTAAAATTTTGTAAAACTACTACTAACTTATTTTTTTTTCTTGTTTCAGATATATAAGAAGTATGAGTGTGGTATCAAAAATTAAAAGGCTAGGAAGCTATTAACCAAGTAGTTAAGGTATAGTAGTGCAACGTGGTGCTTTTTTTATTTATTGTAAGATGATTACTCGAAGATGGTTCCATCCATCATTAAATGGTCTAGATGCCGAAAAATTGTTGATGGAGTGTGGTCGCGACGGATATTTCTTAGCCAGACCGAGTATGAGTAATAAAGGTGATTTCACATTGTCTGTTCGGCGTGGTAACGAGGTAACACACATCAAAATTCAAAACAATGGCGAATTCCTCGACCTTTACGGTGGTGAAAAGTTTGCCACTCTCTCGGAGCTAGTTCAGTTCTACATGGATAACCAAGGTCAGCTACGAGAGAAAAACGGAAATATCATACGATTAAAAACACCTCTCAATTGTGCAGACCCTACGACCGAACGTTGGTATCACGGTCAACTAACAGCAAAAGAAGCTGAAAGGATGATGTTAGAGAACGGTAAAAATGGCTCGTTTCTAGTTCGCGAGTCTCAGAGGCAACCTGGAGACTTTGTGCTGTCTGTGCGGACGCGTGATCGCGTTACCCACGTCATCATACGCCGGCAAGATAATAAGTACGACGTTGGAGGCGGACTACAATTTGCCGATCTCGTAAGCCTCATAGAACACTACCGTAACTATCCAATGGTAGAAACCACAGGCGATGTTTTGAGGCTTATTCAGCCGTTTAATGCAACTCGCATTCAAGTCCGTCATTTCCAAACACGAGTAAAACAACTGCAAAAGGAAAACGAGGGCCCGATCGAAAGTATGGCCTATAAGCAAGGCTTTTGGGAGGAATTTGAAACTTTACAAATGATGGAAAACTTGCAGTTATTCGATAGAATGGAGGGTTCCAAACCGGAAAATATTAGGAAAAATCGATATAAAAACATTATACCATTTGATCATACGCGGGTCATATTACGAGATATTCCCGTCGATGCTCCTCCAGGTTCTGATTATATCAATGCGAACTATATTCGTTGTGATATAACTGATTTCATGTACGATCAAGATTCTAATGGGAGTAATGAAAATGGTTCTCCGCACACAAGAGATGGTACACCATCTAGAGGTAAAGATAAATCTTCACCTACTCATGCAACTGTAATAGTTACCGAAGAACCTGTTAGCGACGGAAGGGAAAGTAAAATCAGTAATGGTGTCCAAAAGCTCTCACCAACATATGAACCAAGTGTCCTTCGTTCTAATCCAAATTATGTGAATACGACGATTCCAAAATCTGTCGTCGAGGCGGAGCCTACCGTAGCGGACAATGTCTATAATAAGATTTACATAGCCACGCAAGGATGTCTCTCGACCACTGTTTACCAGTTTTGGTCCATGATATGGCAAGAAGATGTACGTATAATTATAATGACCACTAAAGAAATAGAACGTGGAAAAGTAAAATGTGAAAGATATTGGCCTGAATTAAATAAAACGGAAGTTATAAAGAAATATACAATAACCAATGAGTCTGAGTCTTCTACCCAGGATTACACTTTGCGTCGTTTTCAAGTTGTAAAGAAAGACGAATGTAACACTAAAAGAACGATTTATCACTTCCATTTCACTGCATGGCCCGACCACGGCGTGCCTTCGGAACCAGGTCGCGTATTAAACATCTTACTCGATGTCAATTACAGATTGCAGCAAATAATGACGAGCGACGAGCCGCCTGCACAGGCCGTGGTGTGCGTCCACTGCTCCGCCGGCATAGGCCGTACCGGTACATTCATTGTCATTGACATGATATTAGACCAAATACGAAAGGAAGGCTTTGATTGTGAAATTGACATACATCGTACAGTGCAAATGGTACGAGACCAGCGATCTGGTATGGTTCAAAATGAAGCGCAATACAAATTCATTTATATGGCCGTGTTGGAGTTCATTGAGACAGTGAAACAACGAATTGGGTTGGGCCCAGAGCCTACCCAAGACTCCCCACGAGTAAGGACTCACCCTGTCCCTTTTTTATGAGTAATGCTAAAAGGTTTAAGAAGTTTTTATCAAAAACTTTACCTAATGGACACTTTGTAAGGCGTTCGAGTAGCAAACATTAAATTTAGTGTGAGCAACTGTTAATGGATATTATGAACAGTATACTGTTGTGATTTGGAATCAACTTCGAACACAAAAAAAAAACAAAATATAGCGTGGTATTTCTATGGTGTATGTATCAAGATTCGAGGTACTAATTTAATATAAGATTTAGCTTAGATACAAGTGCCGAATATTAATTGACATATTCTAAAGAGCTTTGCATCTACTTACTTCAAAGAACAAATGGGATGTTTTAAACTTTTTACCTATTACTGACGTAACGACGTAAGCCTACGATTGATCAATAATGTAAGTAAAGAATCAAATTCTCCTTAAAAAACTATTGTTCTTAAAACTAATAATTATAATTACTCGTTACGTCAGCGTTAGGTAATTAATATAAATGGTAGGTATATTCTATTATAAAGATTTTTTTCTTTATTATCTATCCGAGATAGCTGTAATGAAGTACATACATATTTTAGATATAATTAACATATTCTAATGATTTTCTGATCATATAAAATGCATTAATGATAGATACTATTCATTTCCCACTTAAAGAAATATTTATATAAAATATCTTTACATAAAATGTTTTAATGCTGTATATTATGTATATGTAAAAGATTATAATGAGGCACTAATTAGATATTTTATTGGCAGTGACTCAACAATAACTATTGTCATATATAATAAATAAAAGTTATTTTATTCCAATGTGAATTTAAAAGTAGTAGTTAATGTAATAATATTGAGTATAGTTGTTGTTAAAAAGGAAAATAATTGTTAGCAGTTAGATATAATAATATGTTTTAAATTATAAATTACATCATAGCGACCTGATAATGATTCGAACGTTGCTTTAAATTTGTACTACATGAAGTCGGGAGAATGACTTCGGTATGATCTCGACAAAGTTATGATTTATTAATGTTACTAGCCGTTCATAAATATTCCACATTTTAAATAGCTGAATAAATAAGTGTCGCAACAATAATACCTAAATAAAACGCAGCTCATGTAAACATATTCATACCCAGTAAGTAGACATTGCAATCATGCAATGAGTCAGGCGATGTTTATTTCACTGCGTGCTTAATGTAAATCGTCAAAGCTGTATTCATTTTTACCGTTTAATCTTACAATACAAATATTTGTAACTGGTAAGACTTACAGACTAAAATTGAGCTAAGCTTGCATAACTTTGATAAATAATATAAGCCGCGATATGTATGTAGGTTCTTACGTATATAATGTTTTCTTCCAATATGTTTTAGTTTATTTACTCATTATCTTGTTTATTTGTATTTATTCACACTTTAAAAAAACATGTAGTCCTTAGACTTCGTATTTTGTGTGTAAGGAGAAACAATTTATTTTATATGTCAATCTGTAAATTTAAGGTGCTTTTATTGTAATGTACGTTTAGCCCGTACCTACGTATAATTATGGTGGGCAAATGGTGCGATAATTTCATGAACTATGTTAGTATTTATAAATTTATTTTATATACTTAATACACGCGTAGCGCACTTCTCCACGTTTTACGTACAAAAAATACTACTAGGGGCGGTTTAATAAGCGAATGTCGCAAGCAGAACTTGAAAAATCAATTTTACTTCTTGTACAATGGGAGGGCTAATTGTAACTGTAATTTTTGTTATCGCGCTCATACACCTACATACGTCATAGTGACATTACTAAAGTACTTAGTTAGATCAATTTATGGCCTGCGCAGACGACGGGCTTTTGTCCCCGCATCATGAAAAAATTAACCACGGAGGACTTGTCACGGACTCAACTCACACGCTGTGCAGACACTTGTCCCCCGAAAATTTTGTGAAGCGCATGCTATGGAACAATATTCTAAGATTACATATTGTATTGTAATTAACATGAAGCTTAAGAAAACGAGAAGCGTTCTAAAAAAAAACACTGGATCCATGCGTTTAATATCGGATTGATTATTTATTTATATTGTTGAGATTATTTATAATGCTTTGACTACTAATATTGAATTAAACAATGTTTGTCGATCTTTTTAAAAGATAGGCTCAGAAGACATTACGCTAAGCGACACTAAAAATAAATGTGATTACTTAATAATTAGTCAATTATGTTTCCTTAAATAAAAGTTTTTATTCCTGACTTAGACAACCCTCTTCAATTATTTGATTAGTCCGTTAAAGTTATTTGAATTTCTATTGATGAAATCTATAGGCGCTAAAGAATTATTTCAACAAATATTTCGCCATTATCCTTTCGGTCGTGATACTCATTTTTTTATATAGTTCTTTTTTAGGGTTCCGTACCTCAAAAGGAAAAAACGGAACCCTTAAAGGATCACTTTGTTGTCCGTCCGTCCGTCCGTCCGTCTGTCAAGACCATTTTTCTCAGGAACGCGTGGAGGTATCAAACTGAAATAATAAGAATACTCAGGTCTACTGTCCCTTGGAGCTGTGAAAAAAATCAAACTTCTAAGCCAAAGCAATCAAAAGATACAGCCGATTATGCCGCAAATTGTCAAAACTCGCACGGAAATCAAAACCTATAGGGTACTTCGCGTGAACTTAGAATCTTAAAATTTGGTTCGAAGTAACTTCTTATAGTACAGATAAAGGAAAAATTGCGAAAACCGTAAATTTTTAGTTAAGTACATCATATAATATATTTTTTTTAATAATTATTAAAACATACCTACATGTTTATACGGATCCCTCGGTGCGCGAGTCCGACTCGCACTTGGCCGGTTTTTCACTTTTATTTAAATTAACAATCGATTTCATGCGCAACGCATCGCGGAAAAATGGCCGCCGTGTGCGTTGCCGCCTCTTGTCACATAATTATGTTCTTTTTTTTTTCGCGGAATTTTGTCCTATCCGGTCCCTCGGTGTCCGAAAGTCCTCCGCGGACAAAAATCCCTCGTCGGCACAGGCTATTACTGTCACTCGATCTCTGTATTCAGACGCATATTATCACAAAATTAAACAGCAATAGGAGACGGAGATGAAAAGTCACCGATACGGGGCTTAGCACAAATACTAAAAGGGCACCGCTTTCACGATATAGGGTAACGGTTTGAGAATTAAAAAAAGTAAGTACCTTTCTGTTAACTAGGAATTGTGATACTATTATTGACAAAATAATAGCAAATAGATGAACTGCTTTTCATGATTGATGTGATTTTAAGATAAATTTAAATTATCATTGAAGATTTTTAAAGTTTTGACAAAAGAACAAAAGTTCACAATTAATTCCTATTTTATATCGGAATCTAATCATAATATGGACCTTTTTCAACAACTTCATTAAACTCAACCAAAAATGTAATAAAATCTATGATATCATTTGAGTAATACCTGAATAGAAAGAACACATCTACTTGCATAAAGGTCGAACCTATCTCAAGAAATGACAATAGTACATATAATACGTATAAGAATAATGAAAACTTAGGATACTTTGAAAAGAAAGAAAATACAAATTGAAACAGCTTTCTTCATCGATTCTGTGATTTCTTAATAAGTCGATTCTTGGTACCCATTCTGTTTTTGTAGAACTCAAATATTCATAATTCTTAAATTCAAAACTTTAAGGGATCGTAGTTTTATTTAATACTACCGATAATAAGTATTCACAAACAGTCCTTTATGACTTATGAGTAAATAATCCTTAACTTAAGATTACCAGCCACAGTTATTTCGAGACCAAAAATGTACTAGCAATGCTGTATTAGGCGGAAAGAACACCCGTGGGGCACACCCTCTACGTCCGCCCATACGTTTATGCCTCATGCTCTACCCCATCTCCACATCGAATCGTTGCACACTTCTGTTAATTAGGTCAGACAAATATTCAATTAGAATTTTGACCCAATCTTATTTGAAAATGTGGAGAAAGCTCATTTGTTGGCATTTGCGATAGCCAGACTTTATATTTCTTTTAGTTCTGCACGGTTGGTCGATAATTCGTTAGTCTAGGTTATTGAGGAATTGTTAATTGTATATAAGGCAGTTCAAACAGTGAATTTTTATTTATTGAATCGATCCACAAAATGAACAATCTGGTTCTATCACAAAGAGAGGTCTCCTTCTAAGATCTGTTCTGTCGGCTCTATTAACAGACAAATTGGCCATCTTTCTCTTCATCCAGAGGTCAACATCTCTATTTTTGAGGTTTAAAATCTTCCCTTTTTTTTGTCTGGGAAATGCTTTACGCATCCTTCAACCACCGGGGGAGCGAGAAGAAGGTATGTGGGACTCCTCCCTGCTCATTTCAGCCAGCCCTTAGGCCGGGTAAAATGAGCAGGGCCCTACCTAACGCCCTGAACAGGGCCACTAAAAACCAGACAATACTCCTGCACCAGTCACCCGGCGTACATTGTGAGGACCGCAGTACCCCTAATGCACGCCGGGAGTGCGGGTGTAGTCGCGGCAACCGTTGCCGACTGTCCGCGCAAAATCTTCCCTACTTACTGTCATCAAATAAAAAATTAAAGAGGTTGGTAATAGGAGTTATTTCTTTATGGGGAATGAAAAAATTACGTATACAAAGTGACCGGCACCCGATATTAAGCTATGAATTAATGTGCGTTCAAGTTTCTCAATCCCATACAATTAACCAAGTTTTGATTTCATACACATAAGCCTACGTACGGAAAGTTATTATATTTCATAATTTTAATTTCATTTAAAACAGTTATTGTTAAAGCAAATAGAAAGATCTCCACTTGTCACACCACGCACGGTCTCGCATCAGGTTAATTCAAAACTGACAACTATTCTGTATCTAATAGCAATATTATTCACCAAACTAGATCTACTGCTTAAAGTATCTTTATGTGTGTGTGTCTATAATCAATCAAAATGTACTTACAGAAGATTTTTTTTGTTAGATCAAATTCTGTCAAATTACTCCTACTAGTCGAAAGTCGGGTCAATATTTTATTACTTACTTAATGTAAGATCATAATTATGTAAGTATATGTTATTAAGTTCACCTACATTTGTCTCGTCAGTGTGCAGTGCTGGCAGTGCATACATTTACTTTCAATTGTTTAATAATATTTAATTTTATTTTATGAGTTTTCTTGTCTTCATAGTAGTACTTATTTCTCACATGGCGCGATTACACTTTGTCGTTAACCCGTATACCTACGAGTGCCTATGAAATTCGGACAACGACTAAGGCCCGTGTTACAGAAAGAATGTCAGTGATTAATCTAGTCTTGAGCATAGTTAGAAAGGGATGTCGCTATATATAGCACATAGCGATATCTCTTTCTAACTGTACTCAAGTAAAGATCAACACTTAGTTTTCATTCTGTAATACGGGCCTAAGTGTTATGAACGGAGTCGACCGTGTTCGTTTCGTTTCAAATAGAACGCGGGTGCAGGGTAGTTTGTCCGTGTTCCAGTACCCGAAAACAATGTAATTATTGCTTCGGGTACCCGAAATCGAGTAATGTCTTTCGCGCACCAGAATACGGACTAGCGACCAAATGTAATTGCGCCTTAATAGGAACTAGATGCCTTTAGAGAATAAAAGAATGACAAAGGATTTTGTGTTATACAAACAGTTATTTGAAAATTAATGGTGGCTACTAGCTGCTTTTATTTTCAGTTTAGCATAAAAGATCATTCTTGGAAAATAGGAAATATGCATGTAATTCAAATATGGCATTTTTATGAGACAATTTTTCATTTAATATAATAGCATGAAATGAGTTATTGAAAAGTTCATAAAACCTGTGGGAAAATTCAAATATCTGAATCGCGACAGAGCGGATGTGACGTAGAAGTCCATAACAATAAATCAACAAACGCCATGTTCACAAGATATGTCAGTCAACGAGCCCTAGCGCAAGTTCGACTAGACACACAATACACCATTTTTACGACGTTGAATATTTTTGTCCTATATATATTAGGGGGATGTAAACTACTTAATAAAAACATAAAAAAGACATACATATTTCCTATTACATCTTTTGAAACAGTAATGATGAACATGTAATTTTAAAATTTTGATTAGATTTTTGCATTTTTAATGCTAAAGTTAACTTTAAAAATTGTATATCATAAAGAAAAAATTCACTACATAGATTAGAGAATTTCAATTTTGTTTAAAATCTCAAATAGGTCTTTTTATAATTCTTTTTGAATTATTTTTTTCTTTTACTATGGAATTAATTTTACAATGATATTGTTGTCACATTAATATTTTATTCACCTCTGAGCACATGAAATTGTACGCATTTTTATTAGCGCCGCTGACGGGTAAGGTTGTTGATGTGCGTAGTCTATTATGATAGCTGTTTAATGAAAAAAAATTAACTATTCGCATTTTGCATGCATTAAAATTAAAGCAGCCGATTATTAAGGAGTTTAAACTAGGCTAAATCAGCATGTGCTTACGAAAGTCAGCAACAAGTAGGAATCACAAAATGATGATCAAAAATGATAAAATTATGAGTTTGTAACTTACCAATAAGTAACATAAAAAAAATCATGAATTATCACTGTTTGAACTACTTTAAAAATGGTTATGTTGTTAGCATTTTATTTATATTTCAGTTTATAAAGCTAAGCTTATGTATTGCATGAAGATTATATAGAGTGGTAAAATATGTTATCTGCTAAAGATGTAATGTTGTGTTATTATATAATAATTAATAAAATGTGATACCTATTTTAATTTGAGTTTTATCAGTGAGTATCAAAGATGCCAGCTGACGCGCAGTAAAGTGTGCCGATGACGCTCTAGACATCATCACCTTGCCGCCTGAACCCGATCTCTTACGGAGTACTTAACTATTATTCTAATTTGTACCCAATCTTAACAGTCTTCATAACCCTGAAACCTTATTAACTAATTATATAATAATTAATAAAATGTGATACCTATTTTAATTTGAGTGTTATCAATGAGTATCAAAGATGCCAGCTGACGCGCAGTAAAGTGTGCCGATGGCGCTCTAGACATCATCACCTTGCCGCCTGAACCCGAACTTTTACGGAGTACTTAACTATTAATCTAATTTGTACCTAATCTTAACAGTCCTCATAACCCTGAAACCTTATTAACTAACAGAAACAACACTACCAAATGTAAGTTGGAGGTTTACTTCCCCAGACTGGCGCTCCAATAGGGGTGATGACGGGGTACAGTAAACGAAATTCTATTTAGTCCGTCAGTTAGATGATCAAAAAATAATGGACACGAATTTTTCTTTGGGCAATCAACCAACAAATGACAAAGTTATAGCGCGTCAAAGTTTGGGAGTAGGGGCTCGTGACGTCACTTTTGAGTGAATTTTCCCTTATAAGTGTACTCAAACGTGACGTCATGCGACTTTTCAAATCAATATATCTCTGCAATGCTTATATTATGTGAAAAAAGAAAAAATACGTGTCCATTACTTTTTGATAATCTACCTGATAAACGAAGAAAAAAAAATTAGTCATCATCCCTATTAGGAAGGAAAATACGCTATATCCTACCTTGCTTAATGTACCATGAAAAGTGCATCATTTCTGGCTTGGGACTTCTTTGAGCTGTGGAGAGGAACAGACGAAATAAACACCGCAAAATAGACATGGGCGTTTTTGGTTTTGAACGCAAACGGATATTTATCGGATTTCAGATTTCAAAATCGATTTTAAAATCCGATTTCAGATGTGCTGAACTTAGCCAATTTACTAGTTTGTGTTATGATTTGGTTTTATTAGCTAACGACAATCACAAACAATTAATTGTAGGAAGCAAGGATACTCGTAGATATTCGCGATTTTCCTTCATGCTTTAAATCTAGGCTTAGGACTAGCAGAAAAGTTATGTTTACGGTTAAGAGTAAAACTTTTGCGGCGCATTTAAAAATCGGCTTTTATACAATGATTTCTTTTTACATATTTTTTAGTATTTTTATTTGTTATTCTGTTTGTTTTTATTATTTTTCAAACCATTTACAAAATCAAACCTAATTACTTCAGGTTAGCGTCCAAAAATGTAAGTTGCTCGACTTTTGATGTTTTTAGACGACATATCTTTTCAGTGATAAATAATCCCGCCTCAGAGAACAGCAATAGATTTCCGTAAACAGCAAATCGAAATCGGAGTTCCGAGCACGAAATCTGACTTCCGAAAACGAAAGCACGAATTTCGAATCCGATTTAGATTTGGATACTTGTGGTATTTGGTTTTGGTTCGGTTAGATTTCTGAAATCGGATTTTCTTGTTGAGAAATCGTTCGGTATCGATTTGTGTTTGAAATCGGATTTTGGATTCGTTTTGATATATCGGACGCATGCCTACCGCAAAATACAAAAATATGCTAACGAAACAGTTCCATGTTTAAAAAGTAAAAATTATAAAAAAAAATATAAAAAGCGATAGCAAGAATACTCGGAAGAATGTGTTTTTGGCCCTGTGACTATTATAAATAATGTAGGATGTAACTTCGTTATCAGTCCTTCAATGTGATGTGATGACGACTACTAAATATTTTATTGTTTTAATATTTTATTTTAATTCATAAAATTTCTGTTTTGTGCCCTCTATCTAATTACCGTTCCCCGACTTTATAATGCTTGGGTCTGATATCTATAGGTACTAATACTAGCTAAGCCAGCGAACTTCATATCGCCATAAAAATGAGGCTGTCAGCTCAAAAGTGGCCTTATCCTCAATTATTCATATTCTGATTAAGTGGCTAATGGTGGCTAAGGCCACTTATGAAGTTTACGTTGAGAGAAAAAAATCAATGCAAAAAGAAATTGCAACGCCACCTATTGACGCCTGGTGAAACAAGAAATAGGCCGATTTTGAATTAACACATTTTTACTAATTGTTGAAGATGAATTAGAATATGAGGGTCTGGCCACTTTTGCGCTGACAGCCTCAATTATGGGTGGTAGAAGGGTGGGTCAAAATTTAGGGTTGTATGTATTTTTGTATGATGTATCATAAAAAAAAATAAAAAATGTCTAAAAATAAAATCTATATACCCTTAACATTTAGGGGGATGAAAAATAGATGTCCGATTCTCAGACCTACTAAATATGCATATAAAATTTCACGAAAATCGGTCGAGCCGTATCGGAGGAGTTCAATTACGCACACCGTGACACGAGAATTTTATATATTAGATTATAAAGAGGAAAGATTTGATTGTTTGTGTGTTAATGCTCATATTTATATAAGTACCTACCACCAACTGTACACATTATGGTTGCAATAAATGATTTGAGTTTGAATAGGCTCTGAAACTACTGGACCGATTTGCAAAAATCTTTCACATTAAGAATTCTACATAATCCCTGAAGAACATGGGCTATAAAATATTTAAAAAAAGTTGGGTTCCATATTAAAACTTCGATAATGTACCCAACCTAATGTGTGAAAAAAATACCAAAACATCACCTTATATGACGTACCTATGCTGCGGAAGTAACTGACATTAGAGCAAAGTTATTTATGTAGCAAAGTTTTATAGAAGACATCAATATCTACAAAAAAGCCCGCGATACCGTATGTCTAACTATTATAGTTATGTCACTACTAAATGTCCCCTGCGGTTTCATCTGCGTTGTATTGAGGAAAAATGTTATAGTGAGTCAAATTTATAATATGGACATATTATTATACTGTCGCGGACTTTTTTATAGAACTTTTAAAGGAAAACAATTCCATCATACATGATTTTTGTTAACTTTAACCGTTTACTCAGCGCAAGCAACGGAAGCTCACAAATGATTTTCTTTTTTTTTGCAACATTTTTCATGGATTCTCTTCTCCTACTGGACCTAGCGTGATGTTATTTTGCCTTCCTCGACAAATGCACTATCCAATACAAAATTATTTTTTCAAATTGGACCCGTATTTTCTGAGACCAGCGCGTTTAACCAAAAATAAAAAGCAAAAAACAAACGAACTTGTCAGCTTTATTATATTAGTAATCCTTAAACCTTCACCGATCACAAGTCCCAGAACTGCTCAGAGTTTCTCTTTATCCCACACGATTAGGGCTGCCATCTCTAAAATGTGGCAACCAGGATCAGAGGCGTGATAACCCCGGATTTTGGAGCCCAGAACCCGGACAGACCAATAAAAAAACAGTTAAAAATGTCACAAATCAACTTTTTTTATGTTGATGTAGGCAAAAGAGCTAGCGGTCTACCTCATAATAAGTGGTCACTGCTGCCCATGGACACTTGCAGCACTAAGGGCCACATGCGTTGCCGGCACTGAAATAAAAGGTTCATCCGCCTTTTTAAGATTACCATTTATTATAGCTATAAGAAAAAAATACTGAGGAAAGTTCGTTCTAGAACTTGCTGGTACACAAAAGAAAGGAACACATGGTGCTCGAACGCCAGGCGTCCAGATGATGGGCGGGAAACTTCTCTGCGGTGTGTGGTGCTGTGAAGAAACTTGGCCACAGGCATCCGGTTGAATAATTCCTCGGAATACTCTCCATTGATTGTATAGACGGTACGACACGTAGAAGGAGTTGCGTCCTTTTACGTGTTGTACCGTCTGCGCATGCTAAGGGTTTCAACGCGTGAGTGAGCTCAGGAGCATCGATATGTCAAACTGCCCGCTTTTGTATCCGGTCAAGAGGAAGGAACTGGTATTGGGGTGCTCCAGCCCAGAGGACCAGTGCTTTGTAAAGTAACACCCGATATTTAGGTTTGAGGTACTTACTAGATCTATTGAACACACAAGCTTTTTCACACATACTTGTGTCTATGCTGGGTTAATCCAATCAAATTTAGTTGGCTCCAATTTGAGACTTGATCCAGTAACATCTCAATCTCGGACACAAGTCTGTCTTTACACCCTTCTTCTTCCATCCGAGGGATGTTTGACCGGCCAGTGTAAAAAGTTTCAGTGCTCTCATCCACATAGCAACGAATGCTGTTATTGCGGACAGTATGGGCAACAAAGCTGATCTTTGTTGGAAGTCAGCATTTATGGTTACAGTGTTAGAATAGATTTATTTATTTTCAAAGCCATTTAAATTGACGGATTAATTGGCGACTCAAAACAGGAAATTTGTAACCCGGACTACAAATGAAACCCCGCCCGGACGCTCCCCGGACGCCCCGTAAACTAGGACAAATCCGGGGAAACCCGGACGGATGGCAGCCCTACACACGATGAACCAGGCACCCGCACGGTATATCCATGGATTGCTAAGAAGTTCGTCTCATATATCTAACTAGGTAAACTAAAGAAGTATCTTTGCGTTAAAATATGGAATAGTAACGCCGCCGGTACAAACTAGGCACATTATTCGTACCCGGGTATTAATCTATTGATAAATAAAAATACAAACACCATAGTGTTCAAATTAAACACTGAGGCTTGTGTTATGGGATCGTTAATCGCATATTATCAGAAACGTAAAATAGCCGATTCGCAAAAAAAATTATGTTTATATTAACAAATTCTCAAAATAGTCAAAGTACAGTTGATGAAAATTATTATTTATGCAACTGTTGTATAATGAGGAGTATTAAAAACACGAATGTGGTTCTGATAATAGTATCACATGAGTGTTTTAATACCTAATTATGAACAGTTGCATATATCTATCCCCATTATATGAATCCTCTTTAATAGGTTCTTAAACCATGGCATGGGGCGTTGAAAAAACTACGCTAAAATAATATGGCGGTACCCCGCAATCTCGCGAGATCGGTAACCCGGGTAATTGATTACAAAAACACTGCCTTGTTATAGTGATAGATATAAAAATTATGAAAAAACTCTACAAACGTACGTACACGTATACAAAACAACGGTTGTTGTGATGTCTTATCTTAATATTTGTACCATCCCAAACGTTCGATGACACTTGAATGTCATGAAAGATTTAACAGTCAAACGTCCGAGGACGCTCGAGCGTCCTCTGTGGGCGGTTCTGTTTTTTGCTCATTAGCACGCTTTAGAAAGCATCCTTATTGCTGCTCATGGTCTCTTTAGTTTAGGCAAATATGTAGATTGCGTTGTGAATAAAAATACAGTGCTCTCTGAACTTTAGATTTTTTTACATGACTTTGAAGTAAGCGCTCCGCGAAAAATGGTGATGTCGTGGACGTTTCAACCGAAATGACCTCAATTTTGTAGGCAATACTCTTTTCTCATTATTTAATCTTAAAGTGTTATATATCCACATGCTCCTCAAGATTTACCCATGTCAATGATGTGAAAAGATCATAGTTTTATTTGCGTTACAATTAAAAGTCTACAAAAATGTGTACACGTAAGTTTGATTTGTTACCAGATATTTCTATTTTATTTCTTTAGTTATGTTTTTCTTAACTAAGGTTTTTTCAAAATATTTATTTATGAAAAATTACTGTTAAAAAATTGCAATCATTGGAAAGGTAATTGTTGATAAAACCAAGCCTGAATTTATAAACAACTTCGGCACCTATCAAATGTTTAATAATTAACTTCCAGGTATTGTAAAATACTGGGCAAATTTAGATATTATATACTTAAATTGTTTCAAAAAATAAATAATAGCTCAATAAAAGAAAAAAAAACAATTAAATAATCACCAAGCTCATGTTTGAACCAGAGATCAGTTGGTGTCAACCGCAAGAACTAAATGATAAAATTATGGATACCTATCTTGGGTCAAATACTCTACTTCTGTTTTATCGAATCTCAAATCACAATGGAGCTAAAGAAGTTTACACTTAAAAAACACTTTCAAATTAAGAAATAATTGTTAGCCTAAAAAACATTTGAAATCAGTACCAGGTAACCCAAGTGGAGAATGGCAATACAGATCTATATTTCTTGGCATGGTTATATTTTTATGAATTCAGTTTGATATTAAAAATAGTGTCTATAAAAGCAACAGCACTTTTTGGAGTAATTTTTTTATATAAATAACAAAACTTACAACAAATACATTAATCTCTGGCTTTATTGAAAGAGGGGAAAGTAAAAAATGTTCTACTTTTATTGAGTCTGTATATCTTGTATAATAATAATTATTTTTTATTAAGTAGATACAAGATATTCAAGATTCACTGAATACAAGAAACAAAAAATTGTATGCTCTATGTCATAATCGCAAAAAATACTATAGGTTGTCTGTCCCCACACTAATTAAATTAAAATTTAAAGTAGTTTACATTCATTGCATCAACTTAACTTTTTCCACTTGCTCACAGATGGCCGAGTCACAAGTACAGTAAGTAATTGTTTCCTTTGTCAGACACTGATAATTACATAGTCTGGTAGATTTGTAACTCTTGTAATTAATCATCATTATTCACTTGGATTTCTTCAATGCCATCAGTTTCAGTGACCAGAGCTCTCTCAAGAATAACACGGCCCTCTTTGTATCTGAAATTTTAAATTTATTGCCAATTTATATTTAGGTATTCAATATAAAATATTTAAATACTGATTTAATTAAATTAATTTTGTTAAAAACCTCTGATTCTCTTCAGTAGCAAATTCATACACCCATCCAAGCTTGGTAGCACAATTTTTGCAAGAGACATCGCGAACCATATGTCGACCTGTCAGCATCACGCGATCCTGCACCTCCGAATAAATCAGATTCACCACTTTGTGAAACAAAAATGCGCGACCTGTCAAGAGTTGGTCAAATCTTTGTTATCACTAAACTAAATCTGCTTCGTAAGTATTTAATTTTGTGCGCGTAATCAGCAATATAACTTACCTGTTGCTCCAGTGAATCTTGTACTTATCAATTCTGATCGATTTGTGAGATTTACATCACACGCTGCACAAGAAAACAACCGAGTACCACCAATATGGTCTAGAAATATTTTGCCCATTTTCTGTTGCAGATTATTGCCGAGGCGTTAAGGTTTTGTTGGTGATGATCAAAATTTAGATTGAAGATTTACGTATTTATTTTATTACACGAAAGTTCATTCCATTACAATAGCAAACAAAACAAAGATAATGTCATTGTCAATATGCAGCTAGGGACACGAAAAAAGTATCGATACTTTGTGGTATCGAGTACTTTTCCTTTCGATACCGATACTTTTGTACTCGATACTTTGTATTCGATACTTTTACTTATCGAGTACTTTTTGGCAAGTAAGTATCGATACTTTTAAAATTTGGATAAGCGCCTCATATTGTTAGGCTTGCGCTTTCACGGCAAAAACATCGCCATTCCTTCCGCTTCCATCTCTTCAGGGCAGAATACTACCGCTGCAGAGCAACATTTCCATGCTCGGTATGGAAGTTCGCTCAGACCTGAATCCAAAGGACTACATCGAAACCGTGATCAAAACAGCTTCACGCAAACTCGGAGTCCTGAACAAGGTGCGGCGTTTTTTCGCGCCCGATCAACTGTGCTTGTTGTACAAAACGCAAGTGCGGTCCTGCGTGGAATATTGCTCGCACCTCTGGGATGGCTCCGCCAAGTACTTGCTCGATGCTTTGGATAGGTTACAGCGGCGCGCGATCCGCATCATAGGCGATGAGGAAGTGACTAAACACCTTGAGCCTCTTCAATTACTATTGACGTGACGTGGCGTCACTAAGCGCGTTCTATCGTTTGTACCACGGCGAGTGTTCTGAGGAGTTATTCTCTCTTATCCCACCTTCCCCTTTCCTTCAGAGGACCACGCGCGCTGGCCTTGTCACCGTCTTACTGTGGCCACAATTCCAACGCGTACAAAGAAATTTGGTGACTCATTTCTTTGTCGCACTATCCGTAAATGGAATGCTCTGCCCGCTCACGTGTTCCCTCCCTCTTACAACCTGGGATCCTTTAAAAGAGGCGTGAAAAAAACGGACGTAACCTCTTCTATAATTATAATATTGAGTGAAGCATGCCAATGGCCGCCGTTAACTGCGTGTCAGATTCAAGTAACATTTTAATTATTAATGTGATATTAATGAACACTTTTTAAGTGTCAGAAATCACAGCTATTTTCTTTTCATTATTTATTATAGCAATTTGTGAATTTATATGTCCTTTTACTGTTATTATACGTACTATAATAAAATTGGATTGTTTTTCTTTCAATTTTTAACCCCGGGGGGGGGGGGGGTTGCTCATCGGGCCACAGAGGATCCGATAAGGCCCTATGAAATGTACTCGATACTTTGAAGTATCGATACTTTTGTTTCGATACTTTTACGAGTACGATACTTTTTTACCGATACTACTCATGAGTACAGTATCGATACTTTCTATTCGATATCGTGTCCCTATATGCAGCTGGTTGAGAGTAGGGATGTACCGTGTATAAGTATTCGTTATCGATAAATTTCATTAACTAGGGCTAAATAATGAATATCAATACTGGAGATCCTCGATGTTGTTATTCCTGTTATTGTTATTGAACTGCAATATTAAAAGAGCTCATGTTCCAACAAAAATTACCTATTAGCTAAAAGTCTACAATTTTATCAACCGACTTAAAAAAGGAGGTTCTTAATTCGACTGTGTTCTTTTATGTTTGTTACCTCAGAACTTTCGACTGGATGAACCGATTTTGATGATTCTTTTATATTTGAAAACTAGTACTTTTCGCGTGGTCCCGTTTTAATTTGGTTCAGTTCTGACAGTGTAATCCATGAGAAAACTAAAGAAGTCTAAAATTTGCATTAAGTTTGTGCGCGACAAATGGACGAATAACTCAATATCACGAGAATTCGATGATTCTTTTTTGTTTGGAAAAGGTTGTTAGCGGGATACTCTCACATTATGAAGATCTGATAAATACTTACGGAGATAAATAATGAAACTCTTCCAACACGAACAGTACACATATCGTGTTTGGTTCTTTTTTAAAATATGAAAGAGATTGCAGGCTTGATATCTATATTTAGTAAGTTGATGTTGCTCTGGATTATAAAAAGTTAAAAATTACGAACCTAAAGAAAATATAACTAGAAAAAATTCGGCCCAGGCAGCAGACGGGACTCGAACCCGCACTCTTCGCTATCCGGGCGAATGCACTAACCAATTATGCTACCGCGGCTCTGACGGCCGCGTCGAAATTCTTCTAGCCATTCCTAAGCTGCAAGGCAGCACCATCTCTTCGCATTGTAGGTAAAATTTAAACATCAAGCAGTCACATGCTTATAAAATAAAAATTATAATTACGAACCTTTTTACAAAAATAAGAACAGTTGACGACCTCTGTGGTCGAGTGGTTTGTACGCCGGGTTTCATGATGTCACCGACTCGAAAGGTGCCGGGTTCGAATCCCGGTGGGAGCAGATGTTTGTGTGATGAATACAAGCTTTTGTACTCCAGTCATGGATGTTTAATATGTATTTCTATATAAATATACTTATATAAGTAAAGTATATGTATTCTATCCGTTACTCTAGTATCCCATAACACAAGCCTTACAGTGCTTACTTTGGGGCTAGGCAAATTGGTGTGAGTGTTGGAAATATTTATATTATTTATTTTTACAAAAATAAGAACAGAACCACTAAAAATTAAGAAATAGATAATTTCTTTATTGTACACACCACATTATAAATACAAAATTAGGACAAATATTTAAAAAGGCGGACAATGGCGGTCTTATGGCTATGTAGCCATTTCTTCCAGACAACCATAGGATGGAGAGACGAAATTCAATTAAAGAGGGGGTGTGCAACTACAAAATTAAAATAGAAAAAAAAGGAAAACCAAATATAACCATGATAAAAAATTGCTGTTCATATTATAAAATAGAAACTGATAAAAAAAACAAATAAACAAACAAAAACTGTATGTTTTCGGTACATTAAATTAAATACACATTTTTGTATCTGCATGGGTTGGCAAGGCACCTGCACCAAATATTAATTTTATTTTAAAGGTATTTTTAGACTTAAGTAAAGAAAATGTATTATTTCTTAATTTTTAGTGGTTTGTTTTTATGAAGTCGTTTTTTATTTTTGTTATGATATACGCATACGCATATAAAATAATAAAGATGCCACAAGTGCTTTAATATAATTACACAATTTCGAATCGACTCAAATCTATATATTGTATACTTCCACATCCCTAGTCGTAAAGAAGTAAAAGGTAAAGATTTTGAATATATACGGCCTTGTTTATATGTTTTTGGTTTTTCAGTAAGAGAATTCATTAAACTATTTGTCTATTCCTTAATCGTATGATTAAATTAAATAATTGATATTATAAAAATCAGGGAAAAGGAATTTATTAAACAAATTATGTTTTTCATGTAGGTACTACTTAAAGTTTTTTGGGGTACAAAATAAAATTAAATAGTGTATATGGCATGTTTGAAGAACAAAAATCATATTTTTTTACGGTAAATGATCTTAGGCTTAGGATTTGGCCAGCCCCCGCACAACTTCGAGACCTTGAACCAATATTTATCAGTAACCACAGCAACAGCATTTTCCTTCAATTTTGAAGTATGATTTCACAAAAAAGTAAACACACTCATGTCTGTTACCTTATTTCACAAAATTAGATTAATATATATCATTTGCTACCTAATATGGAAGCAATAAAAGAAGAAGCCATACATCACACTGCACTAAAATTAGCAGAAGAAATAAAAAACTTATCAATTTATAAATCATTTTATAGTGACGTGCAGGCAAGTGGCTTTTGGATGGTTGCTTTTATTGTGATTATATAATTATTAATAGGCACCTGTATGTTTTATTCAAAACGACAAATTTAATAATTTAACAGAAATTAGTATCATCGCCAAACGTAAAAAAGGAGGATTTTAAATTAAGTTTGCAGCAAGCTATGAAAGAAAAAGGTTTAGATACAAAACTTAGAAACACTGTATTCCACTGGGTACGAACACAAAATAAACAAAATGTAAGTTGAAAAGTTATAATACCTATGTAACTAGTGTATGTATTTATTTTAGTTGTACTTTTAGCTGCCATGCGTTAGTGCATAAGTAACTGTGTGACCCCTTTCAATAATAAAATTAATTTCAACATTAAATCGATTTAATTAGCTACTTTTTATATTCACATGAGCGCTATCTCTCTAGATATACATAGTAAATTTTCCCGCTCGAATCAGAGCGCCCGCCGCCCAGTCGGCCAGCAGAAAAAATATGCCTCTTCCTGACACAAGTTTGAAATCCTTACTATTCTATTTCAAGACGTGTTGTAGAATGTAATGTAGGTATTACCTGCAGTGAGTCAGCCAGCTAGAGCTTCACCGACGGCGGTGGCGTAGGATATTGAGGTAAAGGTGTATAAGATTACAAAAGTGGCACACTTACCTATGTCATTTTGTATAGAAATACCATCATATCACGTCACTTCATGCGTCACCACTACAATTCGATAGGTACCCGTCGCCGAATTAGAACCCGCATACATTAAGTAAAATCGTAACTTGACAGAACTTATTTTTTATTTTATTTTTAATGTTAAAACATGAACAAACATACCGCCAGACGGTAAGCGGCCACCTAGCCTATAAATATAGTCTATCTTAGACGCTTGCGATACCAAAAACATCACTAGCTCTGTTGGGTACCCTGACCCAAACCTCTAGCCCGTGGAGACCTAGAACCTTATTCACCGACAGAAACACAATATCACCAAATGGTACCTAGTGTTATTTAAATGTGGCCTTTTGAAAGGTGGAGGTTACTTACCCAGACGGGCGCTCCAATTCGAGCAGAGGCTCCGCTATGCCCTACGTCTCTTTAACCGTCGCATTTTATAGCCACCATTCAAGTAATGTAGATACTTATGTACTTAATGATATAAATTTCAACATTTTCAGAAATTAGATCCTTTAACATCTTTGATGAAGGCAAGCGCACAGTGGGAGAAAAGAATACACAAATCATTAAATTCTATGTGTTCGGATCTAGAAACATCCTTAGCAAAAATACGCTTGCAAAGCGAACAAGAAGAATTAACAGAAAAATGGAATGAGCTCAGTACATATAATTTAGGTAAAAAATGGTTGCCTGTAAAGTCGGTTTTACGGGCGAAGATTTTACGTGACAACGTCTTTTTCTCGGTAGAATATTTATTGATATGAATATAATTAAATTGCACAATAGGAACAAGGAATTGAATGAAAATAAGAATTGCACAAATTTTAACTATAGAAATATATTTTGTTTACTAAAACATTGTACATGTAAACTTAAACTTAACACGAGAGACTCATCGTAACGTTACCGAGCGTTACACTTTTTCATAAGTGACTCCCAGCCGCAACCTAATTTAAGACGTTGTCACGTCAAAAATATTGCCTACATAGTTTAACACTGGTTTCTTTTGATTATAAATCCGATAATTGTATAATTTACCTACTTACAGATTTATCCAAATACAGGCCAGTTTACGCACCAAAAGATTTTTTAGAAGTGTTGTTGACCTTGTCCGGTTATGTTCCATACACAAGAGAGTAAGTATTTTTGCAAATTACTAAATTTGCCAGAGCGGTATAATAAAATTGCAGGTAAATATTTGTACTTTTCAACTTAGCCAACTTCTTTAAAAGGAACGAAACTATCCTAGTTTTCAAAATAATCTGGTGATCGTACCTAGGAATGTGCGTGAGGGTGTCAAAATAATGCAATGGGAGAAAGAAATAAAACAATTTAATACGACTGATTATTTTTTTGTTACAGAGATGAACCTAAATGGGAATTCGCCCATTTACCACTGCAAGTCAAAACTTTGGATCAGTTGGTAAGTTCATTTGCCCTTTAATAAATCTTGACTAAACCGGTCACATATCAAAACTAATATATCTACCTGCTTACTGTGTGTGTATTCGCTGATATGATTACTTGTTATCTTCCAAATTGACCAATAGTTGATTAGCGGAAGACCTAGAAGCCCTATTTTATAGATTTTCTTTACTTTCCTACAACACAAAATACAAATAAAGTTGCAGTCTAAACTTTTAGCGTGCAGTGTCGTAGTAGTGTGCCTAGTGGTCGAACGGCGAACCGTTGCTTTTGGAGCTAATCCCGTCTTTCAATTTTAACATAAAGTGGTACAGTGTTTCTAGAGTGGTGGACTTTAAATTTTAGCGTACAGTGTTCCTAGAGTGGTCTAACTACAAGCCATTGCTTTTGGAGCTAATGCCGTCTTTCACTTTTAGCGTACAGTGTTCGTAGAGTGGTCAAACGGCGAGCCGTTGCTCGGAGTAAACCCAAACATGCCGAGTTGTGTGCCCGGCTTCATGACGCTGGAGGCTGAGCGCATCGGGCTCGGCGAGCGCGTGGCGGCGCTGGGCTACGCACCCGTCATACAGGAGTACTTGAAGAAGGGCAGCCCGCAGTGCCTGCGCGCCAAGCTCTGGTCACAGGTGCTAGGAGCTGAGGTCACCGCTCAGGTGAGACATGCCGTTTGTTTAATGGTTAGTTTATCGTCATCATGGATACGTTAAAAATTGAAGTGATTATGGTGTATGAGTGCCGTCGTGGCAGCAAAGCGGCACACAACATCAACAACGTATACGGAGCGAACACTGCTAACGATGGCACCATCCATCATGGGTTTGCCCGCTATCGTTCTGGAAATTTCTACCTAAGAAATTAACCCCGTGGTGGACTGAAAACTTTAACCGACAATGACGAATTAAAGAGGACTGTGGAAACTGATGATTCTCAATCTACAGCTGAATTAGCAACAGCTTTCGATGTTAGCATTAAAACAATATTGGTCCATTTGCGTCCAATTGCCAAGGTAAAAAAGCTTGCAAAATGGGTGCTCCATGAATTAAATGATCAGATGAGTCAGCGCGAAGTACGCATCGAGTTAAGCCTTGCACTGCTCAACAGGTACACAAACTAAGACATTGCATCGCATTGTTAGGTACTTGCTACGAAAAAAAGATTCTACTGATCTACTCGACAATCACAAGCGCTCAGCTAGTTTGTTGGATCCTAGTTCAGCACCTAAACAATACCCCAAACAAAAACTGACACCAAAAAAGTGATGGTCACAGTGTGGTGATCTAGCGCCGGTATCATTTATCGCAGCTTCTTACCAAACGGGATAAATTACTGCAGATGTGTACTGTGAAGAACTGAACGTAACGATGAAGAAGCTCGCACATCTCCAACCAGCTTTGGTCAATCGTTCGGCCCGCTGCTCCTGCACAACAACGCGCGACCTCATACTGCACAGCAGACGCTCTCCAAGTTACAGGAGCTAGGGTTGGAAGTTCACCAGACCTTGTCCCTACAGACTTCTACGTTTTCCAGAATTTTGATAATTTCTTAGTGGGAAAAAAAAATCAATAACCGAGAGGCAGTTCAAAATTCCTTTAGAAGAATTGTTGCTTACCATAATAAATAATAATATTAATTATTTACTCATAACACAACATTTTACATTTTAAGTATTAAGCTAATAAAGTCTAGTCTATGAATACCACATATAATAAGTCATATACGAAAACGTGTTAATGGTGTCTAGATTTATATTTAGTTATAATTGCTGTTAAAAAAACACTGTACGTTTTCCTAATAAAATAAAATAAAAAGCTCAAAAAATGGACCCCCTAACCTAGAAACTAGAAAAAACTGTAATAACAGGGTTGGTAATTCCTCGGTCGATATTTTGCAAAACTATATTTTAGTTTAACCACAGCTATTGTGATGAGTAATCAACTAAATGAAGCAAAATCAATTTAATAATTTTTATTAAGTGTGAGCATTTATGTATGAATGAAGTGTGTCTGTGTGATTGTGTTGGTGTGTGTTGATATGAGTGTGTGTATTTATGTTTGTCTTTTATTATACATAACTGTTTCCTATTTTAATAGATTTTATGTGTCTGAGTAGTTTTGATTCAAAAGATAAGCAGAGGTAGGTATCCATATATACCATTCAGCAGACATTTTCAAAAAGGGCATCAATAAGCTACCACTACTACTTTGAAAAATGCATTGATTGGATTGGTAATTAATAAAAATATACATTATAAAAAAGAAAGGGCGTTAACTTATTTCATGAAAATGGCAATTTCATAGGTAAAGACAATATTTTTCATGCGCATCCGAATCCGCATTAGGTAATGATGCTATGTAATAAGCTTTTACGGATGTGTATTCATAACAACAAATAATGATCTAATGAAAGTTAGCGGAACCATACTTGAAATGATAAACTGATAACTGTTTTAGTTTCATTTTCAAAATTAATATGTTTAAATAAACATTAAAATGAAATCGGTTTACTTCCTGAAATCCGCATCCGCGCATATGAAACTCTATCCGCATCCGTGGATGTCAACATTTTCACATCCGCAACAACCCACCCTGGTCTGAAGAGCAACTGTATTTACGATTACCTAACATAATAAACTACATAGGAATTGAAAAAGTTTAGGACGAAATGTTTCTGCTGCAGCTGAAGCAGCCCAGCCTCAACATATATCTTACACCTCAGAACAGACTGTGCCGTCACAAACATATTTTCCTTGCAGCAACTCAGCTACTTCAGCCAATTGAAGAAGAGTGTTCTGGACGTTGATCTCATGATCGATAAGTTAATATTCAAAGACGTTCAACTGACTGCTTCTAACGATGACCAGTATTTTGTTTTCGAGGATCTCTTATACCAGGTATGTCAACGGTTTAATGTTTTATTATTCTAAGGATTTAGTAACGTGCTGGAATTTTGGTAAGCAGTTTTATACCTACCTACTGTAGCAGATTAAATGAGATGATTGGAACAAGTGCAACTTGGACTTGCTCACTCATTTGGAATACAGCTGTTGTAAAGTGCGGTAGGTACCCTTGAAAATACACTTTCTGTGAAAATTTGAACTGTCATCCTATACTTACCTTTTAATGAGATATAGGGAGATAGATAATACATCCAACAAGCGCTGGGCGTTGACAGACCTACAATATAGGCATAGATACAGTTGCAATAATTGGTTCATTTCTTAACCTTTGAGTACGGCGGAGCCCTAAAAAATATTTTATTTGGTGTTCCATTTGTTAGCTGATGATGGTGAACACCAATCAAATATTCGGTTAGGTAAGTAGGTAGCATACTTACTTATTTATTTTGACGATGGTATTTACAGGTAATGTTGTGTTTTTCCCGGGATTGCGAAGTGATGCAGCAACTTAAGGGCAGCATAGGGAACCCCCTTACGGTCACTATAAAGGGCAAGCAAACGTCCGCGGACAGTGTCACCGTGTTCCCGCCGAGTGGCGTTATACCTTTCCATGGATTCACCATGTATGGTAAGAGACCGAAACATATTCATATCATGATCTATTGTGTCACCTTCCTTAAGGAAAAATAAGATATCGCAAAATTGATGTTATATGTTGTTAGCTGTATGAACGTAAATTACTTTGTCTTACTTTAGAAAAAGGGTTCGCGCTAAAAGCGCTGTCGTGTTCCTAGCGACTCCTTTTACTCGTATCACAGTAAAAAATGTCTAGTTATAGCTCAATTTATTAAACTTGACTATGTACAATTCTCGATGTACAGAGCCCGTTTTAAACTCCAATCTAAAAAATGTTACAACACGTACATGGAAACTCCAATCTAAAAAAAATTATAACACGTACGTTGAAAGTGGCATTGAAAATAACCTGAAGTACTTCTGGACTTACGTAAATACAACAAAGTAGTTGCTAGTATCCCGAGCCGAGTCTCCTACGATAACATTATTGCTGACGATCCAAAGGGGGTTTGTAATTTATTCTCGTCATTCTTGAATCTGTGTTTGAACCTTGAAATTTAACTGCTGATTTTATTGCAAACAACACAAATGATCTAAATCAAAGTTATAGTCTCTCTCTTAGTAATATCACCCTTACACGGTTTCGTAAAACGTAGATCAACAAATACAAATCTTACGATTTATTTATCACATATTTTTGAGAGTATTGATGCTAATAAACAAGTAGACTGTGTGTATACTGATTTTAGAAAGGCCCTTGACACGGTCAATCATAAATTACTTCTAGAAAAGCTGGCATCCGTGGGGACCTCTGGAGAAGGTTTAAATCATACATTAGTAATCCCACCTAGAAGGTCGTGATTGGTGGATATGAATCGGATTATGTGAAAATAACCTCAGGTGTACCGCAAGGCTCCATTCTAGGTCCACTACTATTTGTTTCTGTACCCATCTGGAATCCTTATTACAATAAAAATATTGAGGCAATCGAAAGGGTTCAGGAGATATTTTTTTCAAACTCAAATCGAATTTAATCAAACTTAATTTGTTTCTTTGTTAATCAACTTTTTTTAGTGATACTTAGAATATCACCACACTCAACGCTATTTTAATATGTATTTTAATATATAAGTGGTAAACGGTGCTGGTTTCAAAATTATCTATCTAATCACCAATACTGAATTGTTATGTACTTACTTTTAACACTTTGTTTACCCAAATAAATAGGAAAAAAAAAACAAAATATAAACACTCAATTGATATCAGTGTCTTATTTTAACTTAAGTGATGCTGGTACTTGACTTGGCTTTTCGTATTTGCTATTTGTCAAGTTTACAAACAGTATACCCTTAACATGCTTTTTATAGAATGAAAAGGACAGACTGATGTCAACTTTACAAATAGCAAACATGAATAGCCAAGTAAAGTGTCGGCAAATAACATTAATTTTGCGATGTCTCATTTTTCGATATGGAAGGTGACACAATAGATTCTGGCGTATAAGTATCATGATTCTTCAGTTTATTATGTTTTGTCCTTTTAAATGACATAGTTCAGATAGGGGCAAGCAGATAAAAAATCGTTAAAAAAGTAAGAGCTTTACCATTTATACCAAACTGTTTTAATCTTAATGTTCTTATTAATAAATCTTACTTTGATATTTTTCCAGCGACGCCTTTTTGTTACCTGTACGATGATCCTGCGCAACTATATTATACATTTCGAGCGTTTTATATCCGATACTGGCACAGACTTCATTACATTTCAACACATCCACAGGTATGTCTATTTTTCGCTGATCATAATTTATTTTCACTCCCGGTCTAGCATTGGTTTAGAAGTAGCAGACCAATAACAACATATTTTATTATGAATTTAATACTTTTGCTTTTAAAGCTATGGATTCATAACTTCAATAATTGAAATGTTTATTTTTAGGGTATAGTTTCATTATGTCTTTTATACGAGAGATTATTAGAAGCAAACGAGCCGCTTTTATGGATACACTTCAGAAACATAAATATAAACCCGTAAGTATCCTTAAATACTTCTACATATACTACCTTCAGCATTACATTCTATTGGTCCTATACAACGATATTCAATACCCTAAATATACCAACACCAACAAAATCGTGCCCGAAACCTGTCCAAAAGGTACATTGGACGATCCACGGCGCTCCGTAAGATGATCGCTAAGTCAAAAACAATATAAAGCGTTATTTGAAAATTGAAAGTCACCTTTAATGCATACTGCATAAGGTCTTAATTAAAACGCATGCGTCAAAGAATAACAACAGTGACGAATTGCAAGCTCGTAAAATTTTACGACTTATTGCTATATGCGGAAGAATATAGACCTTATTTATTTGACTCTATGCGCAATTCTGCGCTGCGCGAAGAATGCGCTGTAAGCAATATAGTAGGTACGGACCGCGAGAAAAAGAGACGGCTATATTACCGACCATGCATTTGAATTTCACAAAGATTTTTTATAAAAACAGGTTATAGTAAGTATTAGAACAAAATTTGCTTCAAATGCGTTAAATTAACAAACATTGATTAGATGCATGTCGAAAAAACGACACTTTACTTACATACTACAAGTATTTTTTTCGCATTTTTCACGGAGCTCTACGGCAACATGACTTTTCAACGGTCCTCGTGTGACTGTGAACCAAGAAGTGTTTGAGTGGTGTTAAGCACTGCTTGATTGGGACACATTTTGAGCGCACGTAGTGTACGTGTATCTAGGGTATTTAGTATCGTTGGTTATTTATATTCATTCCCGTTTGTAACCCCAGCTTTGTTACCTCCGATGACGAGTGGGAATACTTATTTAAAAAAAACCCCCATAGGTACGTCACGAGTGGGTGACGATAGGGATTTAATGTAGGAAAATATGCTTTTAATAATAAATGATAACCATCCAAAATGCCCTTTCCACAGCATCAGAGTGGTATTCAAATGGTTAATGCGAGCGTTCAGCGGACATTTACCGCCGGACCAACTATTGCTTCTATGGGACGCCATCTTGGGCTACGACTGCCTCGAGATACTGCCCCTACTGGCACTCGCCATACTGAGCTTCAGGAAGGAGAACATATTCCAAGTGAATACTATTCAGAACGTGGACGCGGTACTGGCAGACCTGTCCACTGTTTCAGTGATACCTCTCTTACAGCTCGCTTTGATGAAACCGTAGATTGTAAGGAGATTCGGAGATTGAGTACTAACCGCGAATATCTAAGTAATGACACTGTACTGGTAGAGTACGACTTTTGGACGTCTATATCGCGAAAGTGTAGCCCATGGAGGTTAGAGAGAAGGAGAACGATGGCTGTAGAAAATAGTGTCCCAGAAATATGGACAAAATAGTGAGGCGCTGCGATCGCTAAGTCGTCTCAATAAAAGCGGGCTGTTGTGCGCTAATTTTAAATGACCAATGCCGCGAAGAAAATTTGTACATTATTCAACTAACTTCATCTACTTGTAGGTACTCATAAACAGCTAACTTCACAGATACTATTTACCGTTGGCAGCGCGGCTGGTGGCTGAAAAATGAACTATAAATTCTACAAATTTTCAGGGACAGGTGGGCTAATGCTTTAGCATGTAGCGATCGTTCGCCTTCTCTCTTACCTCCATGTCGTAGCCTGACACCAGTCTTATGAATACATGACATCGCGCCAGTGTCCATAAATATAAAATATTGTAAAAACATGACACAAACAACATCCAACAAAATTTAAGTACCTATATCGGCATTTATCGGTGTTTGCGATGGGCGGCGACTTCGCATACAGGGCACAGGTTTATTACCTAAGTGGCGTCCAAAAGGAAATAACTAGGTAAATAACTTTTTTTTGTGTACCTAAATGGCATTTGTTACGGACATGAGTATTTTTTTACATTTTGAAAAACATTTCCACTACCAACAATGTAAATTAAAAATTAAAGTTATCTTTGTGATAACAAAGATGCATTTTAAATTATCCAGATCCATACGAGCCAAAATGTTTGTTATCCAGAATATATTCAGTACAAAATAATTGTCTATCCATTGTCTATCATCTACATATTTTCATAGTTCCATTAACTACTAGAAAAGTATAAAAACTGATAGCATTTTTTTCTTTTATCCAACACGATTCTATCTTTTTCTTTTCACTGAACGACTTAAAATAATATTGTGAAATATTACGAGATGTAAAAAAATCTTTGTAAAACTAAACAACGCAAATAAATAGTTATGGTGTCGATTCTGACATGATTCTCTAAATATTTGTTTCTTAGGTTAGGTTCTGAAAAGGCTGCGAAACGTCAATAAATAAATAAAGTTTCGTGCATTAACCCGTAAAAACTAGTTTTATTTAATGATTCTCTAAACTTTAAACCAAAGATATCATCAACCTCCCCTTTTCATTATTTACAGAGAATGACAAGGATTCACTGTTGTCAACTTTAAGTTTAGGTTTAGAGAATCATGCCAGAATCGACACCAATGAAAGAATACTAAATGATTTGCAAGTTCTATACGATAAGTGGAGCCGAAGAATGCAAATGTATTTACTAAGTTTACGTACGAATCGTGTGCGCAAGCCATACCTAACTGAACGTTATTGTTATACATACATATTGTTTTTGTATAGAGTTTTTATAGCATTTTCTTTGTAGAGATGTATTTTTTGTATTAAACAGGAAAAAATAAAGTACAAACATGTTGCGTTAACTTTTTATTTTTTCAACAGCAACACACCAATTACCTTCATCGTAGAAGCTCTGTTCGACTGTGAAAGGTAGTTTCTTGCAAAGCTCCTCCAATTCGCCTTCTTCGAAGACATGGTAGAATCTTAGAAGTGTGTCTTGTGGTGTGTCTGTTAGAGTTTTATTTTCCTTGACCTGTCTAAGTTTCCAAGGCACCAGTACATCGTTGTGCTGGAACTGCGTTCTGTTCTCGTGGACTGGGAGGCTCACTCCGCTAATGGTGACGCATTGCTCTTCTGTAGCATTTGGCGCTCTGTTTTTGCACAGATAGTTCGATTTGGTCTGATCCTTCGCCCAGACAGTAATGAGCGCCTTACCTCCAGGCCTGAGTAATCGCCATATCGTCGCTACAGCCTTCTGTCTTCTCTTCTGTAAGCGAATAGTAATCCTACTAAATAATAATACCTATATGAAAATCGTAAAACTATTGAATGAATTTGGATATAACTTAGATTTAGATATTATTACAGTGTTATTTTAGAACTAAAGGATGCGTACTTAGTTTTGATAAAGATATGTTGTAAGACATTGTACGCCAAAAATTATATGAAACTACTAGCGGCAGCCCGCGACTTCATACGCGTGGAATTAGTTAGAAATTAAGGTTCACTGCTCGTTGCCTGTATGTGATAGCGTAATAATATATAATCTATATGTTGACCCGACTTCTTAATAATATTCGTGCCAAATTTGAAGTAAATCCATGTAGTACTTTTTGAGTTTATCTCAGACATACATACAGACAAAAAATCTAAAAACTATATTTTTGGCTTCTGTATCGATAGTAGATTACACCCCAAGTATTCTTTTAAAAAAATATTCAATGTACAGTTTTCGACTTTCCTACCATTTTATTAGGTATATCTATGTATAGCTTTACGAGACAACGCGACACAATGGTCTACTACTGTATTAATAAGAGTGCCATAAAAACAGAACTTTTGGCGACTGTGAAGTTAGCGAGCAGCGAGTGAAACTATGCGCAGGTTTCTGTTAAGTAAGGGGTAGCTAACTATAGCTACACACATAATCAAGCCGGCATAGTCGGTTTGGGAATTTTTGTCGAACAACCAAGCCGACTAAAAGTAATTACTGCCAAACATTCATCACAGTTCGATTTTAGCGCCCGGCTGTGCCGATTAATGCCAGCCCCTTTAAGTGTGCAGCTACGCTGATATGCGCGCACCTACTTCGCTCTACATGTCATTAACTGCGGCGCAACTTGCGCTTGCTTCACAGCACAGCCGCTATTAGTTTGAAAAGCGCTATATATTGCGTACTGCACTATTGAAGTGGTGCAGTACGGCGACACATATGACGTAATCGCGTCCACACGGGCACACTGCGCCTACACGCCGCCCGCCTCCTCTACGCGCTGCCTACACTCGCGCGGCAATGTCTCACTGCAGCAGACGTACGTACCGCACTACTGAAGTGGTGCAGTACGGCGACACATATGACGTAATCCACGCACTCGTCCGCGAGCGCCGCGTGCAGCGCGTCCACGCGGACACACGCCGCCCGTCTCCTCTACGCGCTGCCTACACTCGCGCGGCAATGTCTCACTGCAGCAGACGTACGTACCGCGCTACTGAAGTGGTGCAGTACGGCGACACATATGACGTAATCCACGCACTCGTCCGCGAGCGCCGCGTGTAGCGCGTCCACGCGGACACACTGCGCCCACACGCCGCCCGCCTCCTCTACGCGCTGCCTACACTCGCGCAGCAAGCCCTCGCTGCGTTCGCCCGCTATCTACACGACAACATTTAAACGGTACTATGTATGTCAAAAAAAACATGGGAGAAAACGATATAAAAAATTATGCTTTTATTAATTACTTAAATCTATAAGTACTAACGTTCTGAGTTAGTTTTAAAAACTATCTTAAAAACTGCACGCCGCGTTGGATTTAGGTGTGAACTGATCCTAAAATAAACAACATTGATGTTGAGTTATGATATATATGTAATGGATCGATGGATGGGGAATAGATCCAAGAAATACCTGTAATATATCCGTCCTGGGCAGTATGTTCTTGCCGTTCCCGCAGCCCAGGTCGAGCACTACTGAGCCCGTGGGCACATTGCGCATGAACTCCACCACGCGTGGCCACGGCTTATGCCGCGTCCTGCTGAAGTGACCTGCTATTCGCTCGTACACCTGAACACGCATTAAAAATGCAATAAAATATATAGGTGAATTTGATAAATAAAATTTTGTTGATGAACATGGTTCCAAAGTCATAAAACTAAACTTCAATACTAACGCGACACGCACACAGACAAAACAAAATAATCTGAATTAAAACAATCAATCAAATATCTGCAAATGAATTGAACTGCCTATGTTGGATGTTCGCACCGATTCGCACATGTACCTATATTGCGATTCAAACTTATCAATGGCGGCTGTGAAGTTAGCGCAAGTCGAGGTACCGTGCTATCGCCGTGGAGGCACGTTCTAAGAGTGTAGGTATAGCAGAAATTAGTAGTATGTGATGTTTATATCGCCGCAATGATACCGCTAATGGAGTTGATACCTAATACTTGTCATGGTTGGGCGTGGTTGGGCTTACATACATTAAATTAAAATAACACTCTTCATTGATGAAACATATTAACAATAATAATAAGAAAACAAAATAGATGGACATACAAACCTGATGAACATGCAATTCCTCCAAGTTTGTTGCTACTGTGTCTTCAATGTTTTCAGAACTAGGAGTGACACTATCGCACATGGTCTTGTATTCACACTCACATGGACCACTTTTAGTCCAACGAAATGTTAATGATATCCTGACTTGCCTCTCCACTGTTTCACTGGTGATGACTTTTACCAGTTTCTCACAATTTTCGGATACTATAGTTCTATCTTCTATTACAGGATCCCATGTTCTTGACTGAATACCATGTTGCCAGTCATATCTATATAAAAAAAACTATATGAAACATCATGTTTATTTAGAAATATGTACTGAGAAAATTATGTATGTATTTCCATATTGAGAGTACCTAAAAAGTATGACATACCTGGCTTCACCTTGCATTATAAGCATTGATCTACCTTTTACTACGACTGGCACATATTTGCTGTCATGATGCTTCCAATCCATAACAATTGACGAGCCAAGTGACAGAGACAAGATAGTATCTCCAAATGGACTATGCTTATCAACATGCATTGGTATACCTGAGATATAAAAAATAGTTCATTTTCTAAAATGGGTAGGGGCCACTATACTCTGTTCACAGCAACGTATTATAAAGTCTTCCATTTCTTTATCATGAGATTTAAGAGAAGGAAGGCATATCAAAGTCAAACTGTGGAAATGATCTAAACGCTATAGTATAGTGGCTGCTTACCATCAGGTTTACAATAGTCAATGATTGAAAACTACATGTACTTTTTGAGAACAAAAAAGGGGCTATCTTTGGACGAATAACAACAACACAGCCCTTTATTGTTAACAGTATTGTTACTCGGTGGACCTCAGAAAAGTCCAAACCAAGTCATTTCTGTGATTTTATATATTAAATAGCTTTTTATATTTTTTATTAATTTGGATATGTTGATGATGGATCAAAACAAATTGTACTCTACCGTGACCAGGAGAATATTTATTAACAGTCAATTGATCAGGTTTTCCCAAATCCCAATCATGTTGTCTCAACCTCTTCCAAAGTATGTTGAACTCTTCAGGAATCTTTTCTGGGAGAGGGGAATCCAAATCAACATCGTTACTTCCGTATCTGAACTCATAGCCGTAATGTTTGACAAGACGATTCTTTAAGTTACTACTTTCAATATTTTCTGCCCAATCAAAGAGGGTTATTAATTCTTTTTCTTCTTCTGATGTTATAAAATCTTCTATTATTCGCAAACCTCTAGGTTTTGGATGGTTGCATATAACTTCTGTATTTGGTACTAAAATAGCAAATAACACAATTTATAAAAATGTGCATAAACAACATTTATCTAATCAAGTGTTTATAATAAAGACAAATGGATGTTACTGGCTTTTACTTGTATGATAGAAATCAGACATTATTATCTTACCAAGGAAATGAGTTACTGGAGCATTTTCTTTATGAAACAGCTATTCATATATAAGTGTATGAGATACTTATTCTTCATAAGAGAAGGAACTAATAATTTTTAATTACCACAATAGTTTTACTCAATATTGTTTAATGAGAATACAAACCTTACCAGTTTCTACAAAATACATGTACACTGGAGTGTTCTCTCCAATCTTAGACTTTCCATTATGCACATCATAAAATAATGAAGAACTTTCAGTTGAATTAAATACTAAGAAAGAATATGTTTCTCCTTTTTCAGCTATTAGTTTTGGGATTTCTATTTTACACGGTAAACTTGATACTAACTTTAAAATAGATTTTTTGTCTAGCCCTGTAGCTTGACCAGCATTGCATAATATAATATTCTGGAATAAAACAATTAATTTTGTTAGCTAATTTTATGTACCTACATTATTCACACCAACGAATCCCTTGCTAGGATGACAGAGCATCAATGAGGCAGTTATTTGCAAGTACATTTCTATAATCAGTCAGCAATCAGTTAAACACCATTCTTATCGCCTGACCACAGCTCAACATAAAGCAACACGGAAGGGAGTAGCAATAGTGTCAAAATACTATTAAAATTATACTGCCATTTTTAATGTTCATGCATAAAAACTATAACTGTAATTAAAACACTCACACAATAACAATGACACAATATAACAGCAATTCATACACATATATTAATTCTAATGAGGGGAATTTCTCAATTCAATTCTTTAATTAAATTCTGTTGTGATGCCCTTTGCACCTCAACAATATAATATTTGACTTTGTTTAGACTGAAAACACTTGTTAGGGAAAAAAACGTGTTACGTAATCATCATCATCATCATCATTATTAATATTTTTTACTATCTGCATGGGAACGATAGCAGCTAGTAGATTCTGTTTCCTTTCCAGATTTGCTGGTTTTTTTGCAAAGATCCCCACACATAAATTTGGATAGCAGCAGTTTAAATGTAACTAGTCAATTGATATGATATTAATAAAGAAACATAATATGATTTCAATAAACGCATGTAATTTGTAATCCCTACCTTACATGGTTTCAAAATTAGGTTAGTTTATAAACTAAGTACAGTAAAAGCAGAACTGCTTGTATGTAAATAGTTTCAAGCATTGCTAGGCCGTTTAAGAAAAATAAAAAACACTCACAGGCCCTCTTAAATCTGTACATAAAATTCCTTTAGAATTTAAAAGTCGTGCAGCAAATCGTTTTCTTTTACGCTCTGTCTTTTTTTCATCGTCCATTTTAGAGCTACTTTGTTCCATTAATTTTACAATGTATACAGATTTGATTCCGTAAATCACGAAATTAACAATTTAATTTTATCACTTTTAACCTCTCTGTTTATCTCGAAAACAAACAATCTCTCGATGAAGATTTATCCATGCTGGATGTCACTTTTCTCTATGCTGGATGTTTAAGATGTTTTTTTTTTGAGATTTATGGCTTTTCAACTTTGACTTTAAGCCATGGCTGAATTCACGATCTCTGAGTACGAAACCTATGGAGATGGCATACCTACGAAATAAACGTGTATACCTAAAGTTACTAGGAAATGAAAATGACACCTGTCCATAGTGCTGCCCCATTGTATATCGATATCTTTATAAACACTTTATATGGTAAAGTGTTTTTTTACATTGTTTCATGTTTATTTCATTGTTTCATTTTTTTCATTTTAGGCCAAACACGGAGCAATCACAACAGAGACCTTTTGTTTCGTTCTTACAACATACCAGCTAAAATAATACTTACTAAAAAATTATGAGTGCCCAATTTATAACCTAATGAAACTTTTTATTTATTATATTATATTTTTGGCTATTGTCTCATTGTAAAGTAACGACTGGCCACAGCTAGTTATTGGTCTCGTAAAAGCCTTCCTCCACTAGTTAAAACCTTTAATAGATACAAAGCTGAAGATATTCCAGTTTATCACTTCATCAAAATTCAGTTCAAAATTTAGTTTATCTTCATATTTATAATTTTACTATAGTTCCCTTTATTTACCTATATTCCCCTTCCTACTCACCTGTTGCTAGCATATGCCATATCTCCCTTTTTTTTCTTGTGTGTATCGTTTCCTACTTTTTTCCATCTGCAACTAACACATATCCATATTCCGCTCCTTTAATCCTTCAAGTTTAATCGATTTGCTTCCCAATTATATCAAATGAAGCTTGCTTAAGGCCGCGTCATGCCATAATGAACGACTGGCGGATGACACAACCGGGTAAGGTATCTGGCAACCCTATATGTCATTGCATTTTTTTTTTGGTGGTTTTTTGGCGGGATTTCATCAAGTGTGGTTGGCGTCTTATTTTAATTATTCTTAAATTCGTTCATAGTGGATATTGTGAAATAAAATTGGTGTGATTTTGTGTTACAACTGTCTGCGTAACTGAGGAATTAGTAGAATCGTCAAAATATACGGTATTCCGGTCAAGTGGACGTGAGAATTTTATTGTAGTATTGACTACCTCACAGAAGCTTATCGAAAATGCCAGCTCGATACATTTTGTGCCAAACACTTCAAGAAACATTAGAATGCGTCACACCGACATTCTAATGTAAAAAGAAAAACCGAATATTTTAACTTAAGACTAGGCTGTATGGGCATTGTTCCCCTTACCTTCCCTGAAAAGGGAGAATGTAACAAAAAAAAATGCATTTTTTGGGCAGGACATTGTTTTGTGTTGTCTTTTTACAAAACGAAAAGAAATATTCACATTACTTAAACCAACGTACTAAATTTAACATAAGTGTGCAAATCTAAGGGAGCCTTAAATAGTCTAAATGATACAAGTCATGCATGGAGTCAGTAAACTTTTACACAACTTAAATTAATTATTTTTATTTGTATTTTTTCTTCAAAAATTCAGAAATACGTCTTTTTTTAGGAACAATTGAAAGGAATCAAAAAGCGTCATACTATTTGCATGGCTTCTGATTTTTTCTATCCGAATACTGGTGGAGTCGAAGAACACATTTTCAATTTATCACAATGTTTGATCAAAAGGGGTCATAAAGTAGTCGTTATCACGCATTCTTATGGGAAAAGAGTCGGTATCAGATACTTAACAGGTGGTCTCAAAGTTTACTATTTACCTATAACTGTTATGTATGCACAATGTGTTTTACCTACAATGATTTGCAATATAGCGTTGATAAGGTACATTCTTATAAGAGAGTGTATACAGATCGTCCATGCTCATTCAGCATTCAGTGTCATGGGGCATGAAGTGTGCATAATAGGGAAGTTAATGGGTCTCAAATCAGTGTTTACTGACCATAGTCTTTTTGGTTTCGCTGATACATCTGCTGTGTTGACTAATAAGTATCTACAAATGTGTTTATGTGAAATAGACCACTGCATATGTGTGTCTCATACTGGAAAAGAAAATACAGTTTTAAGAGCTAAAGTGAAAGCTCACAAAGTGTCTGTGATTCCGAATGCAGTAGATGCATATAGCTTTACACCAGACCCTAGCCAAAGAAACCCACATGTTATAACTATAGTAATTGTTTCAAGATTGGTGTATAGAAAGGGTGTAGATTTAATGGCTTCTGTGATTGCTGATATGTGCCCGAGATACCCCAATTTAAGATTTTTAGTAGGTGGTGATGGACCCAAAATGTGGCTTTTACAGGAAGTGAGGGAGAAAGGATTCCAAGACTGTGTTACACTATTAGGAAGTTTACCACATTCAGAAGTCAGAGATGTGTTAGTAAAAGGAGATATTTTCTTGAACACTTCTTTGACTGAAGCTTACTGCATGGCTATAGTTGAAGCCGCCTCTTGTGGTTTAAAAGTGGTTTCTACTAAGGTAGGAGGTATACCTGAAGTATTACCAGAAAATATGATATATTTAACAGAACCTAATGTCAACAGCTTGGTACAAGGGATTGAGATGGCAATGAAAGACTTAAAGAATGGTAATATGTTGTGCCCATATGAATGCAACAGAATGGTCAGGAAAATGTACAACTGGATAGACATATCGAGAAGAACAGAGCTAGTGTATGACAGGATATCTGTAAATAAAAGCAAGTCACTAGGTCAACAACTTCGAAGTTATTTGACAAGTGGTGTGTGGCCATTCCTTTTAGTGATAAGTTTAATGTATTTGTTATTACAATTTGTTGAAAAAATATACAAAAGGAAAAATATTGATATAGCTAAAGATTTAAAATTATAACAAGTTGGACTTTTGCCATAATGTTTTATTTTGGAATGATTATACAATAATTCTATGATATTTTAAAGAAAAATGTGAACATGACCTCTAATCAAAAAGTAATTTTAATTAGACAATATTATTTAACATTATATAAAATAACTTTTTTTAATAAATAACAGTCTAACGAGAGACATTTTCACTTAAGCATTATATTTTATATTAAATGGTTCACACTGTAGATACTATGTAATATAATTTATAACATTATTAATCACGAATATTGCGTTATTTTCATCAGACTGACAACTTATATTTGATGTAGCTGACCTGCTGCATGGTTCCCATTTAAGCTCTGAAAAAAATAAGCAGCATTACTGACAACATACATGCAGGATTATTTCTCACTGAATTGCATAACGAAATCAGATAGAATATCTACAGGCCGATATTGGAGCCAATTCTGGCGCGATTCTCTAAACTTAAAACTAAATTTAACATCAGTCTCTCCTTTTCATTCTGTATAGAGAATGACAAGGTTCTACTGTTGTCAAATTTAAGTTTAGTTTTAGAGAATCATGCTAGAATCGACACCATTACTTATCAATTGCTTAAAAAATATTCTGTTTGTAGCAGCATTGCCAGACGTCCCGATTTTCGTGAGAAGTCCCAATTTCTAGCCCAAAATCAAAGATTCCGCTTGGAACAGGCTTCGTCCCGCTTGTCGGGATTAGTCGACGACGAGGCTCTCTCTACGCGCTTACGCCTATCCGTCATCCTGATTGAGTATCGTTTGACGTGGATGGGGAAGTACCTAAGGAATGGTCGATATGCTACAAATGGATTTCCAATTTCATTTAGAATGCAAGAATATTTATTAAGTATCAAAGTATAATTACTTTGCTTTTGTGATAGAATGAATGAATGATTACTATATTGTACGTCATATTATGAAATTACAATTAATTTAGAAAATTTTACAGTACAAACGGCGGCATCGCTTAATAACAATCTCTTCCAGGCAACTGTAGGTTAGGTTAGGCCTATCTATCAGCCGAATGAAACTATGTTAAAGTTGAAAACAAAAAATGAAAGTATTACACTTTGGTAGTGCGTGGTGGATGCTTGGGGCGCACCCCCGACTGCTTCAGCTGCAGCACGATGGACCGCAGGCGCGCCACGTCGCGGCCGCGCCTCGGCCCGAAGTCGCACAACTCGGCCACGCGTGCCCACTCATTACCCTCCTCGACGGTGCTCTCCGATCCGCGCGCCAACGCTCTTTCTGCGTTCCTATGTTTTTTCTTATGTTAGTTTACCTTTACCTCAAAAGCAATAAACATTTGTTTGAATGACTTCATTGTACATGATTTAATTCGTGCGCAACTAACACCACATTATGGCCTTGTATTGTCTTACTGGCCTACTGTAAATACAGATTTGACGTATAAGGAAGGACCCATTCTCCAACCATTTCTCGAGTCGACCATTTCTTGTAAAACCTAGTTCTTGTATGGACCATTTCTGCTTTTGACCACTTCCTTATGAATACCTTGTATTATGCAATGCAAAAATACTCTTTTTTTGATGTTTTCGATTAAACGTAGCGTAAGTCAAAAGAAGAAACCATATTACTTATTTTAAATAACAAATACTAGTAATATAATGGTGCCAATTCTGGCGTGATTCTCTAAACTTAAAAAATAAATTTAACATGAGTCTCTCCTTTTCATTCAGTATACAGAATGGCACAGCGGATTGGCTAAATTGCTTACATGTTTTAATTCAAAGAGTATCTTTATGTTATGATTTTATTTATTTGTTAAGCATTTAACTGCTAGATGTTTAAATCTAAAGAAAAGTTTACTAGAAAAAAAAAGTATCTTTATCTTAAAAAAAGTATTTTGAAAATACGTATCTTGTATCTGGTATTTCAAATACTTTTTCCAAAAGTTTCTTGTATCAGATAACTAAATACTTGACTACCTGGTATCTTGTATTTTAGATACTTTTTTAATGTATTTTTCATCCCACCACCTCGGAAAGTGTAATTTTGCGCTTCGAAATCTGGCTGGAAAATTCTATTTTATTCGCTTGAGCGGCAAAGTAGATTTGAATTTAGAACATCACATATAATGAGTACTCAATATAATTGTAAATTCAAAACGTCATTAAACCTATTTAATGTAACCTCTATGGTGCCAAATTTATGATTAGAACTTTTTAAATTGTGAAAAAATTTAAATTTGGAACCTTCTTGGTTTCTTTGTTTTATTTGCGTGCTTCGCGCCATTCTAGTTTTTCACGTTTTATTGCTTAATATAATTAACATAACCTAAAAACTGTACAAAAAAATCAACTAAAATGAGTGACATTAGCGACGATGAAGTTTATCTAACGCCAACTGAGTTAACTGAAACAGTTAATAATGCGCAAATGAGCCTTCTCCCTCAGCAATCACGAGAGAAGTATTTGAAACAGTACGATATATTTAACATGTGGCGACTAGCTAAAGGAGCAAAAACTTTCTCCGAAAACGTTTTGCTGGCATATTTTATAGAATTATCTGAGACCAAGAAAGCAAGCACGCTATGGAGTACGTATTCAATGCTAAAATTAACAATTAAGATGAAGAAAGACGTTCATATCGACACCTATCATAAATTAGTGGCATTTTTAAAAAGAGCCTCATCTGGTTATAAACCAAAAAAATCGAAGGTTTTCACAGCATCTGAAATTGCAAAGTTTATTAATGAAGCACCTGATTCCGTATATTTAGCGGCAAAAGTAAGTCAATACGTGTAATTTTTTGTTGTTGATAAAATTGTACATAGTACTTACAATATTTTTAATTTGATTAATTTATTTACGATTATAAATACTTCTTTTGTTACAGGTTGTTCTTATTATTGGTATAACCGGAGCATGTCGAACAAAAATATTTTGTCATTATAAATTGTTTTCTTTTTCATTTTGTCATTTCCTCGCTGAGGTGGGATGAAAAGTTACGTATTGCACTCGAGTGGAAAGATTTTTCACCTTGTGCTCGTTTGTTTCCCTCGCTGACGCTCAGGATTCTAATTTAGAATCACTCGCTGCGCTCGTGATTCAACTTTAGAATCCTTCGCTTGCTCGGTCATCCAAATCGAGCACGCGGTTAAAAAGGAACTTTCCACTCTTGTATAATAAATAACTATTTACATCTCTGGATATCCATCCAAACCTTGGTTTTTTCAAGGTGAAAAATCTCAATAAAAAGTGGGTTAAGAATAAGTCATGCTACTACCCCTCTTAATTTGGCTAGCTTAAAAATACCTGTCAGCCTCATATGTGATTTTGGAACCGGAGATGGTATAATGCGATTTAAACTTAGATTAAAACAAAAAGGGTAGATACGGTACGCTCATACTTTGCATCAAACAAAAATTGATCCTACGGCAGCGCGAACGGGACGGCGAGATCCGCGTCACTGCATTACCGACCCGAGGGAAACAGCACGTTAAGTTTCAATGGCAGCGCGAACGAGACAGCGAGATCCGCGTCACTGCACTACCGACCAATCAAGCGACCAGTACTCGACGCCACTACCGAATAAGATTCAAAACAAACAGCAATTTTTATGAAAACATATATTATATAGTACTTACGAATGAAAAGTGATACCGTGGCTTTTATTTTTAGTTCTTGAGCAATTTGAGCACTTTTTAAAAACACACTTAGGCATTGTTTTATCATATACTAGTGGCCCGCCCTCGCATCGCTTCGGTGTAAAGCTGTAGTGTAGACTATAGCTTTTGTTCTCAGGCTTGTATTATACACAATGACATTCTTCTAATACCCAATTACAATAGGCACGCGCCGCCAAGCCCGGTAGCGTCGGAACCGCTATGTCCCTGAATTTTAAATTTGTAATATCTTCGAAAATATTTATTTAAATTATATGCGTTAAAGGGCCAAATTGTTCTATATTAAATGCACAATGTATTTAAGGTACTTAATTGGATAAGGATGAATGTTATATTGCTTAAAATCGCTTCGTAAATAATCTATTATTTCTCGTAAAAAGTATAGGATAAAAATTGGTTATTGTGGGTTATCCTTAAGAGATAGACATATACCATCGCGGATTTTTTTGTAGACCATTTTAAGGTGTACAATACTGTAGTACATTATTTTGATCTATCTCGTGGGGTTCAGCCAGCGTTTGCAATATAAGCGCAAAAATGTGTTTATTTACGACCTTACATTAAAAACCTCTAAAATTATCAGTGTTTCTCTACTATATTATGCATGTATTATACATATAAACCTTCCTCTTGAATCACTCTATCTATTTAAAAAAACCGCATCAAAATCCGTTGCGTAGTTTCAAAGATTTAAGCATACAAAGGGACATAGGGACAGAGAAAGCGACTTTGTTTTATACTATGTAGTGAAACACAAAATATTAGCAATATTTCTTTTTGGCGTTCACATGTACGTCGTTTGCATGTCAAGTTGTGACTAAAGCGATTAGGGTCGTGGACCACAATTGGTGCGGATCACTTTTGTGAGGCTAGTGCCGTATCTACCCTTTTTGTTTTAATCTAAGGATTCAAATAAGAATAGGAAAGCCAATGACCTCTTTCTGTCAAATGTCGCTTGAAAAGAACAGTTTGCAAAAAAAACTTAGAACCCTTTTTTAGCACTCCGCTAATTCAAGTATAAAAACCAAACATTTGTAAACAAACAATAACAAATATTGTTAATTAATATCGGTTGATATTTTTTTTCACATATTGAGCCTTGGACATGAATGGTTGATAACCTAAATCGTCAACCAAATATCACTTTAAGTTGCGCTCAGAAAATCGATTTCAAACTTTCGTTTACTTATAAAGGATGCATGTTCATATGTGACCTAGTAATAGTGCATGATTATTCATAACTACTCCGGCGGTAATGCAGAGATGAGCGGAATAGAAGAGCTAGATTCTGATTAATGTTTTTTCTGTCTTAATAAATAAATGTTATTAAAAAAATCT